CTGAAGGTGTCCATATTAAATGGTAGTTAACATCTCCACATCTCCATGAATGCTGTCAGGAGACTCCTATTCTGCCAAGAGACAGGATTGGCACCATCCCAAGCAGGCTGCTGTGTCTGCTGGGAGAAAGTTCTAGTTTTACATGGTCTTAAGGGAAAGAAAGCACTATCCACAGAAGCTCTTCCTAATCCTATCTAGAATTAGACAAGGTCTAAATAATGTATTTAATACTGTTATCCTTGAACCTAGAGCCTCCACACATGTGGTGTGAGTAACTTATACAGAAGGAACATGAATGTAATAAAGAATCCAAGCAAGTCTTAGTGCCCAGGGACTTCCCTGGTGGCACAGTGGTTTAGAATCCGCCTGCCAGTGCAGGGGACACGGGTTCGAGCCCTGGTCTGGGAAGATCCCACATGCCACGGAACAGCTGAGCCCATGCGCCACAGCTACTGAGCCTGCGCTCTAGAGCCTGCGAACCACAACTACTGAAGCCCGCGAGCTGCAACTACTGAAGCCCGTGCTTCATGCCACAACAAGAGAAGCCACCCGCAATGAGAAGCCTGCACACCACAACGAAGAGTAGTCCCCACTCACCACAACTAAGGCACTGCTGCAAACCTGTGTAGGCTGTCCTGGACCATTTCTCCTGGCATAGAATTCTACACAGGCTGGAACTATGTGGCCCCAAAACTTCAAGTAAGGCTGGAGTGTCTGGCAAGAGACTATCTTGCTAACAGATGCTCTGGTACCTGAGCTGGACCTTGAAGATTCTGACACCTCTACGGAGACTGCTTTCAGAAGAGACCTGCAAACACGTTGTGAGCTGTTTCTCCAAAGTCATGCTAGGATTCAGGTCTTTGGATGATCAGACCTGGCCACTGAAGCATGCACTTTTCTCTCTGCTGGATGCAGCTCTGTCACAGTGCTCCTCAGCCCTCTGAGATTACTGGCAGCTGAAAAGCACTGTTTCCTTCTAAGACCTATCACTCTCTAAGGACCCCAGAATGTTTCACGCCAATCCCTGACACAATAAGATGGCCTCAAATTCATTACCTTGCTCCTTCCCAGCAGCTGTTTATTGTAGACTTCTAGGAATCTGGATTTTTGATGTGTAGTTGCAGCATAGTGATGCTGCTCTTGACCCTTGAACACTCCAATTCAGGTATCAGCAAACTATAGCCCATAGGCCAAATCCAGCAGCCTGTTTTTGTACTACCTACCAGCTAAGAATGGTTTTTTACATTTTAAAAGGGTTGTGAAAACAAAGAACATGTGACAGAGACCTATGTGACCTGCAAAGCCTAAGATACTTACTATCTGACCTCTTAGAGAAAAAGTTTGCCAGCCTCTGCCTACTCTTAAGTCCCTAGTTCTCTGACATGCAGTTATACCAACAGCTGTCACTGGCTGCTGTGTGAAACTGTGAAAGGGACAAAGATTATTTATTCTGAAGCCCTCTTACAAGAACAACCTCATTCATTCATCTTCCCATTCAAGAAACTCTGTTGCATGTCAACTGAGCACTAAGCATTCAGAGATGTAAGGCATTGCTGATGTTGTTAGAGGCTCTGCCAACCTTAGGAAGCAGAGGACACCGAACAAATGGAGTCAGGGCTGCCCTCAACAATACGCACTCCCACTCCCCGTGGAAAAGCCTCCCCCTTCCATACCCGTCCCAGCATTCCTCCATGCTGCCTAAGAGGTGCCCAGTCCCCCACCCTCAGCCAGACTTCACTAGTATCTTCCAAGCACACCCCCACTTTATAGTCCCCTGATGTTAAACCCTGGAGAGCATCAGAATTACCTGATGATTTTTTTTTAAATACAAGTACACAAGCCCACCCAAGACCCACTAGAATCTCAAAGGGTGAATATTAGAAATCTAATTTTAACAAGCTCCCTAGGTGATTCAAATACAGTCAGCCAGGCAGTGGTCTTCAGACTAACCTCAGAAACCACTGTTCAGGACTTCTCTTTCCCATTCTTATGATAAGGTGCCTGTCCTCATCCCTCTCTTGGTAATATTTCTTGGCCATTGGTGCTAAAGTTTACATGAGCCTCCTGGAGACAGTACCTTAACCCAGAGGCATGATTCCACTTGTAGGCTTTGTGAACATGTAACATACAATAAGGATAGCTGAAGAGCAGGGACCCTGGGAAGCTCTCTGTAAGGCAGGCCTGGGTCATTACATTCTGGAGCTTTTCACATTTGTTTCTTCTAGTTCCTTGAGAATTAGTGGAGAGCTCAATTTAAATGATCCTCCAGAGAGCTTTTGACAAGAAGGCCCCAGCACCATTAACTATTAAAAAGTGCTGCTTTCAAAACTGAGGCCATAATTTGCAAAATTGCAACCCGTAAGGCAGCCTGATACCTATTCTGACTGAGAACAACCTTGGTCTAGGCAGGTCTGTTCTCTAAATAAAGAGCAAAGATCTGATGAAATCAAGCTGTTTCAGTGTGTAACCCAGAAGGTACAGTTGCTTGTATTTATAAATTTTCTCAGCTAGACGATCACCAAAGCATTCTGTTTAAATAGAAAATTTTTAAAGAATGAAAACTGTAGGAATGTCTAGCTCAGTCCTTCCATTTGAAATTGGCATTTTGGTTTAAAATACCCTGGAGGAGCTGCCCAGGAGCTATGAGCTCACTCTATAAAACCAAAATAGACCAAATTCTGTCATTGTCAATCTCCAAGACAATACCCAATTTAGTATTAGTATTTTATATCATATATTGCTAGGAAAAGTTTGAAATGTTCCATTTAAGGACATACTTATTATAATATGGTTAACTTTTGTATAGAGCCACAGAAATTTATATGTTTGTACAAGCTAGACTACTATTGCTGGTAGCCAACATCTGCTTTTAAAAGTCACGTGAATTATCTTGAGAATAACTGCCAGAGAGTGCTGACTTATACCACGGTGATTTTAAACAAAGCACCTATTCTTCAGATATTAAAATTCTCTAGACTATTCACTTTATGCCAAATCGTCCTCGAAATTGAATAATTACTTAAATTCCATAGAAAAGCTAATGTGTAACTGAAAAGCTTTTATCAGGAGAAAGCTCTGAGATGTCTGTTCCAGTTGTTAAAAATTTAAGGTGTAACCAACTCTGATTTATCCCATTATAATGGCAATAACCCATAGTAAAGTTCCCAGTTAATTTTGAATTTTACTTTCAAGGCTGATTTTATTCAGCCTCTGTTCTGATGGTAGCAAAGTAATGAATTTGAGTTTTCCTTCTCCTTCTGCTAGTCTTCCCCACCCTACCTACACACCTATTAAAATAGGTGACCTGCTAGGAGGGCCCAAGCAGGGATGTTCAAAAGAGGAAGATTAAAGTGTCAAACTCATCAAACTTCAAAGGAGAGGTTCTACTCAACCCAGGAGGAAAGTCTATATGGACTGCAAGGATGGACACCCTGAAGTCTGTCCCACCTACCCAGCAGTTGCATTTGTGTGTGATTTTCAAGAACACATTTTCCTCTTCCCTTCATGGTAGCCTCAGGGCTATTTGTTTGGGGAAATAGCTTCCACACATTAGAGGAAGTTCTCTGCGCTTTCAGAGAATAATTGTTTCTCAGGGACTGCTCTTCCCCACTTGGGTCAAAGTGTTTTGAGAGTATTATGTGACCAAATAACCATGATTGCACTCCTACAGTAGGAAGGCAACCTGAATAATAGAAGGTCTGGTCATGAAGACCCCCAAAGCCCAAGATATATGCCAGTCCTGGTCTATCACTGTTTCATATGTAAGAGACACTCGGACACTTCCACAGTTAGAGAGGTGGACAGTGCAGAAAAGGAGCTGTCAGTCATCATGTATCTGACCAAACCAGAAAGCTCAGTTGCTAACCAAAAACAAAGACTTATGTCATTGTGATTCCAAGTAATGAACAGATTTAGATGTGCCAGTTTTTCTAAAAACTGAAGGAGAAAGTATTTCTGGCTTCTGAATTGGCTTGCTTTGCAAGTTAATTAATTGTTCCGTTAACTTTTAGTTGATTTCTTCAGGCTCCTAACACATCTTCACTTTGGCCTTACCTGGTTTCCTTTGTCATTTCATTCCTTTGAAGATTTTTTTTCCCACAGCCTTTACTATTTTTTTGAAAGTCAAAAGCCCTTCTTTAGTTTGTGTTAAGTAAAATTCGTCATTTTATGGGTTTAGAAGCTTAGAGCAGCCTAAATAAGCTCCTTTTATGCATGAACAGACAATTCCTTCCCCCCTAAAAAAAGGCATTTGAGACTTAGGTCATTTCAGACTTGCAGTTTGAGCTACTGCTGCCCAGTCTCAAGCAGCAGGTATGGGCTAGAGTCAGAGCACGCAGAAGCAACAAGAGCACAACAGACTGTCGCCCCAGTCCTTTGGCACCTGGAGAGTCACCTGCTCCCAGAGCACTTGCTACAAAAAGAAGACAAACTGACAGTCCAGTGACCTCTGCCTGACACTCCAGCAGGGAATGGGATTTGGAGGTAAGCCTCCAGAAGGAAGTAGTAGTTTATCCTCTAGTCAGACTCAGAAGGATTGAGGGTTGCAAAAAGAAAGCAAAGAAAAAAAAAGAGAAATGATTTTTTTGTTTTTTGGTTTTTTTTTTGAGGGAAAGGAGGAGGGATTAGTAGTTAAGACATAGACATGATTAAAATAAGTGTTATTCCTGTTGATTCTAAAATCTTTCCTGACTGGGGGACTTAGATTACAGCTATTCTCCTGGAGGGGAGAGAGACTGAGCAGACACCTGCAATCTGCCTTTTCCCACCCTAGACAAGCTGTGGTGAACACCTTTAAGATTCAGACTTAGAGAGCACATGACTAACCAACCTGAGTACTGCTGCACTGATATTGGTAGAATGTCCATTGTTATTAACCAAGCTTGGAATGCCCTGAGCACCCACCTGAACCCTGGAGGATCCAGATGCTAGCTTTGTCCTCCATGCACATGGGGCAGAGTGGCTTCTGTGGTCATGAAGACATGACATTTCTTTCCCCACAGGTGATATCCGCAATGACCTGTACCTAACCCTGGAGAAGGGGGACTTCGAGAGAGGGGGAAAGAGTGTACAGAAGAATATTGAAGTGACCATGTATGTGCTTTATGCAGATGGAGAAATCTTGAAGGTAAAGTTTGCCAGTCAGTTTGGAATGGAGGCTAATCCTGTAATAATTTTAGTGCTTTTGTGGACTTTGTCCAGAGACCCATCCTCTTCAGGAAGAGCTGAACTCAAATCACCCCATATGCATTCTTCTCCGCCTTAGCCTTTCTTCAAGGAAATTCTACAGTATGCTCTGATGACTTGCAGTGTCATACAGCCTTTTTAGAAATTCTTCCTAGTGTCTGACCTGAATCCTTCCTGTTCTAATTTAGACCTATTCCCTCTAGTTCTGTCCTACATGTTACTTTTTCAGCCACCTGTCTAGCATCGAGCTGCCTAGTTTTGGTAACTGTTATTAGGTCCCACGCTTTTTGTTCCTTGAGCTAATATGGAAAGTTATACTTTCCCTTTAGTAAAGGGTGGAACTTAGGTACCCACTTGCTGTTACCAAGTTATGTGGCAAGGAACAGCAGACTCAGGCCGTAAAAGATGATTTCTAGCCAGTGCAGTACAAGGATCCTCTGTCACTCTTCATTAAAAGAGAAGACCTGGAATGCTGTTTTTCTACTGTCATTATGTCAGTTTTTCCCTCAGTCAGTCATGGTCAAGTCCCTGGCAAATAAAAAGGCATTATTTTCATGTCTCTTGGTAGAAGGCAAATCACTCTTTTACAAACCTTGCTTCTGTGTGTTGACATCAGCCTTATGAGGTAGGCAGACCAGGAGTGATCGTCCATATTTTACAGAAGGAAAAAGGTAAAGTTAGTCAGAGTCATCTCCCAAACCTAGAAAGAAATGGAGGGTAATGTTGAAATGGTGGTAGAAACAATGATTTGTGTGTCATTTTAAAAACCCACCTCAAGGACTAAGGCATGTTCATTGTTTGTATGAATAATGCTGAGGTCAGCAGAGCTGTCAGCTGTTCACACCACCCTGTGTGGACAAGGAGCTGCTCCTGATTGTATTGTCCACAGCTTCCTGGCGGGCCTGGGACTGGGTTTTCACATCAATATTTGGGAACTGGGGTCAAGTTAAATCTGGTCTACCTTGTTTATATCCAAGGACAGTCAGCCATGGGCAACCTAAAATGCCAGTGCAACATTAGGCCAAAGATTAGAAAACAAGCTCCACTTTATTATTATTTAATTAATTATTTAATTTTTAAAATTTAATTTTATTATTTAATTATTTTTCTGATCTGGAAAGTGCCATATACGGTTGACTTCTCCTATGAATTCGTTGTTTCCTTTCTTAATGAGGATGAAGAGCCTACCTTAGTGATTCAGATGCACCACTCAGCTTCTCTCATGTTTATTAAGCAATGAGTGTGGTTACCTCTGCCCCAAGGAAAACAAGGAGCATTGTGACTGCTCATTTCTTATACCATCTAGACAGTTGTTTCCAAAAGTACTGAATTTAAGTCATCTTATAGATTTGGCCTGATGGGAAAATGAGACCTGCACAAAGGAGAAAATGAAATGTCCTAGGTGACATGGAAATCCAAGGGATCCCTCCAGGAAGATGGCACCTTACTTTGCTTCTCTCTTCCAGGATTGCATCAGCTTGGGTTCAGGAGAGCCGAATAGGAGTTCGTACCACTCCTTCGTCCTCTACCACAGTAATAGTCCTCGCTGGGGAGAAATTATCAAATTGCCCATCCCCATTGATCGGTTCCGGGGCTCCCACCTGCGCTTCGAGTTCAGACACTGTTCCAGTGAGTGAGACTTCTCTCCACATTCCTTTGAGGATATGAATATAACTCTTTCCTCTCTGGAACAGAAGTAAGAGAGTTCTTACTATTGGGGGAAGAAAATTAGGAGTTGTGTACTTAGAGATGGGATATCATCAGAGGCTGTCCTTTGGACAGTGATTCAGAAACATGGGATCTGGTATTGTCCTGTTGTAGTGTCTGACCTGGATGCTGGATAATTGCCAGGGTCATTCTTCTTTGGGGGTTTCCTTTGTATGTATTAAACTCCTTCTTAAAGAGCCCCTGGTTTATCAAGACTAGCAATTTAGTTTCTATTTGAGTCTAGGTTGCCTGTGTACCTTGGGATATGAATGGAAACTCAGTCTAGTACATTTCTCATCATTCTTGCCGTCAGGTTGCTACCTAATTAATGAACAAAGTAAGGGACAAAGAAGTAAAGAGCATCGGTGATAAGCCAAAAGGGAATTGCTGTTGAAAAGCAAAGTGTGTGGCAAAACAACTAATGCTTGGCTCTGATTTGCAGCAAAGGACAAAGGGGAAAAGAAACTCTTTGGCTTTGCATTCTCACCCCTGATGCGGGATGACGGCACCACCCTCTCAGATGATATCCACGAGCTCTATGTGTACAAGGTACAGAGCCTGGCTGTCTCTCACCCTGATGAGACCACTCTCACACATGGTTCTCAGTTAGGTGGTTTTCACTGAGCGGGCCAGACGATCCAGGGTAATGCGCTGGTTGAGACAGCAGGACAGCTGTGGGCAGTCTTTTGACTTCTAAATGAAGTGAGCTTCCTCCCATAAGTAATGCCAGCAGGGCCTTTGTTTTCCACCTCCCACTCCACTAGTCATGGAAATCTGTTACCAACCCCTCTGTGCTCTTATGGCCTTGGCTTGTTCATTCCGCGACCTGCTATTTGAGATTGGGGTTCTGTCAGCTGTCACAGCATAGCTGGCACTCAAGGTTGCCTGCATACCAGGTAGAGGCCACGAGCCCCACCATGTTCTCTTTAAAAGGCATGTGAGCCGTTCTGGAGAAAGAAATGAAAAGCACTTTTAAAGTGCTTAGAAAGCACTCTTCTAAGAGGACCTGAGGTCCAAGGTCCAGCCTCAGGAAGATGAGAGTAAACATCAACTCAGAAATTCCCTGGGACCTGATTTATTACAGGTGGCATGGTTCAAGAAACATTCTGTATTCTCTACTTTTGCCTATAGTGTGATGAGAATAGCACGTTTAACAACCATGCTCTGTACTTGGGCCTGCCCTGCTGCAAAGAGGACTATAACGGCTGCCCTAACATCCCCTCCAGCCTCATCTTCCAACGCAGCACCAAAGAGTCTTTCTTCATTTCCACACAGCTCTCCTCCACCAAACTCACCCAGAATGGTAGGTGATGGTGCCTGCAGCATGGTGCCCTCCACTGTTCTCACTTGCTGGTCCATGTTGCTGATACATGTTAAAAGAGACAAATTATTGCTTTTTCATGCCACAGTGAGGGAATTCTTTTCATATGTAATTGAAGAAATCATTCGGCAATAGCAGCCTATGAGATTTTCCATGGTTTTAGCAGCTCCTGAGTGACATTCAGACTTTACAGATGTGTCTTTAGCCTTTATCTCAGCACTCCAGAGGCTGTTATACTGCTCGTAGCTATTTCTGTCCTTCTAGGTCTCACCTGTCCTTGGCAGGGAGAGTCTGGGCTTTGCTTGTCCATGACGAAGCCAGGGTTCACTGTCTTTTGGGCTTGCTTCCTAGTGGACCTCCTTGCTCTGCTGAAATGGAAGGCCTTTCCAGACCGGATCATGGACATCCTAGGGCGTCTGCGGCATGTCAGTGGGGAGGAAATTGTTAAGGTATGGCTTCACACAATTCACACATGCTACCTGAGCAAGAATCTGGGCAGAAGGCCCCACTTCCCCTTGATTTCTGCCAGTAAGCCTCTAAGACCATTTCTCGAGGTATATAATTAGGTGAGTAGAAATAAAGGTATTTTTCTTTCTTAACTTCTTTTTTTTAAGTAGGTATCACATCAGGTTTATTACCTTTTAGAAACTACCTTTAAGTTTTAAGCCCTATTTTCTGCCTTGTTTTTCTTCCTAGAAAGCAAACTGGTAATTAAAGGGCAGTGATAAAAACACCCTCTCAGAAACAATCCCAGTGTGTGCTGCTGCCCACATGCCTTTAGGTCTCCTCTCCCTTCCTCTCTCTTCCCTTACTTTGTAAACCTTTACCACAAATCCAGCCTGATGTCTTCTTGGCTCTACTCTCTTGATTATCTACAGGAACTCTGAATACTCTCCATTAACTGTAACTGTTGATTTTGCCCAGACTCTCACTAGAGTCCGTAATAGGGGACCCTTCCTTACTCCCTTCCTCAATTGCTTTTTCAAGTACTTTTGTGACATTTCCTATCTAATGGTCTGAGCAGGCTGACAGCAACACTACCAGACCCCAGTTGTTTTCCATAGGGCTTCTCCGCAGTGTGTAGAAGCCAGGTGTTTGCCCACCTGACTTTAGCTCAAGAAAACTCCCAGGCACTTCCTGATGGTGAAAGCCCAGTAGGTGGATTCTGCACAATGGACTGAACTCAGCTGAGGAAAATGGAAGTACTTTTGGTGATCAGCAAGGGCAATGGAATGTAGGATAGAGATTAAATGTCAAGAAGGCAACTTGTCTATCAGTGAGCATTCTTGGCTTTATCATTGCAAGTGTCAAATCTATTAGCATTGCACTGTCTGTACTTTCATTTTACAGCTTCCATTGACTCAATAATACACAACATGGTGTCTCCAAACAAGCAATAATTTTAAAGTCTGTGTATGGCTTTGTACTTTTTTGAAGTCTTTTATGAATTTTGTCTTAATCAATTGATCAGAATATTATACATTTTTAAAAGAACTCTTTATACAAACAAGCTAATACTAGTTTTTGAAACTTAAGATAAATGCCCTTATACTCAGGGCATTTTTTGCCTTCTAAATATATGAAAAATTTAACCAGTAAAACAGACCAGGTATTAAGAAAAGTCTGTGATCCTTTTAAGGCTGAGTTGTTACATTCCCGACAAAAGAACATCCTACCAGCATTTCTGGTTTTAGCAACAGTATTTGTCTCAAGCCAGCCGGAGAGAATTAAAGAGATTATGCTAGCATTTTAATTAATTTTTACTTTTTATTGTAAGATTTCAAACATACCATAAAAAGTTGACAGAATAGAATAAATAACCATACATGTACCTATCCTATCAGTTACCCCTGACATCAGCCCATGGTCAGTCCTGCCCATAAACTCCTCAGCCATGCCTTCTACCTTCTATTGTTTTGAAATAAGTTGTAAACATTATATCATTAAATTGCATTTTGACCAACAGAATATTAGATTTGATTTTTTAAGACTGGGAGCATCCGTGAGTATTTATTATTCTCTCTCTTGGTTTTTGCATCTTAGAAAGAAAAAGGCACGTGTTCAAAAAACAATGGTGATTCCAGATATTTTACCCTCTTTGACAGCCCTCATCAGCTGCATTTTCCCTTCTCCTGGAATAGTAATTTCTAGACCAAAGAATAGTTTCTATAGTTAAGGCCTAGCTTGCCACAACCTCATCCAAATGTCCTCTACAGAGTTAGGCCATAGAGGAGAACAAGGGACTTTCAAATTTTGGGGGACCCAGGAAAGTAAGCCCTTTTTCTCAACATGGATTTGGCATCAGAATCAGTTAGATTGGGACTTCCCTGGTGGTGCAGTGATTAAGAATCCACCTGCCAAGGCAGGGGACACAGGTTCAAGCCCTGGTCCAGGAAGATCCCACATGCCGCAGAGCAGCTAAGCCCGTGAGCCACAACTACTGAGCCTAAGCTCTAGAGCCCATGAGCCACAACTACTGAAGCCCACACGCCTAGAGCCTCTGCTCCACAACAGGAGAAGCCACTGCAATGAGAAGCCCGCGCACCGCAACAAAGAGTAGCCCCCCCTGCTCTGAGGCGGGAGTGCGAGCGGGGGCGTCAGCGTCGGGCCCAGCGGCTGGAGGCCAGACTCACCACACACACCGGTCTCTTTTGAAAGGGTAGGAAAAAGAAGACGAAGAGAGAGAAACTACAGGAATCTACATCAGCCGTGTGGATGAAAGGCTCTTGGTGATGCAGCCAGGAGTCAGTGCTGTGCCTCTGAGGTGGGAGAGCCAACTTCAGGACACTGGTCCACAAGAGACCTCCCACATAATATCAAACGGCGAATATCTCCCAGAGATCTCCATCTCAACACCAGCACCCAGCTTCACTCAATGACCAGCAAGCTACAGTGTGGGACACCCTATGCCAAACAACTAGCAAGACAGGAACACAACCCCACCCATTAGCAGAGAAGCTGCCTAAAATCATAATAAGTCCACAGACACCCCAAAACACACCACCAGACGTGGACCTAACCACCAGAAAGACAAGATCCAGCTTCATCCACCAGAACACAGGCACTACTCCCCTCCACCAGGAAGCCTGCACAGCCCACTGAACCAACTTTAGCCACTGGGGACAGACACCAAAAGCAACGGGAACTACGAACCTGCAGCGTGCAAAAAGGAGACCCCAAACACAGTAAGATAAGCAAAATGAGAAGACAGAAAAACACACAGCAGATGAAGGAGCAAGATAAAAACCCACCAGACCTAACAAATGAAGAGGAAATAGGCAGTCTACCTGAAAAAGAATTCAGAATAATGATAGTAAAGATGATCCAAAATCTTGGAAATAGAATAGACAAAATGCAAGAAACATTTAACAAGGACCTAGAAGAACTAAAGATGAAACAAGCAATGATGAACAACACAATAAATGAAATTTAAAATACTCTAGATGGGATCAATAGCAGAATAACTGAGGCAGAGGAATGGATAAGTGACCTGGAAGATAAAATAGTGGAAATAACTACAGCAGAGCAGAATAAAGAAAAAAGAATGAAAAGAACCGAGTACAGTCTCAGAGACCTCTGGGACAACATCAAATGCACCAACATTCGAATTATAGGGGTTCCAGAAGAAGAAGAGAAAAAGAAAGGGACTGAGAAAATATTTGAAGAGATTATAGTTGAAAACTTCCCTAATATGGGTAAAGAAATAGTTAATCAAGTCCAGGAAGCACAGAGAGTCCCATACAGGATAAATCCAAGGAGAAATACGCCAAGACACATATTAATCAAACTGTCAAAAATTAAATACAAAGCAAACATATTAAAAACAGCAAGGGAAAAATAACACACAAGGGAATCCCCATAAGGTTAACAGCTGATCTTTCAGCAGAAACTCTGCAAGCCAGAAGGAGTGGCAGGGCATATTTAAAGTGATGAAGGAGAAAAACCTTCAGCCAAGATTACTCTACCCAGCAAGGATCTCATTCAGATTTGATGGAGAAATTAAAACCTTTACAGACAAGCAAAAGCTGAGAGAGTTCAGCACCACCAAACCAGCTTTACAACAACTGCTAAAGGAACTTCTCTAGGCAAGAAGCACAAGAGAAGGAAAAGACCTACAATAACAAACCCAAAACAATTAAGAAAATGGAAATAGGAACATACATATTGATAATTACCTTAAATGTAAGTGGACAAAATGCTCCCACCAAAAGACACAGACTGGCTGAATGGACACAAAAACAAGACCCACATATATGCTGTCTACAAGAGACCCACTTCTGACCTAGAGACACATACAGACTGAAAGTAAGGGGATGGAAAAAGATACTCCATGCAAATGGAAACCAAAAGAAAGCTGGAGTAGCAATTCTCATATCAGACAAAATAGACTTTAAAATAAAGACTATTAGAAGACACAAAGAAGGACACTACATAATGATCAAGGGATCGATCCAAGAAGAAGAGATAACAATTGTAAATATTTATGCACCCAACATAGGAGCACCTCAGTACATAAGGCAAATACTAACAGCCATAAAAGGGGAAATCGACAGTAACACATTCATAGTAGGCGACTTTAACACCCCACTTTCACCAATGGACAGATCATCCAAAATGAAAATAAATAAGAAGACACAAGCTTTAAATGATACATTAAACAAGATGGACTTAATTGATATTTATAGGACATTCCATCCAAAAACAACAGAATACACATTTTTCTCAAGTGCTCATGGAACATTCTCCAGGATAGATCATATCTTGGGACACAAATCAAGCCTTGATAAATTTAAGAAAATTGAAATTGTATCAAGTATCTTTTCCGACCACAACACTATGAGACTAGATATCAATTACAGGAAAAGATCTGTAAAAAATACAAATACATGGAGGCTAAACAATACACTACTTAATAACGAAGTGATCACTGAAGAAACCAAAGAGGAAATCAAAAAATACCTAGAAACAAATGACAATGGAGACATGACGACCCAAAACCTATGGGATGCAGCAAAAGCAGTTCTAAGAGGGAAGTTAGTAGCAATACAATCCTACCTTAAGAAACACGAAACATCTCGAATAAACAACCTAACCTTGCACCTAAAGCAATTAGAGAAGGAAGAACAAAAGAACCCCAAAGTTAGCAGAAGGAAAGAAATCATAAAAATCAGATCAGAAATAAATGAAAAAGAAATGAAGGAAACGATAGCTAAGATCAATAAAACTAAAAGCTGGTTCTTTGAGAAGATAAACAAAATTGATAAACCGTTAGCTAGACTCATCAAGAAAAAAAGGGAGAAGACTCAAATCAATAGAATTAGAAATAAAAAAGGAGAAGTAACAACTGACACTGCAGAAATACAAAGGATCATGAGAGATTACTACAAGCAACTCTATGCCATTAAAATTGACAACCTGAAAGAAATGGACTAATTCTTAGAAAAGCACAACCTTCCGAGACTGAAACAGGAAGAAATAGAAAATATAAACAGACCAATCACAAACCCTGAATTTTAAACTGTGATTAAAAATCTTCCAACAAACAAAAGCCCAGGACCAGATGGCTTCACAGGTGATTCTATACATAGAGAATCCTAAAGATGCTACCAGAAAACTACTAGAGCTAATCAATGAATTTGGTAAAGTAGCAGGATACAAAATTAATGCACAGAAATCTCTCGCATTCCTATACACTAATGATGAAAAATCTGAAAGTGAAATCAAGAAAATACTCCCATTTACCATTGCAACAAAAAGAATAAAATATCTAGAAATAAACCTACCTAAGGAGACAAAAGACCTGCATGCAGAAAATTATAAGACACTGATGAAAGAAATTAAAGATGATACAAATAGATGGAGAGATATACCATGTTCTTGGATTGGAAGAATCAACATTGTGAAAATGACTCTACTACCCAAAGCAATCTACAGATTCAGTGCAATCCCTATCAAACTACCACTGGTATTTTTCACAGAACTAGAACAAAAAGTTTCACAATTTGTATGGAACACAAAAGACCCCAAATAGCCAAAGCAATCTTGAGAACGAAAAACGGAGCTGGAGGAATCAGGCTCCCTGACTTCAGACTATACTACAAAGCTACAGTAATCAAGACAGTATAGTACTGGCACAAAAACAGAAAGATAGATCAATGGAACAGGATAGAAAGCCCAGAGATAAACCCACGCACATATGGTCACCTTATCTTTGATAAAGGAGGCAGGAATGTACAGTGGAGAAAGGACAGCCTCTTCAATAAGTGGTGCTGGGAAAACTGGACAGGTACATGTAAAAGTATGAGATTAGATCACTCCGTAACACCATACACAAAAATAAGCTCAAAATGGATTAAGGAGCTAAATGTAAGGCCAGAAACTATCAAACTCTTAGAGGAAAACATAGGCAGAACACTCTATGACATAAAACACAGCAAGATCCTTTTTGACCCACCTCCTAGAGAAATGGAAATAAAAACAAAAATAAACAAATGGGACCTAATGAAACTTCAAAGCTTTTGCACAGCAAAGGAAACCATAAACAAGACCAAAAGACAACCCTCAGAATGGGAGAAAATATTTGCAAATGAAGCTACTGACAAAGGATTAATCTCCAAAATTTACAAGCAGCTCACGCAGCTCAATAACAAAAAAACAAACAACCCAATCCAAAAATGGGCAGAAACCTAAATAGACATTTCTCCAAAGAAGATATACAGACTGCCAACAAACACATGAAAGAACGCTCAACATCATTAATCATTAGAGAAATGCAAATCAAAACTACCATGAGATATCATCTTGCACCAGTCAGAACGGCCATCATCAAAAAAATCTAGAAAGAATAGATGCTGGAGAGGGTGTGGAGAAAAGGGAACACTCTTGCACTGCTGGTGGGAATGTGAATTGGTACAGCCACTATGGAGAACATTATGGAGGTTCCTTAAAAAACTACAAATAGAACCACCATATGACCCAGCAATCCCACTACTGGGCATATACCCTGAGAAAACCATGATTCAGAAAGAGTCATGTACCAAAATGTTCATTGCAGGTCTACTTACAATAGCCCGGAGATGGAAACAACCTAAGTGTCCATCATCGGATGAGTGGATAAAGAAGATGTGGCACATATATACAATGGAATATTACTCAACCATAAAAAGAAACAAAATTGAGCTATTTGTAATGAGGTGGATAGACCTAGAGTCTGTGATACAGAGTGAAGTAAGTCAGAAAGAGAAAGACAGATACCATATGCTAACACACATATATGGAATTTAAGAAAAAAAATGTCACGAATAGGGGTAAGACAGGAATAAAGACACAGACCTACTAGAGAACGGACTTGAGGATATGGGGAGGGGGAAGGGTAAGCTGTGACAAAGCGAGAGAGAGGCATGGACCTATATACACTACCAAACGTAAGGTAGATAGCTAGTGGGAAGCAGCCGCATAGCACAGGGAGATCAGCTCGGTGCTTTGTGACCGCCTGGAGGGGTGGGATAGGGAGGGTGGGAGGGAGGGAGACGCAAGAGGGAAGAGATATGGGAACATATGTATATGTATAACTGATTCACTTTGTTATAAAGCAGAAACTAACACACCATTGTAAAGCAATTATACTTCAATAAAGATGTAATAATAAATAAATACTTAAAAAAAGATGTGGCACATATATACAATGGAATATTACTCAGCCATAAAAAGAAATGAAATTGAGGTATTTGTAATGAGGTGGATGGACCTAGAGTCTGTCATACAGAGTGAAGTAAGTCAGAAAGGGAAAGACAAATACCGTATGCTAACACATATATATGGAATTTAAGAAAAGAAAAATGTCATGAAGAACCTAGGGGTAAGACAGGAATAAAGACACAGACCTACTAGAGAATGGACTTGAGGATATGGGGAGGGGGAAGGGTAAGCTGTGACAAAGTGAGAGAGTGGCATGGATATATATACGCTACCAAACGTAAAATAGATAGCTAGTGGGAAGCAGCCGCATAGCACAGGGAGATCAGCTGGGGGCTTTGTGACCGCCTGGAGGGGTGGGATAGGGAGGGTGGGAGGGAGGGAGACACAAGAGGGAAGAGATATGGGAACATGTGTATATGTATAACTGATTCACTTTGTTATAAAGCAGAAATGAACACACCATTGTAGAGCAATTACACTCCAATAAAGAGGGAAAAAAAAAAAAAGAGTAGCCCCCACTCACTGCAACTAGAGAAAGCCCGCACACAGCAACGAAGACCCAATGCAGCCGATAAATAAATAGTTTATTTTTTTAAAAAAAAGAATCACTTAGATTGTCTTTATTTCAAAATTACTGTTCTACATGGATGTCCTATGTTTTTTAGGTAATTGCTCTTTCCTTATAAGTTTATCACTTACCCAAGAGGAAGAGCCTCTTTAAGTCTCTCTTAGGGCCCTTTGGGCTGTAAGCAAACACCCCCAAGTCCACCTAGTTATTTCTTGGCTAGGCGGAGGTGGGATACTAGGTTATTTTTAAGTGGTGGCTTGAGATATTAGGAGATCTTTGACTTTGTTTACTGGGAAATAAATTCATTGGTGTATGGAAGTTTGAACATGTGTTCAAGGTCCAAAGACCTGAGCCCTCTGATTTTTATGCTGTTTCAGTTTCTACAGGACATCTTAGATACGCTGTTTGTGATTTTGGATGATAATACAGAGAAATATGGCCTGTTGGTGTTTCAGTCTTTGGTAAGTCTCACCCTTCCTGATTTTTATTAATTATTCCCGTCACATATTTTTTAAAAATCTAAGGAAAGCAACTTATTATAGTGTGTCAGCACAAGATGTAGATGTTTCCAATAGAAAAGGAACTGAGGAGTGTCACCCAAGGAAGACCAACAATCACCCTACCAGGTAGAGCCCTACAAGATCAAATCTGGACTTCAACTTTGTAGTTTTGATACTCAGTCTCACCACTGTTGCAGGGTTTCCTAGCCCCTGAAATAGTGACCTACACCAACAAAAGGCCCAGAGACTAATATAGGAAACAAGACAGCCTGTTTTTCCACTTACAAAAGTAGGATACAACCACCAGGAAAAGCAGAGACTCACTTGTGCTGGTGGAGCACCACACTCTCTTCCTCTATGCAGTGGTTTGGGAGCCAGAGTCTCAGAAGGTTGCTTAGTGTGCAAGGACAGTGATTTGGATGTTCAGTGCGTTTTGTTGAATATATCCAGTCCTACAGGAGGGCTGTATGTTCAAGGAGAACCAGATACTCTGAGTCTACCTGATAGATGAGGAGCAGAGGCAAGAGTTAGAATGGTACTTGCAAAGTTTGCTTCTCTGGCTTTTCTTCTTCCTTGTTTCCCTGGCCAGCCAACCCCATTTCCGAAGGGTACAGCCTTTCATAGGCTGGTTTGGCTTAGAGGACAATATTTTTCTCTCTCTCTTTTCCAAGTTTTTTGAGACAACTTAGTGTTTATGCCACCTACACAGGTATTGTTTTGTATTCCCTAGGTCCATATTGAACCACCTAGCATTCGTGAAGAGAGAAGCTCAAAGTAACACTGGCATTGACAAATGAGTCCCAAGTTTGGAATGGGAGGCCAGGGATGTTAGGAATAGAACAAATATGACAGAAATACAGACACAGAATGGAAATCCTACATTCACTGGGAACACTGGAGAAAACACTAGCAGTTTGCCATTCCTTGAAGAATCAAGAGTTGTTTCCTGCTGGGGATAGGTTTGAGGCCTCCAATTAATTCTGCTACCCTCCATCTCTCCCAGGTATTCATCATCAACCTGCTCCGAGACATCAAATATTTCCATTTCCGACCTGTAATGGACACATACATCCAGAAGCACTTTGCTGGAGCCCTGGCATACAAGTAAGTTGCATTTGGCACCATCATTAGGACTTGTGTTTGACTAGAAAGACGGGCTTTTAAAAAGTTCAGTGGCACCAACATTCGTTCAGCAGACCTTTATTTTTTAAACTTAATTTACTTATTTTTTAACCCTGGTAAAATACACATAGCATAAAACGTATCATCTTAACCAATTTTTTTTTATAAGGGTAACCTCTCTTTTTTTCTTTTTTTTTAAAGAATCAATTTTATTTATTTGTTTATTTTTGGTTGCATTGGGTCTTCATTGCTGCACGTGGGCTTTCTGTAGCTGTGGCGAGCGGGGGCTACTCTCTGTGGCGGTGTGCGGCTTCTCATTGCGGTGACTTCTCTTATTGCGAAGCACAGGCTCTAGGCACACAGGCTCAGTCGTTGTGGCACTCGGGCTTAGTTGCTCTGCAGCATGTGGGATCTTCCCAGACCAGGGATTGAACCCGTGTCCCCTGCATTGGCAGGTGGATTCTTAACCACTGGGTCACCAGAGAATTCCCTTAACCATTTTTAAGTGTACAGCTCAGTGGCATTAAGTATATCTACATTTTTGTACAACCATCACCACCATTCATCTCCAGAACTGTTTTCATCTTGCAAAACTGAAGCTCTGTACCCATTAACCAATAACTTCCCATTCCCCCCCCCCATCACCAGCCCTCGTGTAATCACCATTATACTTTTTGTCTATGGATTTGCTAATCTGGGACCTCATATAAATTGAATCATACAATATTTGTCTCTTTGTGACTGGCTTATTTCACTTACCATAATGTCCTCAGTGCTCATCCATGTCATAGCATGTGTCAGAATTTCCTTCCTTTTATTCTAAATAATGTTCCACTGTATATACCACATTTTGTTTATCCATTCATCTGTTGATGAATACTTGGCTATATTTATCCACCTTTCAGCAATTGTGAATAATGCTACTATGAACATGGGCATACAAATATCTCTTAGAGACCCTGCTTTCAAGTCTTTTGGGTATATACCCAGAAATGGAATGGGTAGATCATATGATAATCCTATTTTTAATTTTTTAAGGAACCACCATACTATTTTCCACAGCAGCTGCACCATTTTACATTCCCACCAATAATGCACAAGTGTTCCAATATCTCCACATTCTCGCCAATACTTGTTACTTTCTGGTTTTTTTGTATTTTTTTTTAATAGTAGCCTTTCTAATGGGTATGAGATGGTATCTTGTGGTTTTGATTTGCATTTCCCTAATGATTAGTGATGTTGAGCATCTCTTCATGTGCTTATTGACCATTTATATATCTTCTTCGGAGAAAAATCTGTAAGTCCTTTGCCTGTTTTTGAATCAGGTTGTTTGGTTGGTTGTTGCTGAGCTGTAATTCTGGATATTAACCCATTTTCAGGGATATGATTTGCAAATATTTTCTCCCATTGCCTTTTTAATCTGTTGATTGTGTCTTTTGATGCACAGAAGTCTTCAATTTTGATATAGTTTAATTTATCTAATTTTTCTTTCATTGCCTATGTTTTGATGTCTTATCCAAGAAATGATTGCTTAATCCAATGTCATGAAACTTTTCTCCTATGTTTTTGTATAAGAGTTTTATCTCTTACATTTAGGTATTTGATTAATTTTAAATTAATTTTTGTTTATTGTGCAACATAAGGGTCCAATTTTATTCTTTTGTGTGTGGATATTTAGTTTTTCCAATACAACTTGTAGAAAAAGAATATCCTTTTCCCATTTAATGATGAAAATCATTTGGCCGTATACATGAGGGTTTATTTCTGGGCTGTTTTATTCTATTGATGTATGTATCTGTCTTTATGCCAGTCCCACCCTGTTTTGACTAGTCTTTATAATCAAAGTTAAAGTTACTCTTTGTAGCTTTGTAGGATGTTTGAAATCAGGAAGTGTGCATCCTCTAACTTTGTTCTTCTTTTTCAAGATTGTTTTGGCTGTTTGGGGTCCCTAGAGATTCCATATGAACTTTAGGATGGATTTTTCTATTTCTGCAAAAAATGTCATTGGGATTTTGATAGAGATTGCATTGAATTTGTAGATCACTTTGGATAGTGTTGACATCTTAACCAAATTAAGTCTCCCAATCCATGAATGTGGATGTCTTTCCATTTATTATTAACTTCTTTAATTTCTTTCTCTTTTTTTTAGCAACATTTTGTTTTCAAAGTATAAGTCTTTCACCCCCTTGGTTAACGTTATTCCTAAGTATTTTATTCTTTTTTGATGCTACTGTAAATGGATTGTTTTCTTAATTTTCTTTTTTGATTGTTCATTGTTAGTATATAGAAAAGCAAATGATTTATATATGTTGATTTTGTTGCAGTGTTGCTGAATTCATTTATTAGTTCTAACAGAGTTTTTTGTGGATTCTTTAGATTTTTCTATATACAAGATCATGTTAGCTACAAACAAAGATAATCTTATTTCTTCCTTTCCGATTTGGATGCCTTTTTTTTCTTTTTTTTTTTGGCAGTACGCGGGCCTCTCACCGTTGTGGCCTCTCCCGTTGCGGAGCACAGGCTCCGGACGCACAGGCTCAGCGGCCATGGCTCACGGGCCCAGCCACTCTGTGGCATGAGGGATCCTCCCGGACCGGGGCATGAACCCGTGTCCCCTGCATTGGCAGGTGGACTCTCAACCACTGTGCCACCAGGGAGGCCCCAATTTGGATGCCTTTTATTGCTTTTCCTTGCCCAATTGCTCTTTCACTACTAATATGTTGAATAGAAGTGGCAAAAGCAGGCATCCTTGCCTTGTTTCTGATCTTAGAGGAACACATTTCAGTCTTTTACCGTTGAGTATGATGTTAGATGTTAGCTTTCCGCTGATGTTTTAAACTAGAGTTTATTACATAGTTGTCATACTTTTCCTTCTAAGAAATGATGGCAGAGCTGCTAAAAATATGTCTTGCTTTTTCAGTGAGAAACATGTGAATAGCTAACTATAGTACTGACAAATAAATATCAAAGAAAAGAAAAAGATAGTCAATAAAAGAGATAATATGAATAATAAACATGGGAAACACTCACAGCTTATCTAAAACCATTAAAGCAATTTTTAAAGTCACCATATTATTCTATGGAATGAGTACAAGTTGTTTTTTGTTTTTTTTTTTTAATTTATTTGGTTGCACCAGGTCTTAGTTGCAACAGGCGGGCTCCTTAGTTGCGGCACATAGACTCCTTAGTTGTGGCATGCACATGGGATCTAGTTCCCTGACCAGGGATCGAACCCAGGCCCTGCATTGGGAGCACAGAGTCTTATCCACTGTGCCACCAGGGTAGTCCCAGAACAAGTTTAGAAAACAAAACCGAAGGGTTCTGAGGCTGTGGAATCACTGGAACTCTGACACTTTGATGTCACTTTGGAGAGCAGGCACTGCGCTGTGTACTTTACATGTGTCATCTCATTAGAATTCACAGTTTGAGATGTACTGTTGTTTCCTCTACATTTTAAATGAAAAGAATGAGGACAGAGGACCCAAATAACTTGCCCAAGGATGCAAAGCTAGAAACTGATAGGCCTAAGATGCGAACTGTTATCTGACGAGGGCCTGCACTCTTGCCCTGTGTACTCTTTTGCCATGTAAATGTGAAGGCCTTCTGACCCTGTAATCCCATTCCACTCAGATGACTTGGTCCTAAGGAAATAAGATCATTGGGATGGCAAGGAGAGGCACACCGGACTATATACCTTTATTCAGAGTGTGTTGTATGTTCGGGAGACTTAGCAGTTTTAAACAAAACAAAACAAAACACACATCCAGTCCCAGACTTCGGGAAAACTTTCTTGTAATCAGAAAAAATGTGTGTCAGGGAAAGTGGGAAAGAATGATTATAATTGCTGATTGAAATGTGGCAACTCTTTTTGGACAGGGAGTGTTGTCTGGTCTTGGATGATCTAAAGATTCCACAGCTGTATTGGATCCATCACTCTATTCTAGCTCATTAGCAGTATATTATTTCCTATATGGCTAATTCAGGACTGCAAATATTTTAGGCTGCATTGCTCTTGGATTAACGTGAGGTTTCTGAAACTGTTCTTTTTCCTAGGGAGCTAATCCGCTGTTTGAAGTGGTACATGGACTGCTCGGCAGAACTGATTCGGCAGGATCACATTCAGGAAGCCATGAGGGTAATGTACTGAGCTTGCTGTACAAAAAGGGCCCACCCCTGCAGAACTTTGCAAGTAGCCTCAATGGAGTAGTGTGCAGGACAAGTGTAGACAGCCAGTACACTGCTCTGCTTTCAGGAATGACTGCCTTGATCCACATAACTGCCTTTTCCTCACTTTGATTTTGCCCTAAAAGGTCTTTATTCCTCATAATTTTATCTTAAAGCAGGAGAGAGGGATGATGTGCATGTGGCTCTCAGCCATCCTCCCTGCCTGGTTTCTACCAACAATGTCAGTCTTTGCTTCCACTGGCTAAAATATCATATCTCCTTCTAAGCCAGTGTTGGTGGCAACATTGATGAGAAATAAGATCTTCCAATACTTTTCCCTTCTTCAGTAGTTACTAAACATTGTTTTCTATAACTGTTTTAAGAATGCACTGTATGCAGATATGTTGAGAAGAAGATAATCTAAAAACCGTGACCAGGCAGCCCTTTGCCTTGCTGGACAGCTCCACTTTACAGGGGACTGTCCTCATTGTTAGTTAACTATACTTTCTGGTAACTTCTTTTCATGGCTACTGCTTCTGCTGTAGAGAACAGCCTATGAGAATGTTGATCCCTCTTTTGCTCAACAGTTCTCCATATAGCTGTTTGAAGAACACTGTCGTATCCTCTGAGAACTCATTTAAAGCAAGTTCATGCTTGCTTGCTTGCTTTTTTGTCCCTGTCTTTTCTTGTTCTTGAGTTACTCTCATTTTTTGGTTGCTTTTTAACCATGTCTTTCCCATCCTTTCTAGTTAGTAATAAAAGAAGAATGGCAGCAAAGTAGTTCTGCTTTCTCTTTGTCCTCTTTTAATATCCCATCATCTGCTCTAAGTACTTCTGGGCCTATGATTTTGTTATTCTTGTCCACGTGGTAACAGGTAAAACAGATGTTCCCCCAAGCATCATCAGATTAAAGAGGCAAAATCAAATCATAAATCCATATTTTCCCTGCCTCTTCTCTGCACATTCTTTAAAAATCTAAGGCCACAAGTCTCACTTCTGTCTTTCTTCACGCAATACATGTCAGCTGAGCAATCAGCATGTCATGGGTGCTAAGATGCAAAGAGTAAGACTGACCTCTCCCCTTGAAGAACACATCCCCTGTGTCCTAAGGGGAATCAGGTTCAAACACAAGTGTAGAGCAGGGTTCTGAGTGTAATGTGAGGGCAAGCACTGGGTTCTGTTCTTCTCTGAACCCCAGCACCTGTGAAGTGCCCTGCATAGTATTTGAGGGGATACAAGTTGAGTTAAATACAAAAGATTCTATGTGAGTTCATAAATTAATTGCTTAAGGTTACTGGAGATGCTATCTCAGAAGTTTTCCCCTAAGAGTCGTTCATTCAGCCATTCATTCAGTCAGTATTGCTTGATACCTGCCATATGTCAGACACTGTGTTAACCACTGGGGATTCAGCAGGAGCCCAAGTAGAAAGGCTAGGCCTTCATAGCACTTCCATTCAAGTGGGGAAAAGGCAGATAATAAACATGTCAAACAGATAAATACACAAAGTAAGTGAGAAAAGAACATTGATGATGCTATGAGGGAAATAAACAGGATCTTGGGATGGAATGGCTGGAGAGGAGGGTTTACTTCAGATCAAGAGTTTAGGGAAAGCTTCTCTGACGAGGTGACCTGAGCTGAAATCAGTGTTAAGAACTGGGGGACACACATTTCAGACTGAGGAAACAGAATGTTTAAAAGCCTGGATGGGAAAGAGCTAGAGTTTTCAAGCAACCATAAAGTGGCTGATGTGACCAAAGCAGAAGCTTTCAAATGTTCGGTTGGATGTGAGAGGTGGCAGAAAGGAAGACCTGAGGGTGGTTCCAGGGGTCTGGCTAGATGAGCTGGGTTGATGGCAGGGTCACCTATGGAGGTACAAAATTCCTGGAGAATATCAGGCTTGGGTGGGGAAAAGGAAGAGTTCCATTGTGGGGGAGCACTTTTCTGGGGGTACTTTCATACTTGTTCTTACCATATCAAATGTATTTGAGTGGCGTCTGATACTAATGCATCTAGCCCAACGGTTTTATCAGGCCATTTCCACTTCTTCATCAAATTTCAGTTTACAAGTCCTCTTGACCAAATGTGTAAGTCTCTATCTGATCCTAATTTCATCCTTATTCACAGAATGCATATGCTTCTGACCTGGCATTTCTTATTCCGGTATCATAATCTGTGGACCAGGAAACCTCCTCTTCTTTATTGCTCTTGATTCAATACATCTTGCTACTTACACATCATCTCTTCCTTTCCCTTTCAGAGTCATGACCTTCCAAAGTTATGCCACTAAAGATGAAAATAAAGAGTCTTTTATTTTCTTACTTGGTTACATTATTCCTGAGTGAATGACTTACAAGGGGGTATCCTTGGTGGGTCTGAGGATGGCTTTTGGCAGGGCGTTCCAAAAAGGCAGCATACTTTTCACTGCTGAGCTGCATCAGGTTCTTACCAGGGAGCCAGGAAAGAGAAAGCACAATGATCTCCTTAGTGACAGAAAGGTTGTAATAACTTTTAGGATCTCTTTTCCCTTCAGGTTTATTAACTTAAGTAGAAAAAGACAGAGAAGCTGCTTCAGCCGTAGTTAAGGGTTCCATTGTCTCCACACAGGGTTGGGAACACCTGTAAACTTCAAACAACTTCCATAGGATCCACCCTCACCTTTTATCCCACTCTTCTGCTCTCCTCTCTTTACCCAGTTGCATCTGTCACAGGTGGCCAACTTTACCTGGTCCTGGCCATCAGCTGGTGCTGATGGTAAAAATCAAGAGGAGTAGGGAAAGGGGAAGTCAGGTAATGATGGATGACTAGAAGTGAGCTTGTTTTCCTTGCCCTCATCCAGGTTTTCACAGGCTGTCTTCGACAACAGCCTTGTACTCCTCTGCAAAGTGTTTTATATTTTAGGACTTAATGGAGGAACTGATCTCTCGTACCCAGGAAGTGCAAGCGACTTTGCTGTCTGGTTCTGCCTCTCACTCTGAAACTAGTGGATGTTCTAAGCCACTCAGTACATCTCTTGTGGTAGTTGTTTCAAACTGAGAAAAAAAACACTTTCCTTTTTAAATTTAGCAGAGACTTTCCAGGTTCTTTACAGACCAGGCATTAAATTTCCAGATTATTTGTAGACCAGGCATTAAAAGGCTACTGAAAGAGAGACTGTAGCGTTTACGGAGATGAGGCCAAACACTGTAACTTATTCTGCAGAATCCTCTGGTGCAGGCCTTGGAACACACATTTTTCTGAACTAGCCATTTTCCAGTGCCAACTGAGTTCAGTGTGGAGCACATAAACACACACACACACACACACACACTCACACACACAAAGTTTTGCTTTGCTAAACCTGACAGATGAATAGATCATGAAAGTAGCTTGGGAATTGTTTCCTGTTATATAGTTCAAGTAACTGAGCTCCATATTTCATCCTTGGATAAGTTTCTCCTCAGTTTTCAATGTCTCTGCCTTTCCAGTGTCTGGGAAATCGTTAGCCTTTCTTTGATTAGAAAGTATAGTCTTGGATCTTGAATTCTCTTAAAAGAGAATTATTCAGCTCATAAGCATGGGCCAAGCTGCAGGGACTCCTCAGAATCAGATTCTGCTCCCAAAACATGTTATGGGAGCTTTGTCTTCTGTATTGTTCATGAACTATTGATGGCAGGTGTCCTTGTCTGGAAGAGGATGGAAAATGGGTGGGTTAGGTCCACCAGCTCCTGTGCAACTAGGGACAAGTTCTTCAGACTTGACCCCTGGTGGGAAGGCTGGCACCGTGTCCAGCTGTTTCTTGAAGATGCAGAAGACTCTTTAAAGGACTCTTCCTTCTTGGAATAAATTTAAGAGAGGTTCTTATATCATTGCCTTTGTAGCCTTTTATTTCCAGACCTGAGAAAAATGAGAGAAATTTAATTTTCTTTTGATTCTATATGGTCTTGAATTCAACTGCTTCCATAACAGTCTGTGGTTATACACTTCCATAACCGCATGAAATAATTTGATGATTCTCTCAGTACATAGACAGTTGCTGCTCAGTGACCATTGGAGTTTTGAGAAAAGGTTTAAAAACTTAAAGTGCTTCACTACTAAATATAAAGTAGATTAATAATAACCTGCTATATAGCACAGGGAATTCTACTGAATACTCTGTAATGACCTATACAGGAAAAGAATCTAAAACAGAGTGGATATATGTATATGTATAACTGATTCACTTTGCTGTACAGCAGAAACTAACACAACATTGTAAATCAACTCTACTCCAATAAAAATTTTTTAAAAATTAAACTGCTTGTCTCCATAGTTGGAATTGTCCCCCTCCCAAGCTTGGTGTATAATTTTCTGGTACTCCACCCTTCATTCCCTCATATGTTAGTTTCTGGACATCTTTAACACCTCTCTATCCCTTTTTCCTCCTACACCTCCAGGCCTTGGAGTACCTTTTCAAGTTTATTGTGCAGTCAAGGATCCTCTACTCACGTGCCACCTGTGGGATGGAAGAGGAGCAATTCCGGTCCAGCATCCAAGAACTTTTCCAGTCCATCCGGTTTGTGCTCAGTTTGGACAGCAGAAACTCAGAAACACTCCTTTTCACTCAGGTCTGTGAGCTACAGCAAAGTTTTGCTGCTGGATTCTTGTCTGTCTTAGCAGGTGATTTCTTTGTCCTCTGGCTTCCAGAGTCAAAGAAGCCCTGCCAAGCTCCTATGTTTTGGGTAAGGGATGAGTTATAAGGAAATACCTAATAGAATAAAATGCTGCTTTTACTTCAAAGCCAGCTATGCCCCAGCTTCCAAATATAAGACAGCCCAGTGGCTTTATGGTGGAGAAGAAGCACAACTTTGCCCTCTTTAGACCAAATTTATTTAGCTACCATGCTATTAGTTGTTCGTGAACATCTTATTTATAGAGGATATTCAGAATGTATAGAGAATTTTATTTCCTAGCCACTGTATTAATTTTGAAAACCTCAGGTTAGTATTGGTCCATCCTAGCAGTTAAGAATGAAATAGGTTGAAAAACAGCAGAAATAACTAGAAAACTTTGGCTAAGAATTAGGATTAGATTCCATTAGAAATACCAGTGTGGGAAGCAAGTTGCTTCCTTATATTAAAAATGTCTGTCCAGCTAATCAGTCACCTTTTACATGCAACCTTACCCTAGAAGGGATCACGGATATTGTTCATTACCCCAGTCACAAAGGGGTTATTTTTGCTTATAAATAAATGTCAGAATTTTATCTAATGAATTTCACTTCTTTGATTTTTCTGAAGCCAATTATTACATCAAAACCTATGAGCAAAGACCAGACAGCCTTTCTCATGTCCATTCATTCAGTCACTGCCAGGTCTGTCAGAGCAAATGTATGTTTAAATACCTCATTTAAGATTAGAATAGTCTGCTTTTTTTGTTTTCCACTTGCTTCTATGTTGCCCCTTGATGCCAGTTGCCCATAAGCCCCTTGGCCCAGAGAACAGGTGAGCAACTGGGGGATAGCCTCTATAAAACAGTGGAATACATCAAGGTCACCAGGTATCTCTATAAGAAAGGCTCCTTCCATGGTCTCCCCTCCTGAACACCCCAAGCCAGTCATCTTTCTCCTTCCTTCCTCTCCCCCAGCCTATCTGTTCCTGCCAACCAGGGCCCGGGACACCTACTCCTCCCTCAGCATGTGGAGATGTGGGGAGCTAGCAGAGCAAGCCAGATACACTTTCTGAGAACTCAGCAGTGCCCTGTACTCAATGGCATGTTCCTATCACATCAGGATAAATAGCTTAGATGTAGTCTTATCTTAGACCTGAGTCAGAATCAGACCTGCTTCTTTGGTGCCAGGCTCATGTTTCACAGTTTCAGAACTTTCAGCAAGTATGCTCTTCAGTCAGACTTTATATCTTTGATTCTGACCACTAGGAGATGTTATGGTGCAAGTGTCCTTCTGTTCCGATGCCATAAGTATAGGAAATTTCACCATTTAAGAGAGCAAATCAGCTACTGTTCATTGTTGATTATGAAATACCTGCTTTTCTGGGAATTTCCTAGCAGTCCAGTGGTTAGGACTCGGCACTTTCACTGCCGTGGCCCCAGGTTCAAGCCCTGGTTGGGGAACTAAGATCCTGCAAGCCACACAGCACAGCCAAAAGGAAAGGAAAAAAAAAGAAATACCTGCTTTTCCCCCTTTGTCTTTTGTATCTAGTTGCTTATGATGATAGTTTTTGTGCTGGTTCTAATTACTGCAAAATGATCTCCTTGATATCCCAGGGAGTTATAAATCTGCAGATAGAATTCATAAAAGTTCAGTCCTTGGTCCTGGCCTGAACATAGACTGCAGTATGACAGACCCATTTCCCCAGGTCATAAATTTTCACTCACTCTAGGCCAGTGTCTTACTGCCTGTTGAAGCAATCAGGAAAAACAGCTCCCCACCCTGCCCCCCAAACTGTCACTGAGGAAGAGCGCACTCTCACCTCGTCTCAAGGTGACACTCCATTTCCCTTTGTAAATCTTGGCTTAATAGTGTAAGAGGACTGAGAAGTAGGAAGAGCCTCCTTCATGCTGCTTCCGTTTAGACAAGAGAAATGAACAAGAGCCAGCATTTATTGAAGGCCTATTGTGTGCCAGGCAGTCTACTGGAAATTAATTTTATGCACCTAAACTTTTTCCTCATACCAATACGAGGAGATAAGTAATAGCATCATCCCCATTTTATAGATGAGAAAAGTGAGAATTAGGTAGTAACTCACCCAAGGTTATGTGGCAGATAAGTGGTAACGCTGGGATTTAAACTCATGTCTGTCCAATTCCAAAACCCATTCTCTTTCTCCTAAACTATTCTGCCTCCCAAAGGCTCAGATTCTCAAGAGAATATTGAGACTCAGTTCTCAAGAAGTTACCATATGGGTCTGCCAGAGCTAAGATCCTAGGGGAGAATTCTCCAAACACACACATACTCCACTTGTCCAGGCCATCTAGGTCTCTGAACTCTATGCCAACATTATCCGCAGTCCTCAAGAGTTCATGGCTGACTAAATCCACACATTCTCCATCCTTTTGGATTTACACTTGAAACTGCCAGGCATCACACGTGAAGGAACTAATTTACAAAGTCTTTAGATTTCATGGTTTCAAATAAATGACACTATTCTGGGGAAATGGTCCAGTTTTCAGAGCTGGATTGCTAGCTGAAGGACTGTGAATGGAGTTCACCTAGTGCTGCTTGATGGTGCTCAGTTATCTTTGCCTACGTTCTTTGAGAGCTTCCTGGCTTGAATTTGGGACTGAAACTGGAAAATCAAGAGCTTGATCGTAGAGACAGACAAAAAAATTTAAATCCATTTTATGAGCAAAAACAGCTATAGATGTTAAGCCCTAGAGTTAATTTCTGTATATATTCCCTTCTCTTGCCAGCAAATGCCTTGGCAAGTTCTGAAAGCTTCAAGCGGCCTGAGCCCCAGTAAATTCTCTTGTTTTGGTTACCTTTTTGGTTCTTCCTGCTGCATGCCCTAAGAGTGCTGCAGGGTGGAGTCCAAGGCCAGGGAGGAGCACATTCGAGGCAGGGGTGCTGCAATGACTTCTCAACCTCTCACCACCAAGTATCATTGTCTAAGCATGCAAGATAGATGCATACCTAACTCTGAGCTAACCAGACCTTCACTTGCTTCCGCAGGCTGCACTTCTCAATTCCTTCCCAACGATCTTTGATGAGCTGCTGCAAATGTTCACTGTGCAGGAGGTAGCAGAGTTTGTGAGAGGGACTCTGGGGAGCATGCCCAGCACTGTGCACATTGGGCAGTCAATGGATGTGGTCAAGCTGCAGTCCATTGCCAGAACTGTGGATAGCCGCCTATTTTCTTTCTCAGGTAAATCAAGTTGGGATGAGAGTCACACTCACCTTTCTTCCTTATCAGGGTGTTGGCCAAGTGGGAAGCAAAGGATCAGTTTCATCAGCCATCATGCAAGACACCAGTGGCCCTTCAAGTGCAGAGTTTTTGGTAAACTCTGTTAGAGAATGCAGCCAGAACCTAGGCCTACTGCCTTACTCACAATTTATTCCTAGGGACCCACATGGGGTGGCCTGCCTCCAGGCCCACAAGTCGAGCCGGCTGCCAAGAATGGGGCCTGCCATAGCCCCAGCAGGATGAAAAAGCAGAAGGAAAGGAAGGGGAACAAGAGAGAAAGGTCTAGCCCAAGGGGATAGGATAAGTCAAGGAAATAAAAGAGACCCTGAAAGGGGGGCCCTGAGGACCCACTATGCTTTCTTGGTTCCTGTCCTCACCAGTCAGATAGATTCCTCTCTCTGAAGGAGCTTCTAAAGATTAGACAAAGTGATGGAGAGGAGCCCTCCACACTCCAAAAGAGGTCAGGACAGCCTAACACATACCGTCAGCAGGCCAGACTGTCTTTCAGAAGGAACCCCCGGATTCATACCTGAAACCACATTGAATGTGATCAAGTACTCAATAGTCAGATGTTAAGATCAATGTGAGCCTGATCCTTTAAGCAGAATATCACTATAGTGGAATAAATTTCTAGGGCACAGGAATAAATCTGAAATGCTAGTAAAGCAATTATTATTAGAATTTTTATAATTAGAATTTTTTGGTAGTAAAATTTTTTAAGTTTGACTTTTAAAGTATAGGAACAATAATTTCTCAGCCCAGAGCTACACACATTTGCAGTACTAAATAAATACTCTCTTTAACTTAACTCTACCTGTGTAAAGTATTGCTGATGGTAAAGCTGCCACCAAGAAATTCAGATTTTCTCCACCTGTAACTTTTTATGGTAAACACTTTGCATCAGTTCCTGGATTGAAGGTAAAATCAATGGTTTGGACATACTTTCATTGAAGCCACTGCATACACTCAAGCTTTGAGCACTGCTTAAAGCAGATGCTTTCTGAATATATGGGAAGACGGACAGCAGACTGCCCTCATTGACATACGTTATTTCTAATACTTTTGCATGTACTTGCTGCTTCCCATAATCACTTAAGAAAAATTGTTCTTATCTGGCTGGAACTATGTAACTGGATATTGAGATAAAAAGCCACGACCAAATTTTCACTTGCATCTCACTTTCATTGAATGCCTGAGTTGAAGCATCTTCCCTGAAGCAGGAAGACTTTTACCAGTGGTGTCATTAACCAACACATATCCTCAGAGCATATCAGTTTGGTTTCTTCATTAGCAGGTTCCAATAAAAAACTACTATTTTGTCTGCAGGCAGCTGTTGGTTGTTACAAATCTTGCTCTGTTGGTATTTTGGTCTACAAAATACAGTATGAACTTCTCTTTTATCCAAGCATCCTTTTAAACATAGAATAGCTGTCATTCCATTTTTTTGAACATATTCTAAGTATTTGACAAGGCAGTCCCCAAAACCTCTTGTATGTCATGTAGTTTGTCTTTTGCTGAAAAAGATTTTCATTCTGAATTTCATCTGGAATACTTAATTATGGTCAAATATGAATAATAAATCCCAAATGCCTTGGCTTGTTTGTGTTACTGGTAGTCTGACCGAATCATGCTGGCCGGGTGTCGTGGTACTTTTATCACACAGTCATTGACTACATTGGAGTGCAAGATACCAGAATCATGTTCACACTTGTATTTCACCTTCTCACCACACCTGTGAAGTCATAGATGGGGGAAATTAAGCCCACAGGAGGAGTCAACCTGCCTAAAATCTTAGAGTGAATTAATAAAAGAGCTTGATTTAGGATTTAGCCTTCTTGAATTTGGAGTTCTAAATATAGTCAGCCCCTGATGAAAATATTATTCAGGTAGCATTGAAGAGAAAAGAAAAGAAAAACATTTTAATGTATGCAGTAGGATTGACAATGAGGTTTAGCTGATTATTGCAGGCTTATGACAAGATAAAAGTCCTGCTTCTATTCCTTTCATTGCTGTGGATACATGTAGCATCCCACAAGCCTGAGGGGAAAAGGAGGCAGGCCTGATGGCTGACGCAAAGTGCGAAACTTATGGGGGTGCAAGTGCCAGGCCGCCATCCAGGGCATTGTGAAGAGGGACCATTTATAATCCATACCAAGTCTGCAAGTTCAATCAGCGTAGTTCAGGGCTTCCCTGGTGATGCAGTGGTTAAGAATCCTCCCGCCAATGCAGGGGACACGGGTTTGAGCCCTGGTCTGGGAAGATCCCGCATGCCGCGGAGCAACTAAGCCCGTGCGCTACAACTACTGAGCCTGCGCTCTAGAGCCCACGAACCACAACTGCTGAGCCCACGTGCCACAGCTACTGAAGCCTGTGTGCCTAGAGCCCATGCTCTGCAACAAGAGAAGCCACCGCAGTGAGAAGCCCGTGCACCACAATGAAGAGTAGCCCCTGCTCATTGCAACTAGAGAAAGCCTGCACGCAGCGACGAAGGCCCAACACAGCCAAAAATAAATAAATGTATTTATTTTTTAAAAAAATCAATGTAGTTCATAGAACTGTGTCACTTAAATGGGGTTTTCACTGTAATTTGTGCTTTTAATTTGGAGTCTAGTCAGTAAAGAGATTTCATTTGGAAGCAGTCTCCTAACATTATCCTGAATAACATGCCCTAGATATTTAGGCCTGAAATGAGAAAGAAGGAACAATAGATAGAAGGATAATGCTGTGCAATGTCTTAAAATGTCCAGGAAGTGGGCTGTTAGGCCCACATAAGGGAAGGGGGTGATTTGCAGCTTGGCTCCAGTCTCAGCCCCACCTACTTTGAGACCAGCTGCATCCCACATTGCCACTTGCTTCCAAAGGTAGCTGGTTCTCCTCTGAAGGGCTTCTTCACCTTTGTGTTTTCTCTCTCAGAATCCCGTCGCATCCTGCTTCCTGTGGTTCTCCATCACATTCACCTTCACCTGAGGCAGCAGAAAGAGCTGCTAATCTGCTCAGGGATTCTTGGCAGCATCTTCTCCATCGTCAAGACCAGCTCTCTGGTAGTGGCCCTAGACCCACTCCACTCCCCACCCAAAGCTCTGTCCCTCTCTTGTGTTACTTTAGCCAGAGGCAGACCAACAAAGATCACTCTGTACACTTCCCAGTCAGAGAAGCTTTCATCAGTGATGGGGGTGCCCAAGTGAATGGAGGCCTCCCTGTGTGTGCCCAGCAGGCTTCTCAACACAGCAGTCTTGCTATGTTAAAAAATTGTACTGCCATAAATACACCCAGAAACATAGTTATCTGTAGTACCAAAAAGCCCAATCCTGTGCATGCTCTATTTCTGTCAAAAGGTATTACTTCTGTATTCCTGGGAGTGTTCTAAGGATACTCACGCACAAGCACAGGGAGGCAGGCCCAGGCTGAGAGGCAGCTTGCTCATTCAGACTTTTCTGGCAGCTTCCTGGCAGCTTGATTCCACCCATATGGCATTCCTATACCATGCCAGATGAGAGCAGGGTGTACGAGAGATAAATGTTGTCCACAAGAGTTCTGAGCCTCATGGGATGGTAGGGTTGTACTTTAGGGGTCAGGTTTCAACTACTAGTGCTTTTGCCTATTTTCTTTCTTCTTTATTTTTATTTTTTAGAAGAGGTCTGTGGTAGGGAAGGGAGGTAGGAAAGGAGGGAAAACGTATCAGGCATGAATAAGGGTAGGAATTTATTTTAATTATATTTATTTTATATATTTATGATAATGGAAGAAACGCATATTTCTTTTAGAAAATTTGGAAACTTATAGGAAAATATAAAGAAACTTAAAACAAGAATGAGTTTTAATTATGCTATCTTATTAAGTTGAGGTAAGGTTTTTGGAGAATAAAATTTCAAGTGCATTTAAAATGAATGCCAGTAGCCAAGTGATAGGAACATACAAGGTTAGGTTATCCAGGAAGATAGAGCAGGAGAGGTGCTGAAAAGAAAGAGTGTGCTTGGTTTGAATAGGATACAAGGACTCAATAGGGGGCTCTGGTATCCAGACTTAAAGTACCACCTGGTGGTGGGGGCCCAGCTTGGCAGAGTGACCGTGATGGTTGTAGTGGCCCTTTTGTTTGATCTTGGCTCCAGGCAACGCCTAGCAGCTCTCTTTCCCATCAGGCCTCAGAGAAGCAACATCAGGCACATAAGGTGTACTGGTAACCCAGGGTCAGACTTGGGATGGGAGGCTTACTGCTAAAGAAAAAGAGAAATTGAAGGGGAAAAGAAAGGGTAGGGGAGGAATGGCAGAGGAATGGGAACAGGTAAAAACCTGAAGATGATCTGGTTGTGTTTGTGGGGCTAGAGAGTCAAGTGCAATTAGTTGCTTACAACTACTCAAAGAGCCATCACAGGTTTTAAGAGTGTTATGATCAGTTCAGCAAATGAGAAAGAAGACTTTGGTCCCAAGAGCTGCTCAAATTTTTCATGTGGAATGGGGCTCAGTGTAACTATATTGAATGGATGGAGGGTGGGTGAAATTTAAGCTCCATGAAAGCAGAGATATTACCTTTCCTGTTCACTTCTGTATACTCAGTTCTCAAACAGTGACTGGCACATGGTAAATACTTACTGAATGGTGGGTTGATGGATGGATGGACATTTGGACCAGTAATAATATAAAGAGACTGGAGAAGAGGCAATGGGAATCTCTTTGTGAGATAATGAAAATCAAGTTATAGGGTTTAAGATTGCATGTGAGAGGTCTATAAAAAGATAGCACAGACTCTGCCTAAATTCAGAACCTGGTGACTGGGAAGCAGCCCTTAGTGAGGAGGCGTGCTCCGTTGTTTTTGTGAGGCTGCCTGAAAAAGATGCACTGAGACCAGAGTCCTTCTGGTGGACCAGGGAATGTGAGCAAGAATGCCAAGGAGCTAGAAGTGGCATGTCTGGGCAGCAGTCAGGCCTGGCAAAAATTGAGGTCACTCAAGGAGAAAATGGTTCTCAGAAAGACTGAGATACTTCTGTGTGCATTAGCAATAGTAAAGGTGCTGCCACCACACCCCCTGGTGTGAATTCTTTACCATTTTCTCAAAATGTTAGTCAGCAGTGCTGTGCTTCCTCCTGACTTTCGTAGGAAAATCAAAGAAAACATTTAACTTAGAACCTTCACTTCTGCCCTGTATATTGAAATTAATGTATTTGTCTGAGGTTCAGAACTATAGGTGTCAGAGTGGTGCTGCGTTGGGGTAAGGCCCCAGCCACCAAACCAGTGCAACAGTGGCAGGTGTGCCTCACCTCCTTTCAGAGCCATTGTTCCAGGTTCCTTGACACTGCATACCAGTGAGGCCAGGAGCTCAGTGTTGAGAATTAAGTCAGAAGACCACTCCTGATGTGGCTGACTTAGTAAGTACTGCCAGCTGCACGTCAGCAGGTCTGGCACTAACTGTGTGCTCTCTCGCTGCTCACTCCAGGAGGCAGATGTCATGGAGGAGGTAGAAATGATGGTGGAGAGCCTCTTGGACGTGCTCTTACAGACTCTGCTCACCATCATGAGCAAATCGCACGCTCAGGAGGCGGTAAGAGGGCAGCGGTGCCCGCAGTGCACAGCGGAGATCACTGTTAGTAACTAACATTCAGGTTTTCTTGCTTTCTTTTCTAACCTGGGGTTCCTCCACACCAAACCTCATCTCACCATCACACCACCTTCATCTCAGCTTCCCTTCCTGCCTGGTTGTCAGCATGCTGCCCTTTTTCCTTCTCGAGTCGTACTCCATCTCCACTCTGAAAGCTCTAGGTTCATACTCACAGGAGTCTACTTAGGGGCAGATCCAGTGATGCTTCCTGTCCTGTTTTCCTGCACACCACCTCCATTGGCCTTTGCATTTGAGCCAAGTCATTTTCTATAATGTGGAATAAAGCAGAGACATAGTAAGAGGTTGAAGGTGAAAAATATAGACTATTCCTTTTAGGAGCAGGCTCTTGTAAATGACATGCATGACAGTTATTTTCTCACGATTTGCTTGTACCTACAAATTAGTCACTTTTGTCCATAGTGTTTGTATCTAAATGTCTAGCATCAGGAAAAATGTGATGAGGTAGAATTGGACTGGCATTACTGAACAATGATATCCTATGATCGAATTAGAAGAGAAACAGACTGGGAAAGCTTCTCAGGTGTGGCAAAGAGACACCCCCCAGGGCCCCCACCCCTATACAGAGTGGACTTCTTAGCCCTGATGTTGGAACATGATAAACAGATTGCTTGGAATCTTCTAGTTGGCAGGTGGAAGACTACAATGATCCCTTTGTAGAAAACCTTCTATGGGAGCAAGCCAAGCTCCAGCATGTTAGGGAGAGCAAAGAGTAGACATGAGTTCTGGAGCATTGGGCTTGGAAGGAATATCTGCTCTCTTAGGAACCCCTATTCAGGACACCCTCACTATAGGTAAAAACATACGCACCCTGCCATGTCCTGGCAGCCCATCCTTCTAACCAGCAATGACACAGTGCTGGCTGTGGGCCAGATTCTGCTTTATGCACTCTACAAATATTAACTCATTAGCAATACTAAAGAAGTGATCTGTTTTATATGGATTTAATGAAGATGATAGCAACAATTTATTGAGCACGGCTTTATGTAGTGAACTGTTTACTTAAATGCTTTATGTACATTAATGCATCTGATCCTCACAACAAATCTATAAATTATGGCTTATGTCCATTTTTTCAGATAAAGCTGAGGTTCATGCACCTGTATGTATTTTAAATACATGTGTGTATAATAATTTCATGAGTCTAAAAAGGATCTGAGAGACTAAAAAACTGTTGTCAAATTCCCATGAGTTTAAAAACATTTGAAAACTGCTCAAATTAAGTAATTTTTCCTCCATCCCTTCTAAGGAGGCAACCTTGTAAGAGGAAGCCATGCTCAGCTGCCCTGTGCCAAAAATTTCCATGAGATGAGCCTTTGGAGTCCTTAACGTGGGGTTTTCATCCATGTACCCCAGTTAGAACTTGAAGAAATTTTAAAGACTCATTTTTTTATCTTTAAATTTTTACTTAAAGCCATTAGCTCATCTTCTCATAAAGTTCAGTTTTGACTCTTCTGCTTTCCAGAGAGTTATGTTGATCTACTATGTTCCATCTGCCTGGTCCGGTAATCACATGTAAGCTCTGGGAGGTCCCCAAGGAGATCCTTGTAGAAGGGCTTCTCCAGCCCAGCAGGATAGGCAGAGTCCAGATTCTGTCCAGAGAAGGCTGAGAGCCCTGTTCCCAGTAGCCCCTCCAGACTTCTGTATGGTACCCTGGCAACATATAATGACAAAGGACTGTGAAGCCAAAACTTTCCTAGGAAAAAAGCTAGAATATCTGTCTTACTTGGCAGTACTTCTTTGTTATAGGTTAAGGTTTTTCAATTAGCCCCATGCTGCAGAGGTCTTATTAAAATTCCCAACCCTTCAGGCCCCCCTTAGCTGAAAAGAAAATTCATTTTCAGGGCCAGAGTTGTCACCTTCCCTTTCATGATCATTGGGGCCATCTCAGACCCTTCCTTCTCTCCTTGCCCTCTGTGGATTGGGGGAACACAGCTCTTGTCATTGGCTTTGCTAAGTGTTTTTTGGGTTGGTCCCCAGGGCGAGTATGTGTCCTGCCTTCTCTCATTGCTCCGCCAGATGTGTGACACCCATTACCAGCACCTCCTGGACAACTTCCAGAGCAAAGATGAGCTCAAGGTAGGCAGAAAAACATTGATCTTTCACCTGGGAAAGGAAGCATGCAGCTAAGACTGCCCAGGAGTCTTTCCCCTGCCAGAGGGTGAGTGCAAGTGGCCAGTGTTGCCAAGGTATAAGATGTACCAGCCTCACTTTACATCTGACTGCATGGCTTCCAGAAGCTGAAAGCCAGCAATATTCCCATAGATCCAGACCCCAGTAACATTGGCAAGTTTTCCCTGACTGATAGCAGCCCCGTGACCATGTGCCTCTTTGAGAGGCTACTCTGGGCCACACTGGTTGTCAGCAAACCAGGACTCTTCCCTTTCTTATGAGCTCAACAGATGATTTGTAGATTGCTCATGAAACAGGCTTCACAAGACCTATCAATGTTCCAGCTGTCTTTTTGCAGAGAGTGATAATCTGATCTATAATTTATATGGAAATGTGAGGAACTCAGAATAGCCAAATGGTCTTGAAAAAGAAAACAAAATTGGAGGATTCACACTTCCCAGTTTCAAAACTTACAACAAAATAACAGTAATCAAGATTGGTACTGGCCTAAAGTTAGACAGATAACAGTGGAATTGGATTGAGAGTCCAGAAATAAACCTTTATATTTACAGTCAATTGATATTCAATAATGGTGCCAAGACAGTTTCAATGAGGAAAGAAGAGTCTTTTCAACAAATTGTGCTGGGACAACTTGATACCTACATGCAGAAGAATGAAATTGTACCCCTACTTCACACCATATAAAAAATTAACTCAGAAGGGATCGTAGACCTATTTGTAAAAGCTAAACTGTAAAACTCTTAGAAGGAAACATAGGAGTATATCTTTAAATCCTTGGGTTTAGCTGTGGTTTCTGAGATTTGACACCAAAAGTAGGAACAACAAAAGATAAAATAGGTAAGTTAGATTTTACCAAAATTTAAAACTTGTGTATTTCAAAGGACACCATCAAGAAAGTTAAAGACAACCCACAAATGAAAGAAAATATTGGCAAAGCATGAATGTAATAAAGGACTTGTATCTCTTATATAAAGAACTCTTACAACTCAACAATAAAAAGACAAATAACCCAATTTAATAATGAGCCAAGGATTTTAATAGACATGTCCCCAAAGAATATATGCAAATGGTCAATACACAGTTGAAAAGATGTTCAACATCATTAGTCATTAGGGAAATGCAGATCAAAACCACAGTAAGATACTGCTTCACTTTCAAAGTGGATATAATTAAAAAGACAAGTATTGGTATTAATTCTAACTTAAACATTTGGTAGAATTCACCAGTGAAGCCATCTGGTCCTGTGCTTTTCTTTGTGTGAAGCTTTTCAGTTATTAATTTGATCTCTTCATTTATGATAGGTCTACTCAAATTTTCTGTTTCTTCTTTAAATGAATTTTAGTAGTTTGTATCTTTCTAAGAATTTGTCCATTTCATCTAGATTATATTATTTGTTGGCATGCATTTGGTCCATAGTAGTCCCTTATAAACCTTTCTAGTTCTGTAACATTAGTAATGATATCCCTTCTTTCATCCCTAATTTTTATTTATTTATTTATTATTTAGTTATTTTTAATTAATTTATTGGCTGCATTGGGTCTTCATTGCTGCAAGCGGGCTTTTTCTAGTTATGGCAAGCAGGGGCTACTCTTCATTGTGGTACGCAGGCTTCTCATTGCAGTGGCTTCTCTTTGTTGCAGAGCACGGGCTCTAGGCGCGCAGGCTTCAGTAATTGCAGCATGCGGGCTCAGTAGTTGTGTTTTGCGGGCTCTAGAGTGTAGGTTCAGTAGTTGTGGTGCACAGGCTTAGTTGCTCCGCGGCATGTGGGATCTTCCCGGACCAGAGTTCGAACCCATGTCCCCTGCATTGGCAGGTGGATTCTTAACCACTGCGCCACCAGGGAAGTCCTATCCTTAATTTTAGTAATTTGAGTCTTCTCTCTCCTTTTTTTTCTTGGTCAGACTAGCTAAAATTTGTCAATTTTGTTATCTTTTCAAAGAACCAGCTTTTGGTTTCATTTTCTCCTCTATTTTCCTCTTCTCTATTTCATTTATTTCTGTTCTAATTTTTATTATTCCCTTCCTTCTGCTTACTTTAGTTTGTTCTTCTTTTTCTAGTTTCATAAGGTGTAATGTAGTTTATTGATTTGGGATCTTTCTTCTTTTTAATATAGGCACTACAGCTATAATCTTTAGCTTCATCCCTTAAGTTTTGTTTTGTTTTGTTTTTTCATCCCTTAAGTTTTGATTTGATATGTTTTCCCTTTTATTCATGTCAAAGCTGTTCCTAATTTCCTTGTGGTTCCTTCTTTGGTGCATTGGTTATTTGGGAGTGTACTGTTTCATTCCACATTTAAAAAAATTTTCCTATATTTCCTTCTTGATTCCTTCTTTCCTTATTGATTTCTAACTCCCTTTCATGATGGTTGGAGAGCATGCTGTGTGTGATTTCAGTTCTTTTAAATTTACTGAGGCTTTCTTTATGGTCTAACATGGTCTACCCTAAAGAAGAGAATGCACATGTCCTTCTGTGTGCATTTTAGAAAAATGTGTGTATTCTGCTCTTGTTGGATGGGGTGTTGTATAGATGTCAGTTAGGTCTAGTTAGTATATAGTATTGTTCAAGATTTCTTTTTAAATATTTATTTATTTATTTGGCTACGTCAAGTCTTAGTTGTGACACGCAGGATCTTAGTTGCAGCATGCAGGATCTTTCATTGCGGCATGCGGACTTCTCTATAGTTGCGATGCACAGGCTCTAGAGCGTGTGGGCTCAGTAGTTGCAGCACACGGGCTCTCTAGTTGTGGCACCCGGGCTCCAGAGCACACGGGCTCAGTAGTTGCGGTGCGCAGGCTTTCTAGTTGTGGTGCATGGGCTCTAGAGCACGCAGGCTTAGTTGCCCCGTGGCATGTGAGATCTTAGTTCCCTGACCAGGGATTGAACTCACATCCCCTGCATTGGAAGGCAGATTCTTAACCACTGGACCACCAGGGAAGTCCCATTCAAGATTTCTTTTTCCTTGATGATCTTCTATTTAGTTGTTCTATACATTATTGAAAATGGTACATTAAAGCCTCCAACTGTCATTGTTGAATTATCTGTTTTTCCTTTCAGTTTTGTTAGGTTTTGCTTCCTGTATTTTGAGGCTCTCTTTTAAGTGCATTTATGTTTATGTCTTCCATATCAACTGACTCCTTTATCACTATAAAATGTTCTTTTTAATCTCTATTAACAATTTTTGTTAAAGTCTATATTGTTTGGTGTTAACATAGCCACACCAGTTTTCTTTTGGGTACTATTTTCATTGTATATATTTGTCTATCCTTTTACATTCAATATATTTGTGTCTTTGAATCTGAAGTATTTATGTATCTTGTAGATAACATACAATTGGATCATGTTCATTTTTTAATCCATTCTTCCTGTCTCTGCCTTTTGATTGGAATGCTTAACCCATTTACATTTGTTGTAATTACCAGTAAGAGGATTTACACCTGCCATTTTGCTATTTGTTTTATATCTGTCTTATGTATGTTTCCATAATTTCCTGTTTCATTTCACATCTTATAATTTCTTTGTTGAAAACTGGACAATTTAAATAATGTAGCAAGTCTGGTAATCAGATTCCCTTCCCCCTGCCCACATCCCCAGGGTTTGTTGTTGTTTCATTTTTGTTGTTGATATTTGTTTGTTTAGTGACTTTCCTGGACTAATTCTTTAATGTCTGCATCTTTTGTTGTGTGCAGCCCCTGAAGTTTTCATTCAGTTAGCTTAATGATAAGCTAATAACTAGACAGAGATTTCCTTAAACACCTTAAATCAATGAGTCTTCCACTTCACTAAGTGTCTCTGTGTGGGGTTGGGGCTCACCTTCAGTGCTTCAGCAGTTTACGTTGCTGCCTTAGCCTTCACTTCTTGCTTGCATAGAGCCTCAAAGTCAGCCAGAGGTGACAGATTAGGCTTCTTAGGTCTTTTCTGGGGATGTGTACAGCCCTGCACACATATGTGGCCTTCTAGATTCCTAGGAATATGTCAGAGCTTTTCAAAGCCCCAAGTGTATGTCTCATTACCCATATTTTTCTTTTAAGTGTTTTGGCCACTCTCTTGTTTGTCCCAATTGATATGATTGCTTCTTGCAGCTGGGATGTTAAATTATTATGGATGATGTTTTCAACAGCTGCACTACGGATAAGGCTTTTCTCACTTAGTGAACTCTGAGTCCAGTCAATTAAGCCCTCTGAATGGGGCTTTCCCAGGTTGCTGCCTAACAGATCAAACAGTAACAATTCTCTTGGGATGGCACTTTTTGGGGAGCTCCAAAACCATTTTGTCCCTTCTAGTGACTGCTAGGGTGCTGGGTTTTACTACTACCATGGTTCTACAGCTGCTTGTTTTCAAGGATACCCTGAAGATAGGGAGAGAGAGGGGATGGGAATGGGGAAAGTTAAAACACAATAAAGCTCACTTTTCCTACTGAGATTCAACCATTTTTCTTAAATAACATTTCTTATTGTTGCAAGCCTTTCATTAACCAGTCTTTGTGACTGTTCTCATTGCTTTCATGGAGGAGCATATTTTTGGAGGTACTTACTCTGCTATCCCTAAAGTGCTTCTGTTGTCAATGCGTTCTTAACATCCAGGAAAGCAAGTTCTTACAGTCAAGTGCTCAGGGGTCATGCCCCAAAGATTGAGAACGATGGACTCTGGTGGATATCATTTCTGCTGGACCCCCTGTGCTTTGGTCGTTAGGCACTGGGCTGAGTGGGTATAGTGCATCTCTTCTACCCAGTTTGGCACTGACCTATGAGAGTGCCCAGACCTCACTCTCATGCAGCCCTCTAAGAGAAAAGCAGCTCACAAAGGGAACCAGAGTATCACCTACTGGTCCCATACATTTTCATGGTCTAGAGGTCTGGAGAGCCCTGTTGAGGAAATGTCTGCTGCAGTGGTAGAGGTATGGTGTCTCACATCAGATTTTCCTCTTGGACCAGGAATTTCTGCTGAAGATTTTCTGTGTGTTCCGGAACCTGATGAAGATGAGTGTCTTTCCTCGGGACTGGATGGTGATGAGACTTCTCACAAGCAAGTGAGTGTGGAAGGGCCCTGCACCAGCATCCACAGAACTGTTCCCAGACAAAGGAGAGTGTGTATATGTGTGAGAGAAAAAGCAAGTCAGAAATCAAGGTCAAAGCCATGGGGACAGAGAGGAGAGGGCAAATGTGAAAATGTTTGGAGGCACAATCAGCAGGACTTGGCCATTTACCAAAGTTCACGGAGAAGGAATAGTCAAAGATAGTTTAAAACTGGAATCTAAGTGCCTGGCAGACGATGTCATGGTAAGGATAGAAAAGGAACTTTTAAGAATGAGAAATATAATACCCAGAGAAGCGTTCCTCCTTGAGGAGGGCCTGTTCATTGGCCTCTGTTGCTCTGTAATTTCAGGCAGTATCCCAAGGCCTCCTCTTGATTTGATTTGTGTTGTCTGCCAGACACTGCTTGCCTCCCACAACAAGTGCTAATTACCCACCTGAGACCTGGCTGTGAGGCTCTGTTTGACCACTTCTAATGCTGGCCACAGAATTCACACTCAGGCTGACCCCAAATTGTCTGCCCCATTCATATTTCTACGCTGTGCTTCTAACTGACAAACCAGACAAGTAATGTGGGTGGTAAGGTGCTTGTGGGAGAAGGCCACTTGGCCTCCACTCTCTAGTCTACTGCCTGCTCCCTCTGATCTGCCTTTCATGTTGACCTTATGCAGTGTGGTGAAATTATTTATGTTAGCTATATTACCAAGGTGTCAGCATGGTCTTTCTACTTTGTACCTTTTATAGCACTCTTTTTTCTTTTTTCAAAACTGCAAACATTTTATACAGAACAGAAGAAGGGTTTTAAACAGAGTTGCACAGATATTTCCTTAAATAGTGGATTTTCCATTTGATCCCCTCTTGTTTCTCTTAGCTCTAGTCAGGCCCTCTCCAGCCCATTCTGCAGGAGCAGCCTCTTCCTTCAAAGCTTTTACTTTTCAAATTTGTTTGCTGGTAACTAGTCTCTCTAATGCACTGTTTTTGCCTTGCCCCTCTTCTGCACCAAGGCTTCGGATGTAAGCTCCTTTGCCAGGCATCCAACACCCTCTGTAATCAAACCCTTACCTGCCTGTCCCACCTCACTTTCTCCCTCCCTTGACCTGTGCCCTTGGTTCTAGCAAATCAGCCTCCCATTGCCCCTTAAATGTGCCCAGGTGAAAAGTGAAAGTGATATTCTAGATCAAAGGCTGAAATCAAATGACTTATACATGAAAATAATAGTATATGTTAAAAGTAGAGGTTTAATAACTATAAACCATTATTATCAAGTAAAATAATAGAATGCTACTCTAAGTCCTCTGGTGGTCATAATATATGTTCATTATCCAAGGTCCCCAAAATACTAGAATCACTCTTTGAACTGGAAGAAACCTTGAAGAACCATTAAACCTCACTCCCCTCCTTTTATAGGCAGGGAAACTGGGGCCCAGAGAGAAGTAGTACCAAGGCCAGGTAATGGCAGAGCTAGGTCTAGAACCAACTGGTGGGGCATTTCTCCAAGATGGGTTTTTTGTGGGGTTTGTGCCATCTCTCTCTCTCCTTTAAAGTCACATCTTACACGAGAGCTAGTTGTACTCTAGAAGTTTGCACACGGGCCATAGACGGTTGATGCTAAGCCATAGGATGCCATCATTAGTCTTTTAACTCTGCCAACACCTTGTTCCCTTACTGCAGTATTATAGTCACTACAGTCCAGTACCTGTCTTCTGCACTGCACAAGAATTTCACAGAGACAGACTTCGACTTTAAGGTAGGAGCTCCTAAAATCCATCACTGTCTTTGTAATAACCCTAGAAAGCCAGAAACCAAGCTCACTGTTTCGTTTTTGTTTTACTTAAAACAACCATTTTATTTTGCTCACAAGTTTGTAGGTCAGGAATTTGAGAAGGATTCAGCTAGGTGTCTGCTAGGTGGCTGGGGGCTTTCTTAATATGTTCATAGTATCAAACAGTTTCCAAGCTTGCTAGTAATTAGAGTATGACCTAGAAGACCCCTGTTGGAGGTGTTGGGAGCCAGACATCCATGAGTTTGTTTTCTAGTCCAGAATCAACACTACTGGTTTCAGGGAAGTCAAGAAAGCGGGGGGGGGAGTCCTGTTTGCAAAGATATTTTTTTGAAAATCAAGATCTTAACACTGTAAAATGAATTCTGTGCTACATGCATGTATTTAGAATCTCTCCTTGCAAGGTTAAGGACTCAGGCTTTCACATATTTCCTCTTTCTCTCTCTCTCTCTCTAGGTGTGGAATTCTTATTTTAGCCTGGCAGTTCTGTTCATAAATCAGCCAAGCCTTCAGCTAGAAATCATTACTTCCACCAAGAGGAAGAAGATTCTAGATAAGTAAGCCATATGTCTCTTATTCATCTTCCTACCATGTGCCCAGATGGGGTTATGTTTCCATAAGGGGCTTCTTAAGAAGTCCACATGGTTCTCACTGAGGTAGCCTCCCAAGGAGCCAAGTATAAGAATTCAGCTGAGAGCCAAAAAACTTAGTATTTTGGGAAGCTTTAGAAACAGTGCTGAAGTACTGGCCTCCTGGGGTTTGTAGCCCCATCTTCCTGAACCTTCTCCCACTAATAGCTGGTTCCTGTGTTCTATTCCCAGGTATGGGGACATGCGTGTGATGATGGCTTATGAACTGTTCAGCATGTGGCAGAATTTGGGTAGGTCTTTTCTCCATATTTTTCCCTTACACATATTGCATAGCCAAATAAAAAGTGACAAGACTAATTACTTCCCCCAGGTTTTGTGAATGTTAATTCAGACCCAAGAGATCTTTACATATCTTTAACATAACACCTCAGATGGATGGTATAGTGTAGCACATGTGCACAAAGCCCTTGGCAGGGAGAGTTAAGCTGAGAAATAAGACCCCAGTAATACATATGCACAATCCCTTTTTTGAGAACAAAAGTCAAAAGGAAAAAAAGAAGATGAGGCTATAAGACTATAAGATCCTCTGTGCTCTTCATGTCCCAGTCCAGATGATACAGGCCCACAAGCATAGATCTTGGAGATAGTCAGCACATGAGCAAGGGCAGCTATTCATTTTAATAAAGATTGAAACACTTCTTGGGTCTCTGGTATTCAGGCATCCAGACGAGGTTCCTGCTGCCAATTGCGTGTAAGAAAGGAATTGCAGCCTCGGTGAGATTGATCTTCATCTCCTTTCTTTACAGCTTCTCTAAGATCCACTGGTTTGGATCTCAGATTGTCAGGTTTTGGTAGAATCCTTGGATTGCCCTGGTGACTAGGTGGGCCATCCTCTGATACTATAGGCTTCTTAGTGGCCGGTCAGGATGATTGAGAAGCTGCTGCTCTTCTTCCTAGTGAAGGCTGCTTTCAACTAAGCTCATGGCTCTGAAGTCTTAGGAATGATGGCCATAAAATCTTATCGTTCTCCATTAACCATCCCAGTCACAGCTCTAGAGGCAGCAGGCAAGGTGCAAGGCATTCCTGCCCACACTAGGGCCTTCCGTCCATGAATGGAGATGCGTTTCCCCAAACCAGCTTTCTAGCTTCAGTACTCTTACTCCCTGCATCCAGCATGGTCCAGGTATAGATTTTAACCCCGAAGATGACTCTGAAATTCCCAGGAACACATGGGACTAGCAACTGTACCATATACCAAGATTGGAATATGCAGAATCTGCCTCAGAGCTAACAGTTGCTCTTTAAATAGGCTTTTAACATGGAAGAAATCAAAAAACATGTCAAACTTGCCTGATAAAGCCATTCCTGCTTCATTGTTTTGGGTGGAAATGACATTTTCTAGTTCTACTTGACCATAACAGTCACTGCACAGGTCCACAGTTTGTCCCCTTAGTCTCTGAAGGACAGAAAGCAGAGCTCTGGAAGTTGGTTCACTCGCTTTACCATTACAAAGAAAAGTTCTCCCATGGTCTTCAAGACTGGCCTTGGCTTCTGGGAGCATGCCCCAAATGACAAGCTAATCACAGGAAGAGTCACACCACACACTTCCCATGGAAAGGCCTCATTAAGAAAACTGAGGGATGAGCCAAGCTGGTCTGAATAAATGTAACGCTACCATCAAAAATGCAGTGTGAAGACAAGGGGTGGGTGTTGGAGGGTGCACAGAGAGTCTCTCAGCCAGTCTGTCAGGGTAGGGCTGTGTAGGAGGCTCCTGGTAACTCAGGAGGGGGCCTCTTGGGCACACTTGAGCACAGGCAGTGAAGGGGCCTATGGATTTCAGATCACTAGTGGCTGGACCTGGGACTGAACATCCTTATCACTTAAATGCCCCTGGGCTAGAGGCAGAAACCCCAGGGATAGTGCATTGTGTTTAAGCAGAAATAGATGAATTTTCCTTGCTAAATAAACACTATGAACAGATTATCTGAAACTATTACAGTGTACTCAGAAATCCTATTCTGTCTAGAGTAGTGAACTCTGTTGCTTGACCTCAGAATGATATTCAGATAGTTTGTAGAACCTCCCAGTAAATTCTTTGGAAAGAATTTGTGCCTGTTGAAAGTTTGTTTTAACTGTACTGGGCCAGTTTAATCCATGAACTCTAAAAAGCCAAGAGAAGCGGGTATCTCAGAAATCTATAGGGGAGAGCTTGCTATGCTCTCAGATGCTTCCAGTGAAGATCAAATCATGTGTTGTGGCCCCACTTGGGAAGCTTCTATGGAAGGAGCAAAGCAAGCATGAACTAATATCTGTTGGGTTTTGCTGTTCAGGTGAACATAAGATCCACTTTATTCCGGGAATGATTGGTCCTTTTCTGGGTGTGACACTGGTCCCACAGCCAGAAGTGCGGAATATCATGATTCCAATCTTTCATGACATGATGGACTGGGAGCAAAGGAAAAATGGCAACTTCAAACAGGTAAGACAACACCTGGCAGTGTTAAGGGTGCTCTCCCCTGGAATGGACCCCTTTTGCCCAGGCACGTGATCCAGATGCCTGGCTATAGTTCCAGCGGAAGTAGGCTGTAACTTGGCCGTCCTATTCAAGGGTTTCCTTTACTTACTGGCCAGAATTGATTTGTGGATTTTCTTCATGAAGTTAGAGGCCAGAAAAGAATCAGAGGAAAGGAATTGAACATCATGTGAAAGGAACTTTCTGATCAAGGAGAGAATGACAGACTGTAACCTCCCAGCTTCATTCAGGACGAGGTCCTGGGAGTGTTGTCTCTTCTCTCTGGAGGTTCCCCAGTGTGTGTGGTCTGGGCATTTCTAAGGCTAGAGCCCAGACCAGATGACTTCTCATAGCCTAGAATTTCACAGACTCCTGCACAGAGGGGTGGGTCCATGAGGTGTAAGCCCTTGGCTTCTGACTGACTTCAGGTTGTCCCTCTGTGCAGTTCTTCTGCCACCCCTAAGGTGGAGGAGATGGCCCCTGCCCTTTTATCTAGAGCTCCAGGGAATAGGATTAGGAACAATAGGTAGAAAACAGTGGTAGAAAAGCCAATTTTAGCTAATAAAAGAAATAATTTGCTAGTAACAAGTTATTTACTGTAAGCTGGCCTGCTTTCAGAGATGGGGAGTTCCTCTTTGCTGGTGGTTCTCAAACAGAAGCTCCCTGTAGGCCTCGAGGAGAAATTTCTACTTTGGCTTGGGGACTATAACCAGTTCCCCACTAAGCTCCCTCCCAACCCTGTGATTCTGGGATGAACCAGTGCTCTTAGAGTGAGTGACTGTAACAGTGAGGAACAGACCAGGCAAACAGTAATTTTTAAATTTACAAAGAGTAAAATTCAGTCTTTGGGACTTACAACTCTGTAAATTTTGGTAAACACATAAAGTCATGTAACCACTACCACAGTCAAGATTTTTTTAATTCCTAAAAATTCCATCTTGCTGCCCCTTTGTAGTCAAACCCTTCCCTTCCCTTTAACCATGGCAGGCATTGATCTATTCTCCTTCACTATGTGTGCCTTTTCCAGAATGTCATGTAAAGAGAATCATGTAGACTGTAGCCTTTTGAGACTGACTTCTTTCACTTAACATAATGCCTTTGAGAGATTTATCCATTTTGTTAAATGTATCAGTTTTTCTATTGCTGAGTAGTATGCCATTGCAGTTTATTCATTCACCATTTGAAAGACATTTGGGTTATTTACACTTTTTGGTGATTATGAATAAAGCTTCTGAAAAACTTTTCTTTACAGGTTTTGTATGAATATATAGACTTCCATTTTTCTTAGGTAAATACCTAGGAGTAGGATTGTTGGATATTGTGGTAAATGTATATTTAACTTATAAGCTATCAAACTGTTTTCCAAAGTGACTATACCATTTTGAAATCCCTACAGCAGTGTGTGAAAGTTCCAGTTGATCCATATACTCATCAGAATTTGATATTATCTCTTTGTTTATTTTAGCCATTCTAATAGGTATGTAGTTGTATATCACTGTGGTTTTAATTTTCACTTCCCTAATGACTAATGATGCCGAACGTCTTTTAATGTGCTTATTTGCTATCTTTGAATCTTCTTTGGTGAAATGATTTTATTCAAAACTTGTGTTCATTTTTAATTGGGCTGTTTGTTTTCTTATTGTTGAGTTTTTAGGGTTCTTTATACATTCTGAACATAAGTCCTTTGTTGAATATATGATTTACCAATATTTTCTCTTAGCTTGTCTTTTCATTTGCTAAACAATGTTTTTCACAGAACAAAAGTTTTTAATTTTTATGCAGTCCAATTGATCATTATTTTTCTTGTATGGATCGTGCTTTTGGGATCATATATGAGAACTCTTTGCCTAACCCAGGACCATAAAATTTTTCTCTTTTGTTTCTTCTAGAAGGTTTATAATTTTACATTTAGATCTATGATCTGTTTTGAGGTAATGTTTGTATAGGTGTGAAGTATGGGTCAAGGCTTTTTATTTTTCCTTTTTCCATGTGGATGTCCAGCACCTTTTGTTGAAAAGACTATATTCTTTGTTGAAAATCAATTGACCATAGGCATGTGGTTCTCTTCCTGGACTCACTAGTCTTTCCATTGATCTATATGTCTAATCTGTCACCATACCACGTAGTCTTTATTATGGTAGCTTTATAGTCTTAAAATTAGGTTGTGTGAATCCTCTAACTCTGTTTTTTTTTTCAATATTGTATTAGCTATTCCAGTTCCTTTTCTTATAAATCTTAGAATCAGCATGTCAGTATCTATAAAAATTCCCGCTTGGATTTTGATTGGGATTGCATTGTAATCTATAGATCGATCAAATTGGGAAAACTGATATCTTAATAGTACTTAATAAATACTTCTAGTCCTTGAAGACAGTATATCTCTCCATTTATTTAGGTGTTCTTTGATTTCTTTCATTAATGTTTTGTAGTTTCAGCATACAGATCTTGCACATGTTGTTAGATTTATATGTAAGTATTTTCTGGGCTTTTTGGTGCTATTATAAATTATTCTGATTTAAAATTTTAAATTTTCAGTTGTTTGTTGCTATTATATAGAAATACAATTGCTTTGTACATTAACATAGTATCCTCCACCCTTGCTAAACTCACTTATTAGTTCTAGAAGCTTTTTTGTAGATTCCTTGTGATTTTATATTTAGATAATCCTATCACCTGTGAAAAGACACAGTTTTATTCCTTCCTTTCTAATCTGTAAGCCTCTTATTTCTTTTTCTTGCCTCATTGCACTGGCTAGGACCTCTGGTCTGATGTTAAATAAGAGTGATAAAAGTAGACATCCTTGCCTTGTTCTTCTTTTTTTTTTTTCTTTTCCTTGCCTTGTTCTTAACCTTAGGGGAGAGCATTCAGTGTTTCACTGAAGTATGATGCTAGTTCTAGGTTTTTCATAGATGCTCTCTATCTTGAGTAAATAGTATTTAAGATAAGAATCCATTTTTAGAGTGTGAAGCTCTATTGCCTTCAGAACTTCAGGAAATAATAACTTCAAACAGAAAAGAACTGTTGCTTTTCTATGTTGGCACAACATGTGCCTTCTAATTGTGCAAAATACACAACTGCCTGATGAGAGAACCTGGTTACCAAGAAGTAGATGACATTGTGCAACTGCACCATGGGTCATCTGAGTCTACTTAAAGAAGAGCTGGGCTGTACTTAACCATCACTAACACTGAATAAGGAAGGTTAGCTTTGTGGAAGACTAAGTTGGAGCTCATTTGGCTCACACATCAAGACTCAGCTGATGGGTAGCATTTTTTCCTCCAATAAGACTGTCATGAATAACTGATATCCAGCAAGGCATGTAAACCTCGTTGTCCCTGGTTAAAAAAATCTTGCTGCTGCTTCCCTTTGCCATTACATATTTTAAAAGAGTAGTCTACTCTTTTCATCCCCACATTTCCACTTCCCACCCTCCTATCAGTTCAGTCTAATGTATATTGTGCACCCACTTTTGTTGACATTGCTCTCTCGAATAACTTTTTAATCATTAAAGTCCAATTGACTTTTTGGCCTTGGTTCTAGTTGTGCTTTCCACAGCTTTGGCTCTATTAACTCCTCCCCTACTTCTTACCACCTACTATAAATACTTCTTCTAATTATAAAAACAATACTTATTTAATATAGAAAAATTAAAATGCAAATAAGCTATAGTGAAAAGATATAACTCATAATTGTACTGTTAGTAACTTGTGGGGGAGAGGGGCTAGGCACGTCTTTTTTTCCCAATGCATAGAGTTTTTTAAGTTAAAAAATGGAATCATTGTGTACATTGGTTTTTTTGGAACCATTGTGTATATTGGTTTTTAATCTCCCTTTTTTAGTAGCACCTTGTCATCACTATCCTTCATGTCAGTTAATGCTTCTCTGCACCACACTGTCAGTTTAGAGGCTACGTGGTATTCCACTGCATAGCTTGGACCACAGTGTATTTAATCAGACTCCTAGGTTTTGTGGGGCTTTTGGTTTTTTTGTTTGTTTATTTGTTTTTTGGCTGTGCCCTGTAGCTTGAGGGATCTTAGTTCCCCAACCAGGGATCGAACTGGGGCCCATGGCAGTGAAAGCACCAAGTCTGCCAACTCCTAACCACTGGACCACCAGGGAATTCCCAGTCTCATAGTTTTAGGAACTTAGGTTCATTCCAAATTTTTGCTGTTAACATTACAAAAAACATATCCATTTTAAGTTACTTTTTTAGGTAAATCTCTCACCTGTAATTGTTGTATCAAAGAGTAAAAACGTTTCTTAAGTTTTTACAGCACTATGTCTCTCTAACAACCTCTGTTGTCTGTAGACTACTCAGACCCCAGGCCACTTTCTGTGTGTGCCCCATCTAAGCACTGCCCATGCTGAGCTGTGTTAGCTGTTATCCCTGCCTCCTCTACCAGATGATGAGTTATTGGGGCCAGGACCATTTCTTGTGCTTTTATTTCTTAGAACCCATGCCTGAGACATGGTGGGTTCATGAAGATGAAAATCAAAACTAACATTCATTGAGCACTTCCCAAGAGCTAGGGCACAGTGACACTGAAGAGGAATGTTAACCACCATTACCATTTCATAAATGCAGAAATTTAGGCATAGATAAATATTTTGTACAGAAGTAGGCAGCTGGTTATGTCACAGGACAAATGTTTGTTGAATGAATAACAAGGTGTCACTTCAGGAATATTGGTTTTATAAAATAAAAGTAACTCCGCAGACCTGAAATCATCAGTATTACCAATTACGACATGATATATCTGAAGAACTTAGCATTTGTTTAACTTAGAGATATTGATTTTGCATACATTGATCTTCAGTGTCCCATTTTGGATTTCTCAATTTTTCTTAGTAACTTCTTCCTTTATCAGCACTGCAGGGAGTGAGGAAGTAATGTCCCTGAATCCTTCCATCACCAGCTCCTTTGCCTAATACGGAAGTTCTAGCACTTGAATAGGCATCAGAACAACCCGGAGGGCTTATTAAAACACAGACTGCTGCCCCCCAACCCCTGAGTTTTTAATCCAGTGGAGCCTGAGAATTTGTATTTCTAACAAGATTTCTGGTGACTTGATGCTTTTGGCCCAGGGACCCATTTTGAGAACTCCAGGGAACTGCTGCACCCACATTTGCGCTGTTGTACTCTCTGCTGCTCCAGGTCCCTTCCCCAACTTTGCCCTGTTCTGGAAAGCACAACCTGTACCTGCGTGTGTGATGAGAAATCCCAACCTGACTTTACATGACCCCAGCAGGCAAGTCCCTGCTGGTGCCTTTTCTCCACACGGAGAAAGGCAGATGGCCTCGATCCCTAAGGACCTCTGATCTCAGACTTTGTATTTCCTCTGGAAAGTATATTCAAGCAGCTGACTGATTAGGCCAAACATAAATGTACAACAGTCTCCACCTGGCCATACCAGACCACTATAAAAGGGCCATATTTATTCATCCATTCTCATTTTCTGCTGATAGGGTTTCAGAAACCATAACTGCCTTTGATGAATTTCCTAATTCAATTATTAATTTAATATTTCACCGTCTTAGGACTCTGGCCCTATGTGGAGTGAGAAAATGCTTTTGTTATAGCTCATTATTAAATGCAACCATGCCACTTTTTGTTTATATAAAAATCTGTATAAATAATTGCACAATACCACATTTTAAAGGCTAATGAACAGCTTAAAAGATTTTTATCTCACATCACTTACAACTAATTTCTCGCCTCAGAGTGTATGCATTGAGGCCTGATAGAGAAGTGGCTTAGCACTGTTGAATGCCTTGCAGATTAGTGAGGTAGGAATGAATGCAGTATTGCTCCTTATGGTTTAAGAATCCAATAACAAGTGCAGGGGGCCCCAGTGACGAGGCAGCGGCAGGGGCGGCAGCTCCAAGGGCTTTAGGTCCTGTGAGGACAAAGAATAGAGCCTTTTATCCTGAAGGGGACTCTCTGAAGGAAACACATCTCCCTCAGCCCAGACTAATGCCAGCCATTAAAGTGAGGACCAGCCTCCCAAAGCAAGCTTTCTTTGTGGCTGGCTGATAGAGGGTAAAGTTCTAACCAAATGTATTTTATACATACCAATTCCTTTGAATGAACATTTTTTAAGAAAGAAAAACACTTGACAAAGGCCTCTTTTGGATCCGAAATACTTCTCTCACCGGAGAGTCCTTGCCTTTTGCCCCTAGGGAAAAGAGTATCTGAGACGTATGTGTAAGTTCCAACTCATTTAAACCACTGGAGTGGGAGCCCTTCCTGATTGGGGAGGCAGGGTGGTTTCTCAGTGCTGTAGATGAGATCCTGCATTCTCTAGGATTTATTTGGTGCAAGGAAAAAATCAGGAAGCAGTTCCCCACCATCCTCACCTATCACAGGGGCTGGATTTCCCATCCTTCCTCTGAGGTCACTTCGGGTTTACAAAATCTCTGCTTCCCTCTAGGTGGAGGCCGAGCTGATTGACAAGCTGGACAGCATGGTGTCAGAAGGGAAAGGCGATGAGAGCTACAGGGAGCTCTTCGGCCTGCTGTAAGCTGCTTCAGCCCCAAGTACCTCACGTTGGGGGAGGGGGTGAAGTGGGCTAATGAAGGGTAGCGGTGCAACCTGCACTGGGCAGGCTTCAGAGTGTGGGTATCCGGAGAGACCAGGGTTGTTCCTGGTGGTAGCAGTGCTCACCTTCTGTCAACAAGAAAGTGACATCATGACAGCAAGCTCTCTCAGGGATTGCCATAGTTGACTAAAGATGTAGGGACAGGTGATAACTCTGAGCTCCTGGATTTGCTGATAGCAAAAGGATCATCGTATATCTTCATACCATGTACTGTATCTAGTTGGGCAAACAGTTCATGGGGACTCAATGAGGGCTCAAGGCTGACATTTCGGGGTGGGGGGAGGGAGGGAATTAAATCTCTGCTTTGTAAGAATGTACAATCAGCTTGAGAAACACTGCCATGAATTTTGTGACTTGAACAAATTATACCCCCTTCCAAACCAGTTTCCATTTGTGAAACAGGGTGGTTGTACTGACTGATGTCAAGGGTCCCAGGTCCACCAGTTGTGGCTTCTGTCTTGAGTTGATGGAGGCCAAGAGACCTTACAGGACTAGCCACAGGGCTAAGCCCAAAGGAAGGACTCAGGAGAGCCGTGGTCCTCCCAGAGAGATAGTAAAGTTGGGTATTTTATCTTCCTAAAAAACAAAATTTTAAGACATTTACAGCTCTAGAGCCCTCTCCTATCTCACTCATTATCTCTAGCTTTGAGATTTTCTTTATTTTAGTGACATTTTTAAGATAAGCCTGTAATATATTTTCTAATAATAATACTGTACATTTGCTTAGAACTTTACAGTGTACAAAATTTGTTGACATATCTGATTTAATCCTCACAACACACCTGTGAGGTGGGCAAGGCAGATATTATCCTGAGGAGTAGGGGTGATGACACTGAGCTCAGAGAAGTGGTAGCATGGCCTCAGTTGCATGGCCAGTAAGAAGCAGCTCTGGGGGTATAGCCCAGATATTCCAGTTTCAAGAGGGGGAAATCTTCCTGCTACACCCTGCCTACTTTGTTCCTTGATGAGTCATGCAATAAAATGTGAATTCATTTGAAATTTAAGTAATTTTAATTTGTGAAAATGAATCCATCCTTTAGTACTTCTCTTTTAGCTGAAGATGTTTCTAATTGTGGAAATAAGGAAGAGAAATCTCTTCCTAAGCCACTAACTGATGATTTTACTATGAAGGAAAAAGCACAAAAATAACTTACTATTAATAATTACCTGACCAAATAGTGTTACATAAACACTGTTCACGTCTGAGAACTGAAAGCCACTGATAACCAAGGAGCAGCATTTCCCAATTTGTGTTTGGGGAAGATGTTTGTAGGTATGCTGGGGGGAGGTGGGAGTGGATCATGGGCTAATCAATTTAGAAAAGACTCAGTTAAATAAAATCGAACAGGCCTCTGTATTATAGGACTTCTCAAAGCCTTTAATATTTAGAAAGATGTGAAAACTCTCTAAAAGGAAGGTGTGGTGATCAGCATCTTCCATGCTTTTTTGCTCACAGAACACCTCTCTCTGTCCTCCAGGACAGCAGAGCTCTGTAGAACAGAGTTTGGGAAATGTGAACACAGTGGTTTTTTCCACGCAGCTCAGAGGTGAAAGACAATGGTCCTACCTTCTCGCTCTAGTAAATGGGTCACATGGAAACCCTCACTTTCCCAGAAGCCTCAGCTCAAGTTAGATGCTGTGTGCAAGGAAGACAGTTGTCATCATTGCAGTGTTAACGGCAGTCAGGCTGTGGGTGTGAGTTCCCAGTGCTGGGTCCCTGGCTGAGCCTTCCACTCTAGGTGACTTTCATGACCTTAGGGAGCTAGGGACAGTGTACAAAAGGATCAGGAGTGAGACCTTGACTGAGATAATCACTAGAGCAAACAGAAAGAGTCCATCTAGGTCATCATCCCCTAGGAGAGAACTGTGAAAAGGCAGAGGATCTCAGAAGCCAGGCTCTTTGGAGAAGTCAGAGGCTACCTGGAGGTGACAGGAGCCTGGGCTGGCAAGTGAGAAAAGCACCTGGGCATTTAGCTCTTGGCTCTGGCACATTTCACATGGGAGTATCCCATGACAGTGAAGATGACAGTGTAACTCCTGGACTCACTGTCCTTCACGCTGGGCCCTCAAGACTGGTTGGAATCTTTCCCTTGGTTTACATGAAAACGTTGGTTAGTATGTTTGCTGAGGATGGTTCTAAGCAGTGATAGAGGCAGCCAGCCAATTGGCAAAGCCAGGTCTATCCCTCAGTGGACTCTTACTCCGCTGCTTCTTCAGAACAGATCTCACAGTGTGTACACCTAAAGGGGCTGGGGCTTTGAAACCGCTCCCTCAGTTCGGAACTTGCACAGGAGAATGGAAGACGTGTTCATTGGTTGCTGGCCAGTTCAGTAATTGCTTTGTCTTTGCTTTCTGCTGCATGGAGTAGAACCCAGCTGTTTGGGCCCTACCCCAGGTAAGACTGCAGTGTGGTAAGTCTGCCGTCTCCAGATCCATCACAGGCCCCACGGGCTCTGGGACCTTACTCTGGTGCCCAAGGAAGGCTCATGCATTGTGCATTGTGTTTGCTTCCACCAATAGCCTGCTGGAGAAAGTTGAACAGGAAACATGGCGCGAGACCGGCATTTCCTTTGTAACCTCGGTCACCCGCCTCATGGAACGCCTTCTTGACTACAGGTATCTTCTCAGGAACCTACCTGACCTCTTCTCTGGTCAGATGCTCTCCCCAGCAGGAGGATCCCCTGACCTTAAAATTGAGACCTCGTGGCCATGAGAGGTAGGACTGTTCTGGTGTTGTGTGCCATCACCAGTCATTAGGAATCTCCTGATGGCCAAGGAGAAAGAGGAAGAAAGCCTTCTCCCAAGGGTAGGCCAGGGCTTCCTGGGCTTACCCCCGATACGTGGGCACGTGTATCCAGGAGGTATCCCAGGGACATGTAGCCTTCTGGCTTTTCATCCAGAAAAGTCAAGGCTCAGAGGAATGGGCACAGCAGAGAGGAAGAGAAAGGCTGTCTCCAGAGCAAGTTAGGTCCTTAGCGCAGACCTTCCTCAGAGCCATGTGGCAGATGGGCAGGAAAATATCACCTGGTACAGAAGTGTGACCCAGGAGGACTTTCATTTGGTTTTTCCAGGGAAGGGGGACCCAACTTTTCCATGCCTCCATTCTTTGTGTAAAATCTGTTTATTTCTGTCCCTTGATCCTGGCCATGCGCAGATTAGAGGAGGCAGCCTGTGAGCTCAGAGATCTTTATGATACATTCAGTCTGGGAGTTCATGTGAAATTCATTTTTTCGTGAAAGCCTGCCTTCTCAGTCATATCATGGCTTTTGACTTTGCCTAAAAGTAACAATAATGCTACCATTGCAGCCTTAGTTATTCTGTCAGTAGAGTTCAGGTGATAGCTAAGAGTGCCTTTTGGGAACCTAGAGGAAGGTGATAAGGAATGAGGAGGAATGATAGAGGAAACCCAGACCCAAGCAATAGTTGTCTTCTCTGTGCTACATGTCATGCAGATGCCAAGGGAGAGCATCTGGGACTCCAGCTAGCTGCGTGTACAGGAAGCTTCTTGCTGGATTCACCAGTCTGGTTCTCATTCTCTTTCATCCCCTTGTGCTAGGCCTTTCTCCTCCCCAGAGGAGCTTGGCTTTGACCAGTCCCTGCCCTCCCTAGGCAAGGATTCATTCTCAGTGTTCCTGCTGTTCTGTGTCTGGAAGGCCAGCCATGACCCCTCCTAAACCCAGCGCTACTCAGCATGAATGCAGCTCAGCTCTGGCCGAAGCTACCCCTAAATCAGAAAAAAAGCTCCAAAGCAACTGCTCCTAGTTAGAGGGGATTCCAAAGACTGGTGCACAGGAAGGACACTATAGGGAGAAAAGCGAATGAGATGATGTACATGGCAGTTATGCCGTGGTTGCTGTGGCCACAGGGTCCTGAAGGTAGGTCCCTAGAGTAGAGTGTCTTGGCTTCTATGAAACACTGTCCTACAAAATGAAAACTGCCCTTTAAGGAAAGCTCTGTGCCTCCCCTTTTGGAAACTTGAGGACTTAACCTTCTACTTTACTGACATACTCTTTTGTGCTGAAGGCATTTGTAGGTGTTACTTAATGCCCTGATATAGCATCTGGGCTCTACACTCTGCCACCAGAGCAAGGGGTCCAGTTGAACAGAGATCTTTGAACCCTAGGAGTGGGTCCAAAGCTTAGAGGGAGCTCACAGTACAGTCTCATCTGTGGAAGAAGTTTCTGTTGGAGAGCATCCTCATCTGGGGTTTGGACATACTAATGCCTCAGTGACACTGCAGGTCTCTGTGTTGTCCCAGAGGCACCACTTTGTGCATTCATCTGTGCTCTCCCTTCCAGGGATTGCATGAAAGGAGAGGAGACAGAGAATAAGAAGATCGGCTGCACTGTTAACCTGATGGTGAGAGAATATGGGCTCTTCCTCCTCTCTGCCTCGTAGTGTGGCTTCTGTCCTGCCCTGTGATTGGCCTGTCCTTTCTACAATACATGGCTATAAGCCTAAGGGGTTTTTTTGGTTTTTTGTTTTTTATTTGGTTGCTCTGGGTCTTAGGTGTGGCAGGCGGGCTCCTTAGTTGCAGCAGGCAGGCTCTTTAGTTGTGGCATGTGAACTCTTAGTTGCAGCATGCATGTAGGATCTAGTTCCCTGACCAGGGATCAAACCCGGGTCCCCTGCATTGGGAGCATGGAGTCTTAACCACTGTGCCACCAGGGAAGTTCCAAGCCTAAGGGTTTGAGTCAGGACATCAGCTCTGTTACTGGTATCTTGGAAACTTGCACCTCATCACTCACATTCCTACTTGGGAAAGGAATGAAATGAGCTTCTCTTTGGACAGAGCTCTAGCCTGGCCTCTTGGCAAGGTCCCGCCAACCCTGACATACTCTAATTTCCAGTCTTCCCTGGTATTCTTCCTCTGTCTCATCACTCAGGGCTCCTGCAGATCTGCCAGAGGTTTCACCCCCAGCAGGCGTACCTTCTGGCTGGTCCCTTCTCTTCCTGGTGCTGGCTACCTCCACGGCCTGTCTTCTCCCTCCTGTCCAGCACACCCAGGGTTTTGGGCAGCTGCCTGGAGTTCAGAGATGGCCTCCACAGGCAGCAGCCTCTCCCATCTTCATTTATATTTCCTTCTCTCTTACAGAACTTTTACAAATCTGAGATTAACAAAGAAGAGATGTATATCCGCTATATCCATAAGCTTTGTGACATGCATTTGCAGGCCGAAAACTACACAGGTAAGTGGGAAGGGGAAGCTACGCCTCCCCATGAGGACAGACTGGACATACATGCACAGCTGGCAGAGAAAGGCTCTGAGCTGGTGCCTCCCAGATTTTAGCAGCGTGTCAGGACCCATGATGCCCATCACCTCACTCCTTTCCCTCAATTCCTTTGTAACGTGGTGGAGAAAAAGCAGGTGGAACTTCCACTTGTGCCTCGCTGCCCAAAGCTCTTCCATTCTCCTTGCCTCCTATTCACCCGCTTTGAGGCCTCAAGGGTGACCTCCAAATTCTGGTGTGCCAGGTTCAGAGCATCCTGAGCTCACTGTCCCTCTTCATGAGCAGAACTTCTCTGAGGACCTTCACAGCTGGAACTACGTGAGGCCATAACACAGGAACATCAGCCTAACCCTGGGACTTCCAGAACTTGCTGGCAGACCTGCCTTGCAGTCTGGGCTCCTCCCCTGCAAGTACACAACAGCCCCACATTGAGCTCCCAGTGGAGAGTATGGAGAATGTTCACCTTACTTTCTGACAGACCAGACAGGGACCCTTTCACTGTATCTACAATTTAATCCATTACTACGGCCTTTTCTAAAAGAACAAATTTAAAAGCATTTCAACATACCTGTCACACTCTGTTTACTGAGCGCCACTTTGAGTCAGGAAGATATGTGTACCCATGTGTGTCCTGCCTGATTACCTTGTATCATAGTTCCCCCAAAATAGCCACTTCTTCACTGTGGTGACCAGCCATCACATCTTAGCCGTTGAGCCATAGGACTTGAATTTGTGTGATAGACCAGGAAATTCAAGCTATTCTTGTCCACAGCATTACGAGAATTAGATGAATTTGTAGAAACACAGAATCCTCCTTCCTTATTTTATGTTAGATGTTAAAGAGTGTTTTGCATAGATTCCACCTTTCCTGACACAGCTTGGCAAGAATTAAATCTGAAATGACTGGGATGAACCTGCCATTCTCTGCAGCCACTTCCACCCATGATCCCAGCAGCCCTTTGAGAGGGCAGTGAAGTGATAGACTGAAAAGTTCCATGTATCAATAGAGGCATTTACTAAACTCCTGGAGGACTGGGCCATCACTGAGAGGCTATGTCAGGAATTTAGACAGAGAGAGGGTGCTGAGCCTTGCCTCTGGTGGCCTCAGGAATAACATCTGAAAAGAATATTGGCAGGGAAGAAAAGGATTTCACATGGTTTTCTGAGTTCTAGAGGGAGGCCTTGAGGGCCTCATGGGCTTGTTCCCAGTGAGAAGGGGCTTCACAGCTCCAGTGAGGAGGCACGTATATCCCTGGGCAGGAGGGTCCAGTAGCTAGAGCATAGGCAGAGCGCAAACGGGAGCAGGAGCCTGGAAAGTGGCTGCAGGCAATATACCCGGCTAAAACTGGAAGTGGGTCACTAGATAATTTGAAAAGAGATTCTTCATAGTCATGGGGAGCAGATTTGAATAGGGCCTTGAAGGCCAGGCAGAAGCTAGAACTAATTAACTTGCTAGTAGGAGATGCCCACTAAAACTGAGCAGATAGAACAGGAAAGAGCAGACTGTGTCATGGGACCATGAGCCGCTGCTGTAACTCAGTCTGACTGACTCTTTGGGATTTAGGAAGCTACAGCATTTAGCTGCGGTTGTTTTGTAAACCCTCTCCAACTGTTCCACATGTATGGGAGGTGTCACAGGGCCCCGCCCTGGGCCCAGCATCCACTTTAGCTTCCTCCAGGAATGGAGCCCATCACACAGTTATCACCGTACACACTCCTTCTCTCTGGTCCTTTTAGAAACGGTCAAGATAAGGAGAAAGGGTCATTCCCAGGGCCATGCTGAGCTCAGAAAATGGAGCTGGAGGCATTGAGGCTGGCTTCGGGAGGGCTGAGAAAAGCCTTAGTCAGTGCTTACCCCTCAGAGCCAGTTCTGAAAAGGTTGGAAAAGAAGCTCTAGTCAGTTGAGCAAAAAGGAACCCAAGAACTCTCTCTGACATGTCAGTGTGTCCCAGAGCAAAGCAACCTGTACACAGGCCCCTAGGTACCTGAGCCATACTTTATCTAGCGCCCAGAGCAGGTGACCAGGCTAAGGGAGGAAGGTGTCTACTAGGATCTTTGGTTCCTTCGTGCTGTGTTCACGGGCTATTCACTGGCTGGACAGCCCCTCTATCTCAGCTTTGGTATCCAGCAACCCTGATCTGGGCTGCACATGCCTTGCGCTGGCATGCTGCTTAGCCTGGTCCCTTGGCACCCGGCTGCCCCTGGACCTCCATAGCCCTTGTCCCCACAGAAGCTGCGTTCACTCTGCTCCTCTACTGTGAGCTGCTACAGTGGGAGGAAAGGCCACTGCGGGAATTCCTCCATTACCCATCCCAGACAGAGTGGCAGCGGAAAGAGGGACTGTGCCGCAAGATCATCCACTACTTCAACAAAGGCAAGGTGGGTGTTATTAGGCAAGGCTTTGAGCGTCTCTGCTTCTACTGTACTACATGGCATCTTAACGCTACAGGGATGGCAGCAGCTGCAGAGGGTACTGTGTGGGGTGGTGAGGGGGTGGAGGCCCATATGTGTGCGTTAGATATGGAGGCAGCATGACTTTCTCTGGGGAAAAAAAAATAACAGCTTAATTCTGTGGCTTGGAAGCCAATTCCAGATTGGGGATGTAAGAGACAACCCCACATACCAGCTTTGCACATCTGTAAATACTAATGCTCCAACAGCAAGGGCTTTGGGCCCCCTGCTTATATTTATTAGATTTACTTAAATTATTGTAGCTTTCTGCTCTGCTATAGAAAATGTGAGCTATAAAAATTAATGGATTCTAACCACAGCCAACGGAGGCCTGTACTGCCTCTTACGGGTACGTGTTCTTGTCTTGGATTTCCCTTCCTTACAGCATAGTCTGGGCTCCTCTCATTGGGGTTATTCTCTATTAAACTTGATTCTGTGGAATTAGCAGGCATTGTCAGCATTGGTTCAGACTTCCTTGGGACTTCCCAGCCATTCTGCTCCAATCTCTGGGAGAGCTCCTTGTGGGGCCCTCTGACCCACCTATGGCCCATACACTGGAAAGGCTGGACATGTGTAACTTGTTGAAGCTGTTCTCTCATTACTCAGCTTTGAGCATGTTAAAAAGCTGAAACAGGATTGTTCAGGGAACTATAGTGGCTGAACTCCAGACTTAAATGGAAATTGGTTTTTTAAAATAAGCTTTTTTATCATAAAAAAGAAAGATTTAAACATTAATAACTTCTGCCCATAAATCAGAAAACATTCATCAGTTTTACACAACATGAGAGACTTTTGTTTGTCAAAAACATTCACCCATGTAGGGAACACACTGGTAAGCAGGAACCTTTCCAAAACCTCAGGAGCTCTCATTTCACCTGGCCCAGAAAGGAGACCCATGCTTAGCTGTCAGCCAGCCACACATGACTGAGCCACAGTGCCAGCCCAAAGCCTCCTCTCCTTGCTGGTCCAGAGACGGACAGAGGGCCCCATGCCAGTACACTTTTAGGTCTGTCTTCCTGGCACCCAGCCCACCTGGAGCTGCCACCTACCCATATGCCCAGCAAGCCCTCCCAGCTCTGAGGGAATGGCATAAGCATGGTGTGAGTGTGCATAAGTGTTGTTAGTATATTAGCTTATTTTTCTTTCCATGGGCATAGAGTGCAGAGTAGAGTTATGCTTATCTGATTGAGCCCAGCAGTGGGACACGTGAGCATTAATGGTCCCCTTTTCACCCCACACTACAGTAGTGTCAAGAAAGCAGGTTTAAAGGTTAGTATGAACAAGGGAAGGTAATGCAAAACCTGCCTGAGTATTGTGGATAAGCAGGAAGGGGAGAAGGACTGGGAGGCTCCGTAGGCTACCTTGTCAGGGATCTCCCCCTCCTTCTAGCAGCCCTGACTTTGGTGTGAATTGCTGGGGGAGCAGCTTCTGTACTGAGAACAGACGACTCAGTGAGCCCTTTCATGAGCTCATCCTCAAAGGGGTATTTATCACAACCATTCTCTTGGGCTCATACAGAAGGTCCAACTTTTCTGTTTCTGTACCTTCATACCTGACAGAACCAGTGGATAGGGCTAACCAGTTCTCTTAAAAGCATTCAGGGTTTTTTTTCTAATGGCTCCAGAAAAGCAAAACCTGTCTGATGCAAGAAAAGTGCTCCTGGGCTTCCCTGGTAGCGCAGTGGTTAAGAATCTGCCTGCCAATGCAGGAGACACGGGTTCGAGCCCTGGTCCGGGTAGATCCCACATGCCACGGAGCAACTAAGCCCATGCACCACAACTACTGAAGCCCACGTGCCCTAGAGCCCATGCTCTGCAACAAGAGAAGCCACCGCTATGAGAAGCCCGCGCACCACAACGAAGAGTAGCCCCCGCTCTCCACAACTAGAGAAAAGCTGGTGCGCAACACTGAAGACCCAGTGCAGCCAAAAATAAAATAAATAAATAAATTTTAAAAAGAAGAAGGAAGGGGAGGCATGAAGATGGGAGCTCGTCCTTCATTTCAGGGAAGAGGGAGCAGACAGTAAGGGAAGCTGGGAGGAGGCCTCTGACCCCTAAAGCATACAGACCATCAGGACCGAACCAACCCTCCATGTGGGGGTGGGCTTGGGCTCTACTGCTGAGGGCTGCTATTGTCCACATTCCTTTGAAGGAATGAGTCTGTTGCTTCTAAAATGTTGTGTGTAGACAGAAGTACAAAGACTGACAGTCTGGAGTCCCAGGCTTTTGCCTTCCTTTCCAGTTTGAGTAGAGTGAGCCAAGTCAGTGCAACTTTTGTGCCATCCCTGTCAGTGGGGGCAACAAGGATGTATAAACACACATCTGCCCAAGCTGGTAGAAGTGATTGGATTTCAGACACTGGTTAGTAGTTGTGTAGTTGGCTTTGCCTCCTGCCAGAAGGAAGGAAACCAAGAGAGAAGATGTAGATGGGATGCATTGTATCTGCAGGGCGTTCCCTCCCTGTGTTCCGAGGTAGCTCTCAAAACCCCCAGCATTCCAGCACAATCCTCAAGGCTGACAGAGTGTCCTGGCTCACCCTTGGGGGTTGGGGGGGCAGGCTTGGAGCAGCAGGGCTACAAATTAGGGCAGAGATGCCAGCGAGGCAGATAAGCATTGATCCTAATAGAGTAGAACTGCTTTACTGGGAGCTACCGTCAGCAGACAAAGCGCCTTTAGCCTCACATGGGTTCCTCATCACCTAAATGAGCAGTTCCCCATGGGGCGCTCCTTACAGGCTGGCTAGCAGTCTGCACACAGCTCAGCTGCTTCGCCAGCCCCCTTGGATCTTCCTGCCAAGCAGACCCTCCTGTGGGCCCTTCACTGAAACCTGCCCAAGCAGCACTTGGAGCCAGAGACAGGACAGACACGTGCCCCCTTAAAAGCTGTGATGTGGGGGTACAAGAGGCTTTCTAGCTCACTGAGGCAGAGGCATTGTATCGGAGCAGGGAGTCAGGGTCTATTTAAAATTCTCTTTGGTTTGTTTCAACATTTTTAATTGGTCCTGCAGTTCAATCCATATGGCGTTAATTTCTTCAAAGGATAAGAAACACAGTCCTGGGCTTCCCTGGTGGCGCAGTGGTTGAGAATCCGCTTGCCAATGCAGAGGACACGGGTTCGAGCCCTGGTCCAGGAAGATCCCACGTGGCGCAGAGCAGCTAAGTGCGTGTGTCACAACTGCTGAGCCTGCGCTCTGCAGCCTGCGAGTCACAACTGCTGAGGCCCACGCGCCTAGAGCCCGTGCTCCGCAACAAGAGAAGCCACTGCAACGAGAAGTCTGCGTACCACAGCGAAGAGTAGCCCCGCTCACAGCAACTAGAGAAAAAGCCCGTGCACAGCAACGAAGACGCAACGCAGCCAAAAATAAATAAATTAATTAATTAATTAATTATTTTAAAAAAAGAAACACAGTCATGAATAAAACATGGAGAGTATTGTCCTTCTCCCTGATGCTATTTCAAATCTATTTTTTTAATATAGTCCTTATTAAACATTCATACTGAAATATTGATGGGTGAAATTATAGTATATCTGATATTTGCTTCCAAAACTATGGGGAGGAGTAAGTGGATGAGATATTTAATGATACAAGACTGGCCATGCGTTGGTCATTGTTGAGGTTGGGTGATGAGTACCTAGGGGTTCATACTTCCATGTTTCTATATGTTTAAAATTTTCCTATAATAAAAATTTTAATTAGTACTTAGAAGTTGGGGAGAAGAGCCTGGCTAAAATGTCAAGTAAACCTTTGATTCCCAATCTCGCCAAGAGAGAAAGCACTGTATTAAAAAGAGGAGGAAATGGACAATATTGCCCCTTAGTGAAGGCCACTGTTAGATGAGCCTGTCACCATAATAGGAGCCACACCACGGAAACAGCCCGAGACGTGATTAGGCAAGGATTATCTGAAGACTGCTCTAAGATTTGAACATTTCTGTAAAGGAAATTATCAGACCTACTACCAAGCCCTTGGGTAGCTACTTCCTACTTAGCTTCCAGACTTGTTTCTAAGCTTAAATGATCTTAATTTAAAAGTCATTGTTTCCTTCATTAACTCATTAAATAAATCTTTATTGAGTACCTGCTCATGGCTGGCACTGTTCTAGGCTCTGAGGATATAGGATATAAACAGGATCCCTGCCCTCATGCAGCTTATCATCTAATTGAGACTAATACAACATAAAAGTAAATACTTTTTAGCCCAGAAATAAACCCACACACCTATGGTCAATTAATCTTCAGGCAAGAATATACAGTGGAGAAAAGACAGTCTCTTTAGCAATTGGTGCTGGGAAAGCTCGACGGCCACATGTAAATCAGTGAAGTTAGAAAACTCCCTCACACCATACACAAAAATAAACTCAAAATGGCTTAAAGGTTTAAATTTAAGACATGACAGCTTAAAGCTCCTAGAAGAGAATATAGGCAAAACAATCTCTGACATAAATTGTAGCAATATTTTCTTAAATCAGTCTCCCAAGGCAAAAGAAATAAAAGCAAAAATAAACGGGACCTAATCGAACATACAAGCTTTTGCACAGCAAAGGAAACCATAAACAAAATGAAAAGACAGCCTACGGACTGGGAGAAAGTATTTCAAATGATGCAACCGACAAGGGCTTAATTTCCAAAATATACAAACAGCTCATATAGCTCAATATCAGAAACAAACAAACAACCCAATCAAAAAATGGGCAGAGGGACTTCCCTGATGGTCCAGTGGGTAAGACTCCATGCTCCTAATGCAGGGGGCCCGGGTTCGATCCCTGGTCGGGGAAATAGATCCCGCATGCATGCCGCAACTAAAGATCCCATGTGCTGCCAATAAGACCTGGCACAGCCAAAATTAATTAATTAATTAATTAATTGTTAAAGAAAAGAAAAAAACATTAAAACAAAACAAAACAAAAAACATGGTTGCACCATTTTTAAAAAAAGGGCAGAAAACCAAGTAGACATTTCTCCAAAAGAGACATAAAGATGGCCAACAGGCACATGAAAAGATGGTCAGCATCACTAATTACTAAAGAAATGCAAATCAAAACTACAGTGAGACATCACCTCAAACTAGTCAGAATGGCCAGCATCAAAAAGTCTACAAATAATAAATGCTGGACAGGGTGTGGAGAAAGGGAACCTCCTACACTGTTGGGGGCAATGTAAATTGGTGCAGCCACTATGGAGAGCAGTATGGAGGTTCCTTAAAAAACTAAAAATAGAGTTAGTTTTAGTTACATGATTCAGCAATCCCACTCCTGGGCAAATATCCAGAAAAGACAAAAACTCTAATTCAAAAAGATACATGCACCTAATGTTCATGCCAGCACTATTTACAACAGCCAAGGCATGGAAGCAACCTGTGTTCGTCAACATATGAATGGATAAAGAAGATGGCAAAGGGTGTATGTGTGTGTATGTATATATATTATATATATAATGTAATATTACTCAGTCATTAAAAAGAATGAAATACTGCCATTTGCAGCAACATGGATGGACCTAGAGATTATCATACTAAGTGAAGTAAGTCAGACAGAGAAGACAAATATCATATATCCATGTGGAATCTAAAAAAATTATACAAATGAACTTATTTACCAAACAGAAACAGACTCACAGACATAGAAAACAAACTTATTGCTACCAAAGGGGAAAGGGTGGAGGAGGGATAAAGTAGGAGTTTGGGATTAACAGATACACACTACTATATATAAAATAGATAAACAACAAGGATGTACTGTATAGCACAGGGAACTACATTCAATATCTTGTAATAACTACATTCAATATCTAGTAATATTGGAATCTGAAAAGAATATATGTATGCGTGTGTGTGTGTGTGTGTGTATATATATATATATATATATATATATAACTGGATCACTTTTGTGTACCTGAAACTAACACAATATTGTAAATCAACCGCACTTCAATTTGAAAAAGTAAATACTTTTTTTATACAAGATAACTTCAGAGTATTGAAAGAGAATGGTTGGGGTAGTGCCTGTCCTTGACAAGGTAGTTAGGGAAAGGCCTCTTGGAAGTGGAAACATTTGAGTAGAAACCTGAAAACTATGCCTCAAGCCAGAAAACCAGTGCTATGTGTTCTCCACAAATTGGTTTTGAGCATATGTTCTTTGTGACATGCGATTTGCAGAAGGCCTTTGGTTGTGCCCTCTGATATGTTTGATGTGGGCTTGGGCCATTCCAAGGCTGCCTGAGGTGCTGAAGCCTTTTTCCTATTTCTGATGCAGAGTTGGGAGTTTGGGATCCCACTGTGCAGGGAGCTGGCGTGTCAGTATGAGAGCCTCTACGATTATCAGAGCCTCAGCTGGATTCGGGTGAGCTTTGCCCCTTCCCCCGCCCCAACCCTGAGTGGAGGTGCTAGCACTTTCCTAGCATCAACTTCTAAGGGAGCGTTTACTGTGGACCCAGCCCTTGGTTTAGTGCTGTGGACAGTACAGGAGAAGCAAAAGCCAAGGTTCCTGCTCTCAAGATGCTTGCATTATGGCTGGGGAACCAAAACAAACACATGACAAATGATTGTATGATCCAGACCCCAAGGGCCACTGGTGCTCAAGGAAGGGAGAAGCAGCATACACAGGATAGGATGGGGGTTTCAAGGAGGAGGTGGCAGCTCGACTTCATGAAGAAGCTTTTCCTGAAATGATTTTGTTCAGGTATGCTTCATCTGAAAACATTATAAGATCTTTCACTGCCTTGGCTTATGGTCAATACTGAGCACCCAAGTAAAGGAAGTTCTTCTTCCCTTCTTTGATGAAAAATATTCAAAATTAAGTGAAATGGACTTTGACAGTCTCCCAAATTTTTCCTAGTTGCCGGTGCTGGGTATTAAATCATAACAGGTCATTGGCAAAGAGAAGTCAGGAATCTCAGTTCATCCTCCTCCTGCACCCTTTTCAGCATAGCTAGCTCTTCCGTGTTCCCTGATCCTGATCAGGATTTGGGCCTATATAATAGATGTGGTTCTCTAGCAATAGCATTTTGACTGGTCTTTGAAGGCCGCTGCCCCCGGCAGGCTGGCTTGATTGAGCGCGTTAGGGCTGTCTTCCCAGTCAGATTTCAGTGAGTTTTTCTGAACCTGAAGCCAGGCCAGCCAAGACTAAAAAACTTATCGACCTTGGTAATACCAGATGTCATGGATATTAGTTCAACTTTTAAAGTTTAAAATCTCCTCAACTGGGACCAGTACGAGTGATGCTGGCACCTAAGCCTTCCTCATTCTGTTGGCATCGAGTCAGATGATAAATGAACAAGAGCAATGCAGATGGACTGATGGAAAATGGTGCCACCTGTAAGCAACACTAGCTTACACTCAATTGGTGTAGTGAGTGTCAGTCAAAACCAGGAATTCCTGAGCAAAAAAAGGAAGTCCATGTTAAATGTGTATCCCTGAAAGTACAGGAAGCCTGAGCCTCTTTGGGGCTGAGTCCACTCATTGGGAAGGACACTCCAAGCAGCCTCTCAGGGCTGCTTCACCATCAGGTGACAATGGAGAGTGAAGACTTCCTCTCCATCAGGCAGTTCCCCAGGGAGAGGTTGATCAGGGCTAGGGGCTCACTTTTTATCTAGACCAAGTCACCATGTTCTCTTTCCAAAAGACAGTGTCTACTTAGGCCTGGGAGAACTTGCTTTGGACACCACTAGCAGTCAAGCCAACTGCCTTTCTCGTTCACAGAAAATGGAGGCCAGCTACTATGACAACATCACGGAGCAGCAACGCCTGGAGCCTGAGTTCTTTCGGGTCGGCTTCTATGGCAGGAAGTTTCCTTTTTTCCTTCGGGTGAGTCCATTCAGGTAGTCACAAGAACTTCTATCATATTTTACACGTAAGTTATTTATAACCTGTTTTTTTTTAACCTTTTTCCTATTCTATTGAATACTTCTTTTTGAAGGAATGACCAGCCAACAAAAAGCATTTGACTTAATTTGACTGGACTGGCTACCAACTTTAGACTCTGTTTCTCTCTGCAGTACTGTTTTGTAGCTACCTGGAATGTATGAGGGTGGTTTTCTTACCAAATCAACCAAGTTCCTGCAGGAAATGACCAGGGTGTGAGAATGTCCCATAGGTATGTTTAGAAACCTTCCAACTTCTGTTTCCAGTGCCTGGAATTCTCCAGTGTGACTGTTCTCAGCCAGACAGGACCTCAGTACAGCCCTGACCTCAACAGTAGGCGGTACCGCCAGGGTGGAGAATTATTGATTTGAGAGATTTCAGAGGATAGTCCCCTTGCTCCTGGGGTTTGTGGGAGCTGCCAAACATTGGATTTGGCTGTGGAAGGCCTTTCCTAGGCAGCCAGTTCTCTGGCCCATGATGATTACAGCCATTTTCCTCCACCATTGCTGGAAAGGCTGAGCTGGTATATAAACAGAGTGGAAGGAATGACTGAGCATAGACATACTGACACCAGTTAAACAGTTGCGATTTTTTTTCTCTTTAATCAGCACAACCCAGAGGCTCCAGGAGAAGTCAGCCTGGGCTTGTAGGCTGTAGCCCACACGGATTTGCTGTTCCCAAATGACCTAAACGAAGCTGTGCTGATGCAAGAGCCCCAGGGCTGCAGTTGAGACCTAAGAGTAGCTCCGATTGTCCCCAGTTCCAGTATCATACTAAGGTTCAGTGTCCAGGAAGCAGCTGGGAAAATTCATAGGATTCCCTTGATGTGTTTGGGATCCTATCTTACTGGGGAAATTGCTTTAGCCAGTGAGCAATAAGCTTGGTATCTCATCAAAGGTCAACTGAGCTTAATGGCTCCTTACAAAAAGCCAGTCTGCTAAGCAACAAAGTCCAGGCTGACTACATTTCAGATGTAAGGCAGGTCAACATGCACATTTCTTGGGCAGTAATCATTATAGGTTAAAATGAAAGTGATTTCTGCAGGAACTAGCAATAGTGATAGGGACAGCAAGCACACTCTGCCTGATCATGATCCCCAGAAGGCTCTAAGTCTATTGCACAGGAGTGTTTATAGTAGCAGAATGTGAATAAGTAGAGGATCTCCTCAGGAGACTGGACCTCCTTCATTCTCTAGGGACCATCCAGTCCAGGCATATCAGAAGTGGCATGTTTGTTGCCCCCATCAGCATAGATCGTACAACAGCAGTGGGGGTAAAGGTCAACAGAAGAGAAAGAAGGAAAAAAAAGAAAGAAAGAAGGAATAGTACAAGAATTAGAAACCAAAAGCATCTCTAGAAAGCCCTTTGATAAGCTAATGATTATAGCCCTGTAAGTTATTTCTTTCGCATTTTATCTTTGCAAATTATGCTTGTCATTTTATTCTCCTTGTTTAGTCCCACAATTTGTATGTCATCAACCAGATTTTACTCCAAAACATCATTATTTTGAGTATTACAAAATCAGGCCCTGATGTTCCCCATTTCTGTCTTTGTCAAGCAGGAGGTCTCCATCACGGTTCCACCTGGCTCCCACCCCTCATGCTCATGTCACACGGAACATCAGTATCTCAGGGCTCTCAGAGCTTTCTGACAAGTAGGACCTGGCATAGTACCTGCATCTGAGCCATTCATACCGTGTTCTCAAGTGACAGTCTAAATGTTCAAACATGGTTTCAAGGGTGCCAGTAATGGAGGAAAAATAACAAGAGGTGTTAGGAAATATCATCCATCAGTCCGTCCTCATTTCCACACTAGGAGCTATGTTTCATGCATACAAATCTGCCTGGCCTGGCTACATGCTGCCTTCCCTTCCCTCAGCTGCTCAGTTCATCTGTGGCAAATGGAATAAGTCCAGTGGAGGTAGCCGTTTGCCTTGTAAATGGCAAGGGCAAAATGGAAAGCAGTGGCAGCCAGATCTGTCTCATGTAGGGATGCTGGGGCTCTCGCCTGAGCAGACTTGAAAGCAGCAACCAGCCTCAAGGTCAATGCTCTGTGCCTTCCTCCTGCTGGGTCTTCCCCAGCACACTAGGCTACTCTTTCACCTTCCCACATAGGCCATCTATTACTCTAGCTCTGTCAGCTTGAGTTCTCTGGACCATCTGCCCGTCTTGCCTCACAAATGTGATTATCTGCTAATCTGCATGGAGACAGGAAAACATCCAGCCCTCCCTCCTTGGGGGAATTTCTGTTTCTCTTCATTTGACTCATGAACAGACACTGGAGAGGATTGTACGTTTGTGAGTGGATATGAAAAGGCCAGTTCTAAACAGTTACCTTCTTTGTCAATTCTCCTTATCAAGCAAGGGACTTAGAAATGTCTCTGTCCTCTGTCTGTTCCACTGGAGAGGCCAGCCTGCTCCTCCTGACCTTGACTTCCCTTCCAGTGTTGCCTTTCATTCTGATCCATCTGGACATGTGGCCTAGCCTTAGCTGAGTTCTCCCATAGTAAGAGAAGAAGTGAAAAGTGGGCAAAAATCCTATTCCAAAAAGGCTGAGGTCATCCACAGCCTGGCCTGTGATTATCCCTGTACTGGGAAACGTAGGGCTGGCCCTGTGGAACCTCTCTCTCCCCCTTCCTCTGAAGACGTGCCAAGAGGGGCTGCCAGTGCCTGACACCCTTTGTCAAAGTGAATCTAGTGAGGCAGCTAGGCAGGCAGACAGATGTCACCAGAGAGCTTCAGAGGAGCCTCCTCCAGCCACTCACTCTTGAACAGCTGTGAGGTAGGCAGAGCAGCAGGGTTGAAGGTGCCTTGTCATGCCTTCCGTACACAAAGAGAAAAACTGAGTCCTAACCTGTACCAAATATGATGTAACATGAGGTTTTAAGAAATCTGTAATTGGGGACTTCCCTGGTGGCACAGTAGTTAAAAATCCACCTGCCAATGCGGGGGACACAGGTTCGATCCCTGGTCCAGGAAGATCCCACATGTCGTGGAGCAGCTAAGCTCGTGCACCACAACTACTGAGCCTGCACTCTAGAGCCCGCGAGCCACAACTGCTGAGCCCACGTGCCACAACTACTGAAGCCTGCGCGCCGAGAGCCCGTGCTCCACAACAAGAGAAGCCACTGCAATGAGAAGCCCGTGCACCGCAACAGAGTAGCCCCCACTCGCCGCAACTAGAGAAAGCCCATGTGCAGCAATGAAGACCCAACGCAGCCAAAACTAAATAAATTTATTTTTTTTAAAAAAAGAAAAAGGGCTTCCCTGGTGGCGCAGTGGTTGAGGGTCTGCCTGCCGATGCAGGGGACATGGGTTTGCGCCTCAGTCCAGGAAGATCCCACATGCCACGGAGCGGCTGGGCCCATGAGCCATGGCCGCTGAGCCTGCGCATCCAGAGCCTGTGCTCTGCAACGGGAGAGGCCACAACAGTGAGAGGCCCGCGTACCGCAAAAAAAAAAAAAAAAAAAAGTGACCCTACGAAAGCACACACCTGATCACCCCCTTTTCTAAATTATTTGGTGGCACCCATAGTGATACTCCTTGGCACACACCTGCAGGCATGTTCAGTCACCCTCCCACCAGTTCTCCACAAGCACCTTCCTTCTAGCTGTGCCTTTTCCTGTCTTGGCTTGTGGCCCTGGTTGTCATTGTACCCACATAGATTGCCCCCCACTCTTCTCTACTGCGCTAACCCAGGTGGACCTTCCAAGGACTCTTTTCAGGCATGGCTATTTCCAAAATCTCACCCCGCCTCCCCGCTTGCATCCCTTCCTGTGTGAGGAGCCCTCCCTCCCTCAAGCTTCCTGCAGCCTTTGCCGTACCTCCCACCCCGGGCTGTCACACCACAGTGCAGTTCTCCCTTCTGCTGTCCCTTACCCTTCTTGACCATCATTTCCCTTAAGGCAGAGACTTAGTGCTGTGTCCATGCCTACCACAGGGGTTCCTAGGACACGTCTGTGGGATGAGGATGCAGGGGATGGGTGGCAGCAGGCGAGGCATTGAGTGTGCTCTCCCATTTGTGGCAGAACAAAGAATATGTGTGCCGTGGCCACGACTACGAGAGGCTGGAGGCCTTCCAGCAGAGGATGCTCAGTGAGTTCCCACAGGCTGTCGCCATGCAGCACCCCAACCACCCTGATGACACCATCCTGCAGTGTGATGCCCAGTGTATCTTTTGACACTTAGTAGGGGAAGGAGGGCTGGGATCCTGGGAGGTGAGGCCTACCCAGTCAGCTACCCCTCTGCCATGTCCTTGGCCATACAGGCCAGGTTACCTGTAAGTCCTGAAGCAGAGTGTGTTCTCGTTACTGACTGACACTTAGCAGGGCACTCGTGCTTCACAGAGGGGCCGTGGCATGCCCTTAGCCATGGGGGCCTGGTCATCAGCTGAACTTCAGGGGGACCTTTATCCCTCTGGTTGGCTGCTGCCAGCACCTGAGTCCCCACCCTGCCATATGAAGGGTCTGCCTAGGCAGCCAGCAGCAATCACTGTGGACTCTTGCTGCAGGGATACTCCACTTCTGTGTCCTGCTCTACTCCCACGTGCATCTGTTGTTACCCAGAGCCTTTGCCAGCAGGACGGAGGCACAGCTCTGTGGATGGGGGTGGAGACGGGGGGTCTGAGGCACTTGGAAGTCTGAATGCAAACACTGGCCTGCCCCTCATTCCCCACACACAGCTTCCTTGAACACCTCATGACGGTTGCCATGACTGTAGCAAGCTTGTTCCAGAGAGAGGAGGGCAGGTAGACTCCCATATGTTATCTCGCCACAGAGATCCCAAAGAGTACTTTGTTAAAATGTTGTTTTGCAGTAAATACAGTTTACCCACAGTGGGCAGACCCAGGCTCTTGCAGCTTTTTCATTCTGTGGGGTGGGCACCTGCATTCTCCTGACCCCTTTCCCTTCTTTCTTAAAGGGGCACTGGAGAACACCTAGCTGTTGACATCTCACCTTGGCTGCGTGCTCAGGAGACTGACTGCTGGAGCAGGGAGAGGGGCAGTTAGGGAGATTCGGTCTGTGTTTGGGTCTGATCTGCCTCTTGAAATGCTGCTGCTGCCAGTAGGGAACAGGGGCTGTGGTGTTCCTCTCTCCTTTGGGGGGATGACAGGGGTCAGCCACTCAGGTCCATCTCTCTTTCAGTCTCTCTGGGTTTCTCCTTCACTTCCTGCCCAGACTTGCAGATCTATGCAGTGACGCCCATTCCAGATTATGTGGACGTCCTGCAGATGGACAGGGTCCCAGATCGCGTCAAGAGCTTCTACCGCGTCAACAATGTGAGGAAGTTCCGGTACGACAGGCCTTTTCACAAAGGCCCCAAGGACAAGGAGAATGAATTCAAGGTGAACAAATCTAGGGAAGTGGGGGCAGTGCTTATAGCGAGGCCGGGGCAAGCCCCACATTCTCAGGAGCTCATCAGTGTCTCACCCTTCGGGCAGGCAGGGCATGGTAAAAATCACTTAATGGCCTAAACCTACCTGTGCCTTCCCTGCAGAGCCTGTGGATCGAGCGCACCACGCTGACCCTGACCCACAGCTTGCCTGGCATCTCTCGGTGGTTCGAAGTGGAGAGGAGGGAGCTGGTGAGACACATTTCAGATGGGGCTCATTTTCACAGCTGCTTCCTCAGTTCTTGCTTTGGGGGCTTTTCTCTAAGGACTGAAGAGAGAGAAAGAGTGCTTAGGCCGCCTGCCTGGCCTAGGCTGCTACAGGCAGTCCTTTGCTGGAGGCTTTGTGCACCTTCGTTCTCTCATTTAATATTCACAACACCCTTAGGCACCAGGTATTTTTTTTCTCACAATTTGTGAATGCAGAAACTATTCTCTGAAGTTCAGGAAGCCAGAGACCTCTGACTTCAGAACTGGTGCTCTTCCCTGTTTACTGTACTTCTAAGTGCCTACAGATTAGAAGAGGAAATTAGAAAGGGCTCAGGGAGTCCCAACTCCACAGGAACAAGGGCGGGGAATCAGAATCACAGGTCACAGATCCCTGCTGTCAGGACTGTGATGAGGGAGGGGTTGACATTGTGCCTGGGATGACACCATTGCTGTGTGCCCCCAGGTGGAGGTGAGCCCCCTGGAGAATGCCATCCAAGTGGTTGAGAATAAGAACCAGGAGCTGCGGGCCCTGATCAGCCAGTATCAGCACAAGCAGGTGCATGGCAACATCAACCTGCTCAGCATGTGCCTGAATGGCGTCATTGACGCCGCTGTCAACGGAGGCATTGCACGCTACCAAGAGGTGAGCTGGGGTCCCAGACTAAACCCTGGCTGGGAAAGCAGTTCTCAGGCGCCTCTCCTTGAGATTCCAGCCTCTTAGGGAAGCCTTCTCAACAAGCCCTCTCCTGGCTGTGCCTCAGCTGACCAAGGATGGTCCTGGGATGAAGCCTTAAGCTCCCTGCCACTCCCTGTTTCCATTGTTCCCCCTCTCTGATGGGGCCTTTTCTTCCTTTTTATTCTCTGAACTCTGACAGATGGGTAATCCATCTGATGATGGAAGGATATTAAGTGGCCTCCAAGAGGAGCCTGAGAGCCCAGCCCTTCACGAGAAGTGAGTTGTGGGCTCGCTAAGAGACTAGTCCCCTCACCCTGGCCACCAGCCCTGCCTGCCCTACCCAAGCCAGCAAGGCTCCATGAGGGGCTGAGACCAGCATTCAGGCTTAGATTACTTGGTCACCTTTGGTCCTTCTTAAGACACAAAAAAACACATCTGTGATTGCTGGAGGTTCAAGCAGGCCAAGCTAGAGGTACGTTGGTGTGTGTACCTGCTAGGAGGCAGCCCGGCTACCTTTCAGGTGGCACCTTCAGACTCTTAGTAGTAGCCCTGGGAAGAGTCTTCCTGACTTGGCCTTTTCTTTCACAGGCCTTCTTTGATAAAGATTACATCACCAAGCACCCAGGAGATGCTGAGAAGATCACTCAGCTCAAGGAACTCATGCAAGAGCAGGTATGTCTTGCCAGGGTTGGAGGCCAGTGTCTAGGAGGGAAAGGCTAGGCACCACACGATAGCTGGATAGCTGCAGCACCCAAGGTCTGCTCCTTGGCTAACGGAGTAGTGTTGTCTATCACCCTACTAGGTTCATGTTCTTGGAGTCGGGCTGGCAGTTCATGAGAAGTTCGTGCACCCAGAAATGCGCCCTCTGCATAAGAAGCTGATTGATCAGTTCCAGATGATGCGGGCCAGTCTCTACCATGTAAGCTGATCCCTGTCCTGTTCCTGCTGCAGTATCACAGGTGTCACTTCCTCCAGACCTGTGCAGCAAGCCAAAGGAAGTGGGGTGGGAAGAGGGGCTGGAGAGGCGAACATGAAGGAAAAGCTGTTCCCACCCCAGGATAGCAGGAGGCAGAGGTGGGTGCTCTAGCCAGGGGAAGGACACCCAGTATCCTCTTATTCACTTCCTCCCTAAGAAGGAGTCATATTCAAGGACAGAGAATGTCCTTGAATGCACTGTGCTGGTGAAGAGAGGTTTTCATATGAGGAGGAAAAGTTTACGGCCCACATGCAGGGATCTCTTTGGAGATATTTTTCATCCCAAGAACCTACAGAGGTAAGGCATAGCCTGAGCCAGTCTTCTCTCCTCCCTCTCCCTCTTTCCCCTCTCTTTCCCCTGCCTCTTTAACCCCCTGCCTCCCTTCCCTCCCTCTTCCTCCATCATGTCTGATGACCCAGGCTTACATCTGAGAAAGCCTAGGCTGGGCAGTACTTTTGTACTGGCCTCTCTTAGAAGGGTCAGGCAGGTTCTGGGGCTGGCCCAGGCCCCAGAAGATCTCCCTGACTCTGACCTGCCTCCTAGGTCTCCATGGCAGGGCTTGACCCAAGGACTGATGCACACAAGCAGAAGCAGGGCCTGTATTCTGGGGCTAGTTTCCCTCCAGGGGTCTTACAGGGAATGCTGTCTGGCTGAGAGCAGGCTTCAGGTGGTATTGAGCACAAACTTCTGGTCTCTCTGTGTGTGAACTTCCCCATCACAGCAGGTGAGCCAGGCAAGCTAGAGCCTGGCCACTGGGGGAGCTCTCTAGCATGCAGGCTGTCAGGTCACTGCAGGAAAAGGCACAAAATGCTCACCCACATACCTCAGGGTCTCCAGGGCATACATGGAGGTGTCCTCTCCAGCTGCAGAAGCACATTTCAGCCTTCTGCTTGCTTTGGAAGAAGGGAGTGGAAAACCTCCTGCTTCTTCAGGGCAAGCTCAGAAACATTCCCAGTGCACCTAAGGCCCACAGATTGTGAAGGACTTCAGGAAACCTGGACAGTTGTGCTTTGTTTCCTCAGAGTCACAAATAGGGACTCAAACCAATGTGCTGTCACCCAGGAGGATTTGGGATCAAAAGTTTCTGCCAAGATGTCTACATACTTAATTATGCAAAAATAGAACTGTACTGTTTTCTAATTACTTGCATCAGGATTTTGTGTCCTGTCTCCCCATAGACTGTGTCACAGACAACTTAACCCAGGTCACTGAGAGCTGGGCCATTTAGCAATCCAATAAAACCCAACTCCAGTTCTTATGTAAGAGGTGTCCACTGTCTGACAGATGATAATCAGCTCTTCCTCTCCTGTTTCCCAGCTCTTGTTCTACTTTTTCTATAGTGATAAATGCCTGTTAACACACTCTTGTGAACTCAGACCAACCTCAGCCTACTCCAGATGTGCTCTTAGTGGGTTGACCTAGGCCTCACAGCCTCTTCCCCAGGCTGTGGTGTGGTTAGGAGGGTGCTTTGGTCGTGAAGGGGTCACTGCCCAAAAGAAGCCAGTAGTAGTTCAGGTTCAGCCAACAGTATATGATTTTTTTTTCATTTACATTCCTGCCACCAGCCTGCTTTTCCCTCTCACCTCTTAATTACTTTTTTATTCTTAATTATTTATTATGAAGGGGCATTCGTTTCTCAACAGGAGTTTCCGGGTTTGGACAAGCTAAGTCCTGCATGTTCAGGCACCAGCACCCCACGGGGAAATGTCCTAGCATCCCATAGCCCCATGAGCCCAGAGAACATCAAGATGACCCACCGGCACAGGTATGGCTTTAGGGCTGAGGAGGGTCCCCTCCACAAAGGTAAGTCTGAATGTCAAAGATCAGAGCAAGGAAGTCCAAAATAGTGCTTGTGTGTACGCACATGCCCTCTTACCCATGTGCACAGCAAACACACAGCTCCTGCTACAGGATCTACACTCTGCATCCAGTCATCCTGGGTGACAGAGGAGTATACATGGTATTGTGGGAACACGGAGGAGGGGGCATTTGGGGTAAGTCTTGAAGGGTAAGTAGAAGTTTGCTGCGCAGAAAAGAGTTGGTGTTAGGAAGGTGATGGAGCAAGATCCGGGCAAACTCACTAACATGTGCAGACACCTCAAGATATGAGCAAGCCAGTCTGCTCAGCACTACAGGGAGAGCCAAGTGGCTGGAATGCAGGATTCCAGGGCATGGAAGAGGGCCAGGACCAGCTCTGGATGGGCTCGCTTCATTCAGGCCTTTGGACTTGATCCCAGGGTGAATGAGGATCACCAGTTGGTTTTAAGGAAGAGGACAACATGGTGATGTGGACATCAAGGCGTCCCTGCTCTGCACTCAGGAGTCCTGGTCGCGAGGGCTCCACTGGGGAGACTTCAAGTCTCCAGGGCAGGAAGCCCAGGCCAGGGGATGACCCTGGAGAGGAGCCCTCACTTGGCTTTGTTTTCCAATGTGAGCAGCAAGTCAGCACAGAGGGTACTCAGCAAATAAGAAGGAATGAATGAATGGGGGGCTGCCTAGAACTGATAGAAGAGAACTGTTGGCAAGCCTGTGGCCACAGAGATGGAAGGAGGCCAGCAGATGGTTCACAGCCAGCTATTTCGATAGCTTCCCCAAACCAGGAAGATACCCTGACCTAGGAGCAGATCCTATCCGGGTGTAGGTACTGGCTCAGGTAAACACCCCATAGCAAGGAGGACCTGGGATCCTTGACCTGATTCAGCATATCTCTCATTCCTCCTGCGACACTGGTGATGTCATCAGACTGAGTGGCCATAAACCATTTAACTCTAGGTCAAGGCTATGCCAAGCTACCGTTGGCCCTCCCAGACTAGGGGCCTCTGGTGGGGTTCAGGACTGCTGCAGGCCTCAGATGGGTATGAGCATTGGCTATGGAACCATCCAAACCAGTGATGGCTAAGGCTTGGGGATGGCTGTTTTATACACACCCATGACTCTCCCTCTCACCACCTAGCAAAATGTCTCAGCTCCAGACCTGACTCCTCCCTATCTCCCACTCTTGTTCACAGCCCCATGAACTTGATGGGGACCGGCCGCCATTCATCATCCTCTCTCTCCTCACACACATCTAGCGAAGCTGGAAACGTGGTGATGTTGGGTGACAGCTCCATGGGCGAGGCTCCTGAGGACCTGTACCATCACATGCAGGTACAAGAACTGTCCAGGGAGAATGGGCCAGGGCACCATACCTAGAGGATTCACCTCTCTGCTGGCCTGAGGACTGGCATCCCTGCCTAGTTCTCTTGTTCCTGAATTCAGAACACCCAGAGCTATGGCAAAACTGCCTTCCCTCCACACCATCCCATGTTGCACTTCCCAGGCCTTCTTTCCCAAGAAGGAAATCTAGCTTCAGTCCTGGCTACTCTTAGAGATCCCATGGGAAAGCTCCTCTGACAGATTGCCTTCCTTCCTGGCATTCCTGATGGCTAAGTCCTGCTTCCTCCATGGGCACCATCACTAGAATCTACCCAGCAGCCCTGCTTCTTTGGGGTTATAGGTGACCCTTAGTGCTGGCCATCAGCCGGTCCTCCATCAGGGCAAGGGTACAGTATCAGACACTGGGTCTGGGCACCTCATGGCATGAAGAAGCCAACTCTGGGCCAGTCTACAATCCTGGCCATTCAGACCTCTATCCTGCTAATTTTTCTCCCTTTGCAGCTCGCGTATCCCAACCCCAGGTACCAGGGCTCAGTCACCAACGTCTCTGTTCTGTCCTCGTCCCAGGCAAGCCCTTCTTCCTCCAGCCTGAGTTCCACTCACTCAGCACCATCCCAGATGATTACCTCTGCCCCTTCCAGTGCCCGAGGTAAGGATGGCAGGGCGCTGCTTGCAGAAGGGAGAGGAGAGAGCCTCCTGGGCCCCACTTGTCCTCCTCTCATCTGTGGCTATGTCTTTGAAAGTGGCCCTGTGACTTAGAGAATGCTCACCTGCGCTTTTAGTACCAAGGACTCGAGGGGTCCTACCTCCAAATCTTTTTCTCTTGCTGGCCTCAGACCCTGCTCGGAGCAGTGGTTGCAGCTATGCTGCCACCAAGGTAGCTAGCCATCGCATCTCCACCTCAGTAAGAGGACACACAGCCTAGGGGAAAGCTCAGTTCTTTTCCATTGAAGTGTTTGCAAGAATAAAGCTCAAAGTTAAGGCAAAAGTGAGTTTTGTCTTGAATAATCAAACATGATGAAAAAGTATGAAAATTAAATTTGAAGACTAAAATTAACCCTGGAAAATATTATTATAAACGGTAACAACAGCCAAAAAATCTTTGTTCAGTTGGGAAAGTGTTAATCAGGAGAGATGGCTCTGTAAAAAGCTATTAACTTTGCCAATTATTGCTTGATTTCTTCTTCAGTTGAATAAATATTGTTCTGAGCCAGCATCTTTTTCACATTCTGATTCTAATTCCTGCAGTAAAATTTGATTCTCTGTCCTTTTAGATAGAAGCATTCACAGTGGAATGGAAATTAGCTATGGTGACTAAAATCTAGCACTTCCCAGGGTTGGCTGTGCAGAATAGTAGCAGAAGAGAGTGGTGAGCTGGTCACTGGCTGTTGCTTCCAGGCTTCAGAGGGGTGGAGTCTCTTTGTTCTTCTCATTATTATGAAGATAAACAGAAATAGCACAAATGTATGACATAGAGGGTCGTTGAGGGAAAAAAAAAAACCTTTTCTTTCATAGCACGCAAACCTGAAAGGCCCACAGTAGCAGTGATGGAGAGAGAGATGCAGTGGCCAACTGGGAAAAGCCTCAGCTGACAGCAGAAGGGGGGTAAGGCTGCAACAGGCAGAGTTACAGACTTTCACCTGAAGCATCCAGCCCAACCCCTCATTCCCTGTGGAGGAAACAGGTCCAGTGAGAGGGGCTTAAGGCCATCCAACCAGTTTGTGGCCAAGTTGATTTTGGAGTTTGAGTCTTTACACTTGCCAGCCATCAGTCTGATGCCCATTCCACTTCCATGATTGCCTCCCTAACATGGACCAAGGCACTCAAAAAAGGGGAGCCAGCATTTGGAAGCAGGTATTTCTAGTGTTAAAGAAGAAAAATGATCCAACAAATGGGTGCATGTTGAAGATTTGTCAGTATGTGAGGGCTGCAAACATAGAGAAGCAACAGTGATTTGTGCTATAAAGGTATGTCAAAAGATGGTTTGGAGAATAAAAAGGAAGGAAACCCTGATAAGTCAGCCATGACTTCTGTAGTGGAGGTTAGCATTTGCAGTGTCTTAAGGTAATGCTCCTGAATAGAGCTGCAGAAACAGATTTTGTAATCTAATCTGTTGTGTGGGTTTTTTCCTAACCTGAACACTCTCTAAGATATACTCAGCCATATCTAAGTCTGTAGCTGGGTATTCTTGCTGAAGTCAGATCTCTGAACCATGATTATCGATAAAAACAGAGGCAGCAAAGGATGGACATTTTAACTCACTTCACTCTGACATTGCTCAGACACTTCCCCTAGGCAGTGCCCGGTACTCGGTGCCCTAAAGAGGACAAAGACGCCATCAGGGACCTCACAGTCTTTCTGGTACCACGTTTGTCCTTCCAGCTAACGATATACTAATCTATTCCCTCATCAAGCTTTTACGAGTGCTCAGTAAGAAGTCTGCGTTGCTCTTACACCCTCAGAGTTGAATAGAGAGAAGTTATGTTCTCCCTGTTTGGAAGTGATCTCTTTTTATTTCAAATGGCTTGGTTATCAATTGCTGCATAATAAACCACCCACCAAAACTTAGCGGCTTAAAACCACAATTTATTATCATCTTGCGTGATTCTGTGGGTTAACAGGGCTCACTGAGCAATTCTCAGTTTGCAGTCTCTCATGAGCTTGCAGTCAGATGTCACTGGGGGCTGGAATCATCTCAAGACTCAACTAGGCTGGACATCCAAGATGCCTCGCTCACGTGGCTGGCAGGTGATAGTACCTGTCAGCCGGGAGCTCAGCTGGGGCTGTCAACCTGAGTTCCTACGTATGACCTCTCTCTGTAGCTTGAGCTTCTCACAGCATGCAACCGATTTTCCCCAGAGCAAGCATTCCAAGACACCCAGGCAAAAGCTGCAAGACTTCTTATTACCCAGCCTTGGAAGTCCCAGAACATCCCTTTTGCCACATTCTGTTGGTTAATCAAGTCACTAAGGCCAACCCAAATACCAGGGTGTGGAATAAGACTGCACCTCATGATGTGAGGAGTGGCATGTGCGTTTTGGGAGGGAAGGCATTGATGGTCGCCATCTCTGGAGGTAAGCTATCATGATGGTCAAACTCTAGAGTATCATATAATGAAAGGCTGATAGGAGCTCCCTCCTTTTCTGGAGTAGATATGAAGTATAAAAGTGAACAAAATGGTTAAATAGAACTGGGCCCAAAGCGGGGAATCGTGATAAGAGCAGAGGCTATTAAGAAAGAGCGGGAAGTCACTTCTAGGCTACAACACCCATGCAATCCATGTGTAGGCCCATCTGGAGAAAACCATGGGCCCAGCATGTGTCAGGCCCACATGTGAGAGAAGATACAGACTGTGACCTGGTGTCATACAGGAAGATTGATATTTTTAGATAAATGTGGGAGGTGAAGTAGTAGATGCACTGGGGTCACCGAAGAAACAGAATGGCCCACTCTGGGGTTTGTGTCTGATGTTACGGATGAGGGGAAGGCTTTCATGGAGAGTGTTCTGGAGACTCCTTTGCATTGGAGTCACTTTCCCCACTCCCAGGAGTGGTCATGTCACCAATAGCCTTCCTTGCCGTGCCCATTGACACTCTGCTGTGGTTCTTGTTGCTTTGGAAACCTTCAAGTTGAATGGCCTGCAAGGCATAGTCTAAACTCTTTACGTCCGCAGCGCCCCCTGGTGGTCAAAAGGCTGAGTGGGGCTAGGAAACATGGAGATTTTGATTGATCCTCCTTGAATAACTCAGTCATGCTGGGACTTAGCCCCCCTGGGGTTTACCAAACTACAACTGAAGTAGTTCAAAAGTCCTGTGACACAAAAGCCCTTGTGGTGTTTAAATGTTTTCATGAAAAGTAGCCATCACTCTCTCCTACAATGGCTGCCCTGGCTGCCCAGGGAAGACAACAGTGGGCAGGAAGTAAGATGAAAGAGTTAGAAAATCTCGTGGTAGCACAGAGCACTCTTTTGTTTTCGCACCAGAGAGGCCTCCATAACATGGATACAAATCCTCAGCATAGCCCCTGGGGCCTGCAGGCTGCTGTCCCTCCATCCTAGCCCTGCAACATGTATCAGGATATTGAGTGTGCAGATCTGGGGTTGGCCTGGTGAGCCAGACTGTGAGCTCCATGAGGTGAGGGACCATGGCCAAGCTGAGCAAGGCGGTACACCATGTTCCAACCACATGCCTGGTGTGGGATGGGTATTAGATATGAGTTTGATGTAACTGAGTTGGTATAAAGGGGCTATGTCTCTGTGCACACCAAGCTGGGGGTACCCCTGTCCAGAGATGTGGCCAGCAGGACCCAGGGAGCATTCAGAGTTTCTTGCTGGAAAGGCACTATAGAAACCAGTGGGATTAGGAGCCCTTTTCCTTTTTTCTTTACACAGCCATCTTTTTGAGGTTGCCTCAGAGCATAAGTTCTAAAAGGAAATATTGATGTAAGTGAAAAAATCACCAAATAGTAGCAATTCAGGCCTAGTTTTTTAAAAAAGCATACTTTACTCATTCCCTTATCAGTGAAGGATATTTTTAAAACTAGGTCTTAGAGCCAGCCCTGAGGTTCTATAAACAGTATCGCTCAGACCAGCTGTGGAAGAAGTTTACTTAAATAATAATTGCCTTACTTGTTTTTAATATACTGACTTCTTCAACATATTTAAGCCTCATCTCCTTGGACTAAAATGAGTACAAGAGGCATATCTCAAGAACGCCTGGCTGCAGAAGACCTTTTTTAGTTGTACCCTGACAGTGCTTGGACGGCACACTCACAGGAAGGTTCAGAGACCCTGTTTTTCAGGGACACACAGCCTCCTGAGCTGCAGGTTCACCTCTCAGATGGAGCCTCACTAAGAAAACACCACGGAGAGGGGTTTCAACCACTTGAATCAGCCAGAGGCTGCCGAGCTGCCAGTGGGCAAGAAGGGGGCACTGGGATCCAGGTGACCCTCCCACTAGTTTGACATGGATGTGCTGGTGTTTGGCACAATGAGTGATACACGTTTGGAGGGCCTTCTAAATTATATCTTCCCAAGGGAAGCCTGCAAGTTTATTCTCACTACTTCTGTGGAAGGTCCCCTTGAGGACCATTGGTTGACAGGTTCCTGGGCCCATAGCTGTGGCCTGCATCAATGGGGACTAAGCCACACCACATCTGGTCTCCATAACAGCCCCTCAGGCCAGAGGAGGTCTCACAAGAGAAGGGCAAGAACCAAGTCAACTCAAGAGCCTGGGTTAAAGACCCACATAGCTCCATGACTCCCGAGTTCACTGAAGGGCAAGTCTTAGAAACCCTGGAGAGCCCCCTGTGTGCAGGGCCCTGGGCCCCCAGCCAGTCTGGCTGGGTCTGCAGTAGGATGGCCAGGAAGGCAGAGGCCAGGCACTGGAGGCTTGGAATCTGGGAAAAGGTGGTAGGGAGCCATCTGGGAACAGGGCCAGTGGTGTCTGGAGAAGGTAAGTGTGTAGAAACAGTGTGTCAAGTAAGAACTGTGCTGCTGTGTTATCTGAGTGTGTCTGTTTCTGTGTGATGGCTCCATTGCAAGCTGGCCTGGGCCCATTCCTGGGCCCCCTGAGAGAGCTCAGCATCCAGGCCACACCCATCTCCCAAGAGTGCTGGATGCAGAGGGCCCCTAGGGCCCCAGCTCCAGTCCCCAGCTCTCCTCATGATCTGCCTCTGAGCATGGTGAGGGCGCTGTCGGGAGTCTGCATTGCCCCAGGTTGTAGTATGTGTGCCTTGGCTGGGATGCCAGGTGCAGCCCCCGCCACCATCTAACCACCAGGCTCTGCTTCATTCCTCCTGTGCTTGCTGAGTTCATCCTCACCCCAACGGCAAGGGGACACCACCCTGGTTCCTTGGCCCCAAGGATGCCTGCCCTCTGGGCCCTCCATCTGTGGCTTGTCATCTGTGCGTGATTGTTCTCACTTGGTTACAGGCTCTCCCTCTCTGCCAGATAAGTACCGCCATGCCCGGGAAATGATGTTGCTGCTGCCCACACACCGGGATCGCCCAAGCAGTGCCATGTATCCAGCAGCCATCCTGGAGAACGGACAGGTAATGGAGCCAGCCTACTGACTGCCCTTTGCTGCAAGTGTGTTGGCCTGGGCTTCCCTCGTTGCACTTGCTAGGCTTTCTGCACTGTCCTTCGTGCCTCCCTCATTCTGCCATAAGACCCTCAGAAGGCTGCTGGGCTCCTAGATGGGAACTGCAGCGAATGTGAGGACCAGCAGTCCAGATGGAGTACAGCTGTGGGTAGAGTGGTGGCAGGGTTGGAACCACCATTGTTTGTGTGGCTCTCTATCCTTCTGGCCAGCCTCCTGGACTCCTCATCTATAAACAGTCTGGCAGAGAAAATTGGTTATTTTCTGTCCCAAGAAGGCAGTGGTGGACGTGGGTCTAGAAAATGGCCTTCTTCCCTGTGTGTGTGAAGGACATCCTCACTGGGGCAAACTCTGCCTCTTTCATCCATCCATCCATCCATCCATCCACCTGAAGCCCCTCTCTACCCGCTGGGACTACTCTCCACACCATTTGCCCAGCTCTCCAAATATCCTATATGGGGCCCTTGAACAAGAAGCTGCAGGGATTAGCTCCTTCCCCTCCTATCCAGTCTTCCCTGCCCTCCTGTCAGGGTCCATGAAAGTCACCTCCAAACAACTGTTACCTAGTCCCAGAGTGCCAGGACTTTCCCAGCAGTACCTCTCTGTGCCTGGTCAGCCCTGCCAGGTGGAAGGAGCAGGTCTGCCTGGCAGCTGCCCATCAGAACAGTAGGTCCTGTCTGTGACTTTGGGCTTGAGTGCTTCCCTTTCCCTACCCTCAGTGCTCACATGGGCCTGTGCATGTGGGGCATCTCCAGGAGACTAAACCTGCCAGTGCTCAGGGGTGAAAGGGGTCCCTAAATCCTTTCTACCAGTGGGTCTCCTTGGCAGGACAGAAGGATACAGTTAGATACCCTCGGGTGCCTGTGTCCTTTTTCTTGGCCATGTACAGGACAACCTGGAGCCCAGGGGGACACTGGAGGGTGGACCCTCAAACACTGCACATGGCAGGACTCAGAGCCAGATAGCGTGGATAGTTTTCCAGCTGGCCTGATGTTCTCAACACATCTCAAGCATGAGCTGTACCACTGCTTTGATTTTTCCATCTGATCCTGGAATATCCTGGCTCCCGTGGCCCACAACACTGCCCCCAAGGTGTAACTGGTTGTTTTCACTCTTTGATGTTTTTCTCCTTCCCTCAGCTGCCAAACTTCCAGCGGGCCCTGTTCCAGCAAGTGGTTGGAGCCTGCAAACCCTGCAGTGATCCCAATCTGTCTGTGGCTGAAAAAGGTATAATTCCCTTTCCCAGGTGGCCTCATCCCATGTTTATCCCCATCCTGAGCGTCCGACTCTTGTCCCTGAGCACCAGCTGGCCAAGGCTGAGCCACACTGTAACGCCCAGGCCAGTCTATCTGTCCAGAGTCCTGACCAGTTCCTGTGTTCACTATTTAACCCACGTCTGGCTTGATGCTAAGGTTTGGATCCTGTTTGTTTGTATCTCTCCCTCCCCAGGGCCCACCCTCTGAGAAGCCCCAGCTGCCACCTGCCCTGAGCCCACCTTTACGAAAACTTGGGCTGCCGTATGCAAATGGTGGGCAGCCACTCCCCGGGGCTCCTCCCGACCAGCCCCAGAATTCAGCAGGCCCTGTGGCCCCTTTGGTCCCTCTCAACTTGGGTCCACGGGGACCTCTCCTTGTTGCTCAGAACAGGCCTGTGGCCAAGCATGTACCCCAGAATAATGGGAAGGACAGGCCATGGCAAAGTGAGTTTCCCAGAGACAGTCCTGTCCAAGGGACTTCAGTTCCTCCTATAGCCGCTCTGGCCTGCAGCTGCTGTGAGTCCATTTTTTACACATTGCAAGTCCAACAACTATACTATGAGACTAGGCAATACTTAGAACAGAGGCTGTTTATAGATAGTGGAGTTTTACCCTATGTTCTGCTCTAGCAAGCTGAAGGAAGAACCAGACTTGGACCCATATGACCCCGGCCCAAACATGGAGACCTGAGTTCATTTAACATAGAACAGTACCTGTGTGGGGACTATGCTAAGCCTACCTGCCACACAGAACCGGCCCATGTCAGCCCGCTCCCTGTAGGTTCCTCTCCCCTCTCCTCCATCTGTTGGAGTTTAGGGCACACTTAGTCCCCAGCAATACAACCTGCTGTCCCATCAGAACATGTCCCTCCAAAGCTGTTGTCATGTCATCATTGCACCTCTTCACCAAGTACTGTCTGCTGTTCTCACTGTCATTGTTCCTCCCTTGCTCATCATGGAGGATATGCCTCTCTGTCCTCTTTAAGGAGACCATGCACGGGGTCCATGACCTCAGTGCCTGGTAGGCATCGGCACCGGGTACTCAACCACAAAGGGCATGGAGATTCTGGCTGAAGATGCCTTCCTAGCCTCAAGGTTGCACATCCCTAAAACATGCGGCTTACCTGGACCCCTGCACCTGTGCCCCAAAACAGAGTGCCCTTTTGGCCTTGAGGGCCAGAATCCACAGTGGCTTCTCTTTACCTGAGTTGTGGAGCAATCACAGATCTAGCCAAAAGCACAGGTGGGCTCAGAGCTCAATTGGGTGCTGGTGGCCAGACCAGGACCTTAACGCCAACTGGACCCAGAAGAGCTTCAGGCTTCAGACCAAGCTGCAGCAAGAAGCTGGATATGCCCACCTCCCAGGTGTGGGAAGGAAAGAGGGTTGTCTCAGAACAAAGGCTGAGCCCAGAGCAAGCCCATTTAAGCCACAAAGCCAGTGCTCAGTGTGTAGCAAACTAGACATTTGCCTAGGGGGAACACATAGGCCAGAGTAATAACTCCCTAAGTCTCTACCTGGATCCTCCAGGGCAGGAACTGTGCATACTTGTCACCATTCTCTTGTCATCGGGATCTTGAGTCCCATGAGAACTCCACTTCTCACTTACATGTGTCTCTCTTTGCCAGGCAGTGACTCCCAGACCAGGCAAGCCTGCCCTCGAGGCTGTGGGCTGTGCACAGGGGACCTCAGGCCAGTGGTGGCCCATAACAGAGAGAGAGAGAAATGACCAGGACACAGTGGGGATTGCCCCTCTTCTCCTAGGATAGGTCTGTGCATCTTAGATTTTCCACTAACCCCAACGCACTTGTGCTGTATGGCACAAGTTCACTGGTCTCAGTGGTCACCAACAGCAGGCTACAGGGCGAGCTTGATGATTTCTGGTTCACACAGAGGGGCTCAGGCAGGTACCCTTTGTACACCATTGCAGCCTTGCCAGCTTTCTTCCCTCATAGCGTTCCTACCTGCAAGATCCTTTGGGCCCTTGTGGGTAAACTTTTGCAGTCCCACAGTTCTTCCGGGGTCTAGATGTGCACATGAGATCTTGGGCTGTCAGAGCCCCTTTGGGGAAGCTGCCCAGACCCACCTCCAAGCTTCTTATTCAGTGAGGTTTGGTGGCTTTTTATGGAGATGGAACTTCTCCTTTTCGGGAGAGGGAGGCTTAGTGCTGAGGACCAGGAAGCTTATGCTGCGTCTTGAGGAAAGCCTACATGAGAATAGGCCTGTTCAGTTCTTAGGGTGGCTCAGGCTCTCTGAGGAGGCCTTCTGGTGGAATCCACCTGGTGTTCACCAGAGTCAGAATCCTTTCCTCCCTTCAGTGGACAGTTGAGTGTCTGTCTACCCAATCACTGCCACGCCCTCCCTTCTGCCACCAGCCGTCAGCCATCCCATGAGACTGAGCCATGCTCCTCAGAGCTGAAGCTGTTGAGGTCATTGAGTTCTACCCTGTGTTCTGCTGCAAGCCCACAGCAGTTCTTGACCAGTGAGGAGGACTAGGGTGGACATCACCCATCACCTTATCCCTGGACCACCCGGGGCCCAACCCCTCCTGGCCACATCCTCCTCAACGGCTAAGCTCTAGCTCCTTCCCTCCCAGAGCCTCTCAGGTCCCATTAGGCCCTGGCATTCCCCACTCAGGACCTGGAGTGGGAAGAACCCAGACCCCAGCCTTGTCAGGCTCACTTTAGCTATGACTGCCTCAGAACAAAGCCAGTGGGTAGGCCGCTTCTCTCTCTAGGAGAGCCCAAAAGGGAATTGGTGCCTGTCTGGCTTTGTCAGAGAAAGGGCGTATTTCTTGTCAGTGTTATTTGTTCTCCAGGAGGAGTTGGCCAGTAGCATTCACATGCCCCCCTCCTGCTCCTGAGACCCCAAGGTCCAGCCATTCCTTCTCTCCTCTCCCCTCCTACAAAGTCACTCACCCCAGCTGTGGCTGAAGGGCCAGTATTCTGGCACTGGACTTCTTCCTTACCATAGGTGGACACCCTGTGTTTTCCCTTTGTCCAGGGCCCACTCTACCCTGCATCCATAGCATGTGGGTGCCAGGAACTGGGCCTCTCTACATGCCCCAAAGCACCCATGGGCTCCACAGCCCTCCCTCCTCTCTGGAAGCAGTGGTCCCTGCTGGACCTGGGCCATGACTCACGGGCTTTAGACTCTCCTCCAGCAGGCACAGTGAATACCAGTCCTTACCTAGAAAACCCCTGTGCCTCCCAAGCCCAGCCAGTGGGCACAGAAGCAACAGGGATGGGCAAAGCTTGTACTTACCACAGGCTCTTTGTGGGGCCAGCTTGGGGGCAGGACCCACTCCCTGGCCGTGCACCAGCTGTGGACGGAGGCAGTCTCTGCTGCCCGTCCATCCTGCTCCCTGCTTTTCCCATTGGGCCAGGGCTATGGGAGATCCCTGAATCCTGACCTTGGTAAGACTCTCCATAGGTGCGCGCTCGCGCTCTCTCTCTCTCTCTCTCTCTCTCTCTTTTTGCAGTCCCATCAGCCTGTTTGACTCTCCTCTTCTCACCTCTTCTGTTGTCTCTTCTCCTCCTGGCAAGTCCTGGAGGCTGCAGACGCTCACTCCTTGCTGCACTTTCTCTCCGCTTACCGTATCCTGAGTACTCTTCAGACACCAGTTCACTCTGTTGCTATCCTCTTAAGTGGCTTCTGTCCTGACCACGGTCCCCTGTGGGCCACAGTGTCTTGCTTGGCCAGTGTTTTGTGTCTTAGGAGCTGGCGTGCCACTCCCACGTGTGCTGAGTACATAGTATGCACCTGCAGAAGCCATAGGCTGTAGAACAGGCTTCTCTCAGAGGGTGGCTCAAGAAGTAACCTCCCTTCATGCCATCTGTTTTCACCCTTCAGCGGTGCCAGCAGCCCCCAGCAGCTGGAGCCTGGATAGCGGAGCCCGAGAGGCCCAGCCCTTCCTGTCTGCCCACACGGGGTGCATCCTGGCCCCCCCAGTGCCTCCCCGAAGCCTGCTGCATGGTAAGAAGACTTCCAGCGGGTCCCCCAGATAGTCCCCAGTCTCAGATTCTACTCACGGGCAAGGGCAACAGCCCTCCAGGCTGAGAAGATGAGCCGACTCTGCCAAGGAAAAAACATCTCCACCGCAGGAAGGATCCTGCTGGGCTTTGGGGTCAGTGAGGTTTCCAAGCACAGCAGGTGAGCTCAGTGAGGCCTTTCCAACCATGGAGGCTGAAGACATCAGAACTGACCATGCCAAGCATGATACTCACCAGCCTGTCGTCACCAAGCAGCAGGCTGAGAGCTGCCACTGTCTGCAGTCTGTTGTTCCATGGGCTCTGATGCACTCGACCTCTTGACCTCCTGTGTGGCATGGGTGTCTTTACTCCAGCAGCTTGTGTTTTGGAGAACTTCAGTGAAAAGAGAGGTTTTCCTGTGGCCTTCAATGCTGAGGGGTTGCAGGAGACTCACATCTGTCCAGTTGGCCCTGCAAGATATGCTGACGTGCAGCGCAAGAAGGGCCCAGCTGAGGCTCTGGTTCTGTTTCCTTTGCAGGTCATTACTCCCTACACTTTGACGCCTTCCACCACCCCCTGGGTGACACCCCCCCGGCCCTCCCAGCCCGGACCCTGCGCAAGGTAATGCACTAAGGTGACAGCCCCAGCTGAGAGGAGCCATCTCAGCTGCTAGAATCACCCCTGAGACACCTGAGGTCTACCTCTCCTGCTCCTGTCCCTGAGATCCCAGCCTGGCTGAAGCTGGGGGTGGCCGGAGCCACACTTGGGATGCAGATGACCAATGTGTCCTGCAACAAACGTGATGGGGGCAGGGAAGTCAGAGGGTCCTGGAGACAGCAACACATGGTACCCAGAGTATGTGAGCAACGAGCAGTGAGAAGCCAGGGGGTTCCCTGCCAACACCCAACTTATCAACACACCACAGTTCAAGACATAAAGAAACATTCCTGTGGTGGATCATAGAGCACTTTAAACTGGAGTCCACTGAAAGCAAGAAGCATCAGATACCAGACCTTTACGAAAAACTCATTAACTTTTCTGCAAATTGGAAAAGACTGTCACAGATTTTAGCAGCAGAATGCACTCATCTGGTCCATGGCCCACTAGGGTTCTTTCTACCCTCGCCAACTGGCCTGATGACCCAGTCCTTCTGTCTGTACCCCAGAGCCACAGCCAGCAGCCTGGGACATGGCTTCAGGGGGCACAACTGCCCAGCAGCCAAGACAGGGCCATTTTTTAGCCACAGAAATGCAGGTGATTCTGGGGCTCCACTGGCTTGGGGGCAGGGAAGAGCTAGGGGGTGATTGATGATGAAACAAGAAACATGCTGTTGATGAGGATTATTTTAAAGTTCATTAATAAGCAGACTCTTGGTCTTCTCTTCCCATGGTGGGCCAGCCAGCCTGTTTGGAAAGAGGGATTCTAACATTTTTACCTTTTCTTTTGCAGTCTCCTCTCCACCCTATCCCAGCCTCCCCCACAAGCCCCCAGTCGGGCCTGGATGGCAGCAACTCTACGCTGTCTGGCAGTGCCAGCAGCGGTGTGTCTTCCCTAAGCGAGAGTAACTTTGGGCACTCCTCGGAGGCCCCTCCTCGAACCGACACCATGGACTCCGTGCCGAGCCAGGCCTGGAATGCTGACGAAGATCTTGAGCCACCCTACCTCCCCGTCCACTACAGCCTCTCTGAGTCCGCTGTTCTGGACTCCATCAAGGCCCAGCCGTGCCGAAGCCACTCAGCCCCGGGATGTGTCATCCCTCAGGACCCCATGGACCCACCTGCGCTGCCACCCAAGCCCTACCACCCCCGCCTGCCGGCCCTGGAGCACGACGAGGGTGTGCTGCTGCGTGAGGAGGCCGAGAGGCCTCGGGGCCTGCATCGCAAGGCCTCGCTGCCTCCTGGGAGCACCAAGGAAGAGCAGGCTCGCATGGCCTGGGAGCACAGCCGAGGGGAACAATGAGGGGTAGGGAGGCAGCTAGGACACCACCCTCAGTGAGCAGCTTGCCCCACCACTCCAGGTCTGAAAAGCAAGTCCCCCCGCAGGGAGCCAGAGAGGCCTGGCACTCAGGAGAGAACCACCCCGAGTCTACATTCTACTGCCGTGAACTCGTGTGTTGCCATGTACAGAGGCCACAGCAGCATGAAGGGTTGTGGCTTCTCTTTTTATTTCATTTTCTACATTCCATTTCTATGGGTTTTCCTTTTTCCTTTGTGGAGTAGATGCTTTCTTCCTCCTGCAGTTCCAGACCATGTGGAGCTATATGGAGATATTGCATAGACAGAATCAATTGCTTTGCAGGGCCCAGCGGGGTAGGAGCCCAGGCCCTCCCTCCAGGGAAGAGATGCACAGAAGAATGGGAATTGCACTAGGGACCTCTTCCTTTGCTGTGTGGACAGAAGAGCTCACGGTTGTATTCAGGGATTGCAAGGACCACATTGACTACGTCACCAGTGGACAAGGGGGCTACAAGCCATTTTGCACAAATGTCTGCCCACTTGCTCCCTCTTCCATCCAGGAGTGTGCAACTGAGAGGCTGGCTAGGCCAACCTGCCAGCTCAGGCATGTGACCTGGCCTAACTGCATGCCCAGGGCATACTGCCAGGCTTCCATGGGCCAGCCCTGCCTCCTACTCTACCTTGGATTTTTCCCTCCATCGTTTTTATTTCTGACCCTTTGCCCCTCTCCACTCTTAATACACCCCGTGCCCTGCAGGAGCCCCCTTGGTGCATGGATCTGCAGTGGTTATCTCCTGTCCTCTGGAGCTTGAGTGGGGGTATAGCGCCAGAGGGACTACCCTCGCCACCTTCCTCCCCAGGGCCCGGGCAGCCACGTGTTGAGAAACAAGCTGATACAGGAGTGAGGCTGGGTGTGGCAGGGGCCGGAAATCCTCAAAGCTTTCAGAAGTGGCCAGAGTGCCTGTCATCAGCTCCTGAATCAGGGATTTTCAGCACTACCTCCAAGCAGTGGGGTTGGCTGCCCAGCCAGGCTTCTAAGGCCCGAGGACTTGTGGTCAGGCTCAGCAAGCTCCTGGGTAAAAAGGGTGGGAGGGATTCTCCTCTTAGAAGCAGAGAGCCACACAGGTTGAATTATCCTCTCCCAGTAGCCAAGTGCAGGGCCTCAGCTCCAGGCCCGTGGGGACCACCACTCAGGGTTCAGGGCGGGCAGGAGGGCAGTTTCTCCAGCCTCCCCAGTCTGTTGGGCAGAAGGTAGTGGTGTCTTTATAGAAAACTCTTTCAGGTCAGGGCACCGATTTTCCTCTTGGTTTATTATTTGGGGGAATAGGGTGGGGTGGTAATAGTATTTTACCAGGGTGCTTCTAAGTTACTTTAAAAAAGTCTACGAAACATTTATTTGCTTGCATTCACAACTGTGATGGTCCCACGGCTGCCTTCTCCTTGTTGAGCAGGTATGTTCTCCCCTAGTTCCTCTTCTGCTGGCCCATCTGACCTCCATGGTTAGGGTATTTTTCACTTGTAAACAAATGCCAGGTTGTTTAATAGGAATGCCCAGCAAGTAACCTATGAGGAAAGATTGGGGGGCCGCATTAGCTTCAGGGCGTCTGGGAGTGTTTATCACCATTGTGGGTCCTTTCTGATACTTCAAGGGTGACTCCAAGCAGAGTGGGTCAGTCCTGGCAGGCCTGGACCATCTGGTGTTCACAAGTGTGACAGTCGGGGATTAGCTCTGGATTTCTTAGGTAGGAGGGCATATTTAGGTTTTAGGGCACTTCTGAACCTCAATCCCTGGACAAGGCAGTCCTCACATAAGAACATCTACCTTCTCCACCTGGTGGCATGGGAGGGTAGAGAGTGGAATGTGGGTTCATTTGGCCTTGCCTTGTACAGGGTGAGCCCAGTTTGTTTTCCCTCTCCATTTTCCCTAATTCCATGAAAAGGACATGATCCAAATTCCTTTCACTGGAGAATCAGCCAGTCTGAAGGGAAGTGGGAGGCAAGAGATGAGAATCCTCTGAAAAGATTGTGAAATACTGATTTTCATTCTTTCAAGCTTATTTGTAAATACCTATTTGAATGCTGTGTATTTGTACAGGAATTTGAGCAAAAAATGTATAGAGTGTGATGTCCAATTGGTATTCAGCCCTATATAAATGTGTTTTTAACCTCTGGCATTCTGTGCTTATTTAAAATAAGAAAACTTCTAACCATCTCTTTTGTGTATTTATGTTTAAAATAAGAAGCGACTTAAAAATGGTCTTACCTGTACCAGAAAGCAAAGTTAAAGAAAAAAAAATTTGTACTGGTGTCCCAAAAGGTATTTTACTGTATATATTGTGGTAGCATGTTCTAAATCCAACAAGTAATGTGAATTTTAAATGTAAATATCTGCCACCTTATTTCCCCCCTTTCCCCACTCCTTTGACTGCTGTGATGTGAATTAAAGATGAATACCTGACACTGACCCGCTGAATTCACTGAATTGGGAGCAGCGCAAGTGCCTCTCTCCAACCCTTGCCGCTGGGCTCCAAGCCCTTTTAGCCCCATAGAAATCTCCTTTCTGCCCTGAGCGCAAAGCCAACCTTTCCCACGTCCTGCCTTCAAAGACAGGGAGCCAAACCCTGCCCTGGATATGAGGGCAGCCAAGGGCCCTGAGCGCTCAGTGGGAAGCAGGAGGCGGCGTGCCAGCCACCTCGGCCAGGCTTCCGAGGCTTGTGAGGAAAAGGGGGGCACCTCTTACCAGCGTGCGGGACAAGCCTCCGAACCCCCGACCTCCCCACTCTGAGGCGGGATGCTTCTGATCCCAAAGCCACGCAACCAACCCTGGCCCGGGTGCCTCTCTGAGTTCTGGGAAGGCAGCCCGGAGGAGAGCCTTTCCTACGGGCGCCCCTCCAGCCCAGAGTCTGTCCACCCCGGCCCGGGTACCCCTGTCAGCCCGCGCGAGGCGGGCTCCGGCTACCCGGGGCTCAAGCGGGTGGGTGCCTGAGCTGCTGAGGCAATTCGGACGCGGTCCGCCGGCCTCGCAGGCGCCAGAGCCTCCGCAGGGGCTCCCCAAAGTCTGGTTCCCCCCGCCTACGTGATCCTTTAAAAAAAGGTAAAAGGGGAAAAAAACCTCTTCGGAGCCTCGCCTGCGGCCCCCCGCCGTCCCTGCCTTGTTGGGTTACGGCTGGCCCCAGAGCCCCTGACCTGCGCCACAATTCGGAGCCTGGGCGGGGAGGTCCGTGGGTTTTTCGGGCCGGCTTGGGGCCCAGAACAGAGGGTACGCAAGCCAACTCAGCACGCGCGGTACAGCGCCCAACCCGACTTCAGCCAGCAACACTCCGCCTCAGCTACTGCCGGGTCACCTACCCAAGATGGCGGCCCGAGCCGCTTCCGCCGCCTCCACGGCCGCTTCCTGCCGGCCGCCCTGGTTCAATCAGCAGCCGACAACTGTCTAGGGCCGAGGGCGGGCGACGCCACCAGCCAATGGGGAAGGGCAGCGTGGAGCCGCCCGTCTGGGCTCCGAGGCGCGTGGACCAATGGAGGCATGGTGTGTGGGAGGGCGCGGAGAGCACCCACCAATGGGGAGCCACGGCGCGCGGCCCGGACCTGGAGGAAGCGGGGCTCTGCGGGCGCGGTGTAGTCGGGCGGTGGCGGCGGCGGCGGCGGCGGGTGGAGGAGGATGTGGGCCACGCACGGGCTGGCGGTGGCGCTGGCTCTGAGCGTGCTGCCGGGCAGCCGGGCGCTGCGGCCGGGCGACTGCGAAGGTGCTGCGGGGTTGGGGGTCCGTGCGCTGTGGCCCGCCTGGCGGCGGCGCTGCCAAACCTAACCAAACCACTGAGCGGCCCAGTGGCAGGGGCTGATACGGGCGGGGGCGGCCGGCCCCAGAGGGGTCCGCCAGAGGAAGGGCCGACGCCGGGCCTCTTAGAAAACATTTCCTGGGCCTACAAAACATTGGTCCGACGAGAAGAAGCTGGGACTAGATCGTGCAGAAAACTTGGCCTGAAATTGAGATAACGCTGGAGTTTTGGTCCTTTCCCATCACTGGGCAGAGGCTCCCGGCCAGGGGGCTCCCGGCTCCATGCCGGCCGTGGGCACCGCGCCTTGTCTGATGGGGTTGCGAAGCCGCACCTCGGAGTTAGGTGTTGTATTTGGAAATGAGCAGCATTTGGATCGCTGTTTTCTTCGGCCTCCAGTTTGTCCATTTATGAGGTCACAGTGAGTCCATTTCAAGGACACGTGTTCAGTCTCGGCTTAAACTTTATGGAAAAAGCAGGGAGGAGCCTTTTTTGGGTCATTGGGTGATGCTCGTTCCCCGTATGCCCTGGGTGAACCAGGGGGCCCAGCAACCCGGAGCGCGGTTCTGTCTACCTGTGGGCACCTGAGAAAATCGGTGATGGAAAAACTCACCTTTCTCCGTGTCTCCTATTAAAATTGCTGACGGAGTTCCCTCCTGGCGAATTGCGGTGCAACTTGGTGATTGCTGAGCATCTCCCTTCCCTCTCTTTTCCAGTTTGTATTTCTTATCTGGGAAGATTTTACCAGGACCTCAAAGACAGAGATGTCACATTCTCACCAGCCTCTATTGAAAAAGAACTTATAAAGTTCTGCCGTGAAGCAAGAGGCAAAGAGAATCGGTTGGTGAGTAGCTGTCTGACCCTCCCCAAGCTGGCCCTGGCCAGTGTTTGACCCTCTGCTTCACAGGCCTCTCAGTAAAAGGCCCTGCCCACTTGTCTATTCAGGAGGCCAGATGTTCTGTCAGTTAACTAATGTGGGACTGAAGGGCTTTCTGTATTCTGCAGTTGTGATGTTACCCTCTTAGTACTGATTAAGCACCTACTGTGTGCTGGGCACTGGAAATACCAGGGGAGAGCAATGACAGGCAAATGATGCAGTGGGATGGGTGTCATGCAGAAAATGGACCAGGATGGAATGAGTGGGTGCTGATTTAGACAGTAGTTAAGAATTCTTCTGAGGGCTTCCCTGGTGGCGCAGTGGTTGAGAGTCCGCCTGCCGATGCAGGGGACACGGGTTCGTGCCCCGGTCTGGGGAGATCCCACATGCCGCGGAGCGGCTGGGCCCGTGAGCCACGGCCGCTGAGCCTGCGAGTCCGGAGCCTGTGCTCCGCAACGGGAGAGCCACAACAGTGAGAGGCCCGCGTACCGAAAAAAAAAAAAAAAAAAAGAATTTTTCTGAGAAAGGGTCATCATTGTGAAGGGGGAAGAGCATCCCAGGCAGAGGGAATAGCCAGTGTGAATGCCCAGAGGCCAGAGTAATCTTGGCATGTGTGAGGGTAGTAGAAGATTACAAAGTGTGCCCAGGGTAGGCCAAGGCTGAATTGAGGACAAGAGCCCTAATGAAACGATGGCTTTTGTAGCTTTAACTTCCCTGGCAGTCTCTGGTTTGTCTTTCTGTTTAAAGGTTTGAACCGTGGTGACTTTTAAATTCATCTGGTGTCTGTCGTCAGCTCTGGGACCAAGCGTGTATTAAGAGCCTGGGGTTTACACTGACTGAATCTGACTGCCAGTGCAGGCGGGGCATGGGAAAATGAGGCCCTGGCAGAGAAAGAAGATGTTTTCAGATGTCAGTATGCTTTGGAGGAGACAGCTCTCAAGTGGCACCTCCTGAAGGCCATTGTCCTTTCTTGCTGCAGTGCTACTACATTGGGGCCACAGATGATGCAGCCACCAAGATCATCAACGAGGTGTCGAAGCCCCTGGCCCACCACATCCCTGTGGAGAAGATCTGTGAGAAGCTCAAGAAGAAGGACAGCCAGATCTGTGAGCTAAAATACGGTGAGTGTGGCCTTATTTAACCAACACCGAACCCACTCCTTGCTCAGGCATTAATGAAGTTTACTTTCTAGCTGGGGAAGGCACGTGATAAACGAGAGCCTTCACGAGTGAGTTATACAGCATGGTTGGTGGTGTTAAATGGTGGGGGCGGGGGGCAGTGCACAGACTCACCTTGCATCATGGTGGGTGGAGGTTAGAATAGGCCTCATCGAGGAGGTGACATTTCAGCAAACTTTGAAGGAGGTGGGGGATTAGCCAAGGGCATAACTAATGGAAGAGCATTTCAGGCAGAGGAAACAGGCAGTGCAAAAGCAACCAGTGGCATGACAGATGGGTGGGCAGGTCACAGAGGGCCTTGCAAGTTGGTGAAGATTTGGCTTTTAGTCTGAGGGAAGATGAGAATGTTGGTTTTCGGCCAGAGAAGGGATGTAGTCTGACTTGCCTTTAACAGGCTTGTCCTGGGCTTCCCTGGTGGCGCAGTGGTTGAGAGTCCGCCTGCTGATGCAGGGGACACGGGTTCGTGCCCCGGTCAGGGAAGATCCCACATGCTGCGGAGCAGCTAGGCCCGTAAGCCATGGCCACTGAGCCTGCATGTCTGGAGCCTGTGCTCCGCAGCGGGAGAGGCCCGCGTACCGCAAAAAAAAAAAAAAAAACAGGCTTGTCCTGACTGCAAGCTCTGAAGGTCCAGCGATCTTTATTATTTTAAAAAAGAATGGCTGTGTCCCAACGAGAAGGCCCAAGATTATGGGCACACAGCATCTCTTTTGCTGAATAAGTCTCTGGTGGGAAAAACAGTTCAGGTCTTCAGAAAGAGTCAGGGCCAGGAATCATTGTCCTCTTCTGTAAAATTTAAACAGCACCAACATATTTTATTGTGAATTGAGTGTCCAAGGGCTGTGTTCGCCCACTTGTGTCAAGGATAACTGGTCTTCTGAGAGTGATCCTGGTTCAGTCCTGATGACTCAGGGTCTCTCTTTGGGCATAAGTGGTCATGGAAGAGTAAGCTTCTAACTCAAGGGCCCGACCATGGTCTGTGTTGGGCAGTTGAGGCTAGGGGATCTATCTGCTCTGTCACCCTGGAGCTCTTATTCTACAGTGGTGTGGGCTGCACTGTGACTGTTTAAGAGGCACTTGGAGTGGGAGCCACATTCCTCCTATAAGGTTCCTCCTGTAAGGACCACATGGCCTCCATCCCTGTCCCTGGTGACACCTGCATGTCTGTGGTGGACATTGCCAGCATGAGACCCACCTTCCTGGTGAAGGGGCCTGGGCTAGTTCTCCCTCTTGGGGGCAGTGGGCACTGACACACTTGCATGTGTCTCCCTGCGATCAGTAGGGCTGCTTGTTTTAAGGGATGGTTTGGATGTGCGGGACTATTGGGGTCTGCTGTTCTCCCACCTAGCTGGTTATTCTCCCTGCTCTCTCCAGACAAGCAGATCGACCTGAGCACAGTAGACCTGAAGAAGCTTCGAGTTAAAGAGCTAAAGAAGATCCTGGACGACTGGGGAGAGACGTGCAAAGGCTGTGCAGAAAAGTCTGACTACATCCGGAAGATTAATGAACTGATGCCTAAATACGCCCCCAAGGCAGCCAGTTCACGGACTGATTTGTAGTCTACCCGATGCCTGCTGCACCTGAGGGGAAAAACACTTCATCTGTGTCTGTCCCAAACAGCCTTTTTGTAATTTATTTTTTAGGCAGGCTCCTGACAAAGTCAGGCTTGAAGCCTGGAGCTTTCCTGATGATGCTGGGTCCACAGCGCCCCCTTGGGGGGGATTCACTTTGTTCTGTTGCCGATTTACTCTAGGACTTCAAAGTATGTCTGGGATTTTTTTATTAAAGGAAGAAAATTTCTAGCTGTCTTTGAAGAATTAAAGTGAATACTGAAATTGGGTTTTACCCATAATGAAGATTTCACCGGTTTATGCTTTCCAGTTTATAAAGAGTTTTCAGGTATATTCACATTTGTCCTTCGACCACCAGTCAGTGCTGGAGATGCCAGGGGGACTGAGGCACGTGGGGTTGTGCAGGACCGGAGGGTCGCTCAAGGAGAATGTTGGGCTTGATACCCCCAGCCCACAGGCACTATCTTACCTACATGAGAGGGGCTGACATGGGGCTTGGCTGTGAGCAGGACTGAGGTTTAGTGCACTTTTCTGTGACGATGACTTCAATAACTGCCTATGTTCAGTACTGTCACATTTCTAAAGATGCTGATGGCCTGGCTACCTCCACCAGTCAGTGTCCAGATCTGGCCATCTACTTGCTCATCTGAGTTTGTGGTCTAGTGTCAGTCCTAAGTCTTTGGTGCCTAATTGGGAATTTGCAAGACTGGCAGGAGTTGGTTTGAACAAAGAGCCGATGAGAGGCTGCCTTTTGCCTTTGTTTACCCAAGATAAGCCTAACAGTTGAGGTCCCGAGAGCATGTCCCTGGAGTCTGGTTTTTTAGTTGCTCTCTTTGGGGTTGGTGCTTGGGAAACCCAGTTATCAGCATGAACTGTGACTCAGTGGAGACACCTCTGCTCCTCATGCCTGCAGAGACCACCTGAAGGGAAGGACTAAGAAGCAGTGCTTTCTAAGGAATTGCTCTGACTTTGGGTCACATCATTTGTACAGTTCCTAAATTCAGTGTACCTACGTAAAGGGCCCTCTCAGCTTGCTGTGGGGGTCCATTAATGCCTGGCAGGAGCAAGCAGGCCCAGGCCCACATTTTTCACCTCTACAGCACCATGTCTGAGAGGAAAGTGAGGTCGTCTCTTAGGCCAAGTGTTCCCTGTTTGGAGGAATTAGATGGGCTGTTAAGATCTGACAAGCAAAAAAAAAAAAAAGATCTGACAAGCACAAAGTATCCTGAGTCCCCCTGAACGGTGCTAAGACAATCCATGGCTGGAGCCAGAAGTCTTAGGAGATGGAGCTGTTTCAGCCTAGCACCCTAGGTCTCTGTTCCTGTGGCCTTTGTGCCCTCCAGGCCACAGTGAGCAGGGAAGACAGCCCAACTACTACTACCCTAGAGCTGATCCCCAAGATTATCTGTGAAAGGAGACGTGGAATGTTAACAGGTGTTTCTTCTAAGACTTTCCTCTTGCACCTGCCTTCGCTGTTGCAGGAGCTCCTCCCACAGCGTTCTGGCCGTGGGAGGAGGGAAGAGCTGTGGTCCGCTCTTCCCCACTCCACCGTTTCTGTGGCCGAAGTTGGGTCCGGTTCTGCGAAGCCTCCAGCAACTCTCCATGGAGAATGAAAGCTTCCCCAAGGGGTTTGGCTCCTTGTCAGGATTCCCTCTCACCTCACCACCACGGAGGTGGACAGAAGGGCACTGGCCAGGGAGAGGTAAGCGTGGCAAACTGGGTAACCGCCGGGTTTGGTGTTCTCTTCGCCCTTGGCTTCACGGCCCTACCCTTATAGCCCTCTGTGTGCTCTAATGCCCAGAGCAGAGGGTGGGGCCCTGTGGCGCCAAGGAGACTATTCCCACTCTGGAAACCGCAGGTTTGTTTCGGATTTCTGTGCCCAGGGCCCAGACAGGTCGCGCCTTCTGCATGCATAGCCATAGTCCTCATGGCCTTTCGGGGCGGGGGAGAGGGGGAGCGCCGCTGTTGCAAGTGAACCTGGACGCAGGGGATGCTCGGGATATGGGGCATGGGTACTAGGGAGCGGCGTGTTTCGGTCCTTGGGGTTGTCCATGCTGGACCCCAGTCAGGAGATGCCGTGGCAGGGCACGGGGATCACCCAAGCCTAGTCCTGGAGTTGGGAATACCACGTAAAGAAGCCGCTGGGTCAAGGCCTGGGACCCACGCGCCGACAGAGGCTGCCACAGCCGCTGCCATCAGCGCGGGCCCCGTAGCCGGGAGCCAGAGGCCTACGTCCTGCAGCCTCCTGGGCTGGCTCTTTCGAGGTCTCCAATCACCGTGGAGCCCCGAGCCTCGTCCACGTCGGCCGCGCCGTGGCGCCAGAGCTCACAGCCTGGCCGCGCTCGCCCACTTTGCCCCGGGGTCACGTGGAACGGGGGAGGGCGCAACCTGATGACGCACGCCCGGCGCAGCTCTCGCCCCGCCCACCACGGGGTCACGTGGCACGGCCGGCGCAGCTTGATAACGCGACGCCCAGGCCCTGGGCGCAGCTCCCGCCCCGCCGCCGCGCCGAGTCCTTTTGTCCAAGATGGCGGTGCCGGGGGCGCTGCCTCTTCGGCAGCCGCCGCCGCCGCCGCCGCTGTGAGGGGCCTGCGGGCCGCCCGCCCGCCCGCCGCGCCGGCGCCATGAAGAGGCAGAGCGAGCGAGACTCGAGCCCGAGCGGGCGCGGCTCGTCATCGTCGGCCAAGCGGCCGCGGGAGCGCGAACGGGAGGCGGAGGCGGGCGGGCGGCGGGCGGCGCACAAGGCCTCGGGCGGCGTCAAGCACCCCGTTCCAACGCGGGCCCGCGACAAACCCCGTGGTAGCGGGGGCGGCGGCGGCGGCGGCGGACATCGCGACGGCCGCGGCGCCGGGGACGCGAATCACCGTGCGAGCAGCGGCCGCTCCTCAGGCTCGGGCGCCGGCGGCGGCGGACGCGGTGCCAAGGCCTCGGGAGACCCGAGCGCTTCGGGCACTTCGCCCCGCGCGTCTCCACTACCGCCACCTCCGCCGCCTCCCGGGGCCGAGCCCGCGGGTACCGGCTCATCAGCAGCCGCACCCGAATACAAGACGCTGCTCATCAGCAGCCTGAGTCCCGCGCTGCCCGCCGAGCACCTCGAGGACCGGCTCTTCCACCAGTTCAAGCGCTTCGGCGAGATCAGTCTGCGCCTGTCGCACACGCCTGAGCTGGGCCGCGTGGCCTACGTGAACTTCCGGCACCCGCAGGACGCGCGCGAGGCCCGCCAGCACGCCCTGGCCCGCCAGCTGCTGCTCTACGATCGTCCGCTCAAGGTGGAGCCCGTGTACCTGCGCGGCGGCGGCGGCGGGAGCAGCCGGCGAAGCAGCAGCAGCAGCGCGGCCGCGTCCACGCCGCCCCCGGGGCCACCCGCGCCTGCTGACCCGCTCGGCTACCTCCCGCTGCACGGCGGCTACCAGTACAAGCAGCGTTCGCTGTCCCCGGTTGCCGCCCCGCCACTGCGGGAGCCCCGCGCCCGCCACGCCGCTGCAGCCTTTGCCCTGGATGCTGCCGCCGCCGCCGCCGCCGTAGGACTATCCCGTGAGCGGGCCCTGGACTACTATGGGCTGTACGACGACCGCGGGCGACCCTATGGCTACCCGGCGGTGTGCGAGGAGGACCTGATGCCTGAGGACGACCAGCGGGCTACGCGCAACCTCTTCATCGGGAACCTGGACCACAGCGTGTCAGAGGTGGAGCTGCGACGGGCTTTCGAGAAGTACGGCATCATTGAGGAGGTGGTCATCAAGAGACCCGCTCGTGGTCAGGGCGGTGCGTATGCCTTCCTCAAATTCCAGAACCTGGATATGGCCCACAGGGCCAAGGTGGCCATGTCGGGTCGGGTGATTGGCCGCAACCCCATTAAGATAGGATATGGCAAGGCCAACCCCACTACTCGCCTCTGGGTGGGTGGCCTGGGACCTAACACCTCACTGGCGGCTCTGGCCCGGGAGTTTGACCGCTTTGGGAGCATTCGGACCATTGATCATGTCAAAGGAGATAGCTTTGCCTACATCCAGTACGAAAGCTTGGACGCAGCCCAGGCCGCCTGTGCTAAAATGAGGGGCTTTCCCTTGGGAGGTCCAGACCGCAGGCTGCGGGTGGATTTTGCCAAAGCAGAGGAGACTCGGTATCCCCAGCAGTACCAGCCCTCACCCCTCCCTGTGCATTACGAGCTGCTCCCAGATGGATACACCCGGCACCGAAACCTGGATGCCGACCTGCGGGTGAGGGATAGGACCCCCCCACACCTCCTTTACTCAGACCGAGACCGGACCTTTTTGGAAGGGGACTGGACCAGCCCCAGTAAAAGCTCTGACCGCCGAAACAGCCTCGAGGGCTACAGCCGCTCAGTGCGCAGCCGGAGTGGTGAGCGCTGGGGAGGAGATGGGGACCGGGGCCTGCCCAAGCCCTGGGAGGACAGGCGGAAGCGCCGGAGCCTTTCCAGTGATCGTGGGAGGACAACCCACTCCCCTTATGAGGAACGGAGCAGGACCAAGGGTGCTGGGCAGCTTGTGGACCGAGGCTCTGACCGCACCCCTGAGCGCAGCCGCAAGGAAAACCATTCCAGTGAAGGGACCAAGGAATCGAGCAGCAACTCTCTCAGCAACAGCAGACACGGGGCTGAGGAGCGGAGCCACCACCACCATCATGAGGCTCCAGACTCTTCCCACGGGAAGAAGACTCGGGAGAGCGAGCGCAATCATCGGACCACTGAGGCTGAGCCCAAGCCTCTTGAAGAGCCAAAACACGAGACCAAAAAGCTCAAGAATCTTTCAGAGTATGCCCAGACACTGCAGCTAGGTTGGAATGGGCTTCTAGTGTTGAAAAACAGCTGCTTCCCGACATCTATGCACATCCTAGAGGGGGACCAGGGGGTTATCAGCAGTCTCCTCAAAGACCACACTTCTGGGAGTAAGCTGACCCAGCTGAAGATTGCCCAGCGCCTTCGACTGGACCAGCCCAAGCTCGATGAGGTCACACGACGCATCAAGCAGGGGAGCCCCAATGGCTACGCAGTGCTCCTAGCCACACAGGCGACCCCCAGTGGGCCTGGCACTGAGGGGATGCCCACGGTGGAGCCAGGCCTACAGAGGCGGCTTCTCAGGAACCTGGTCTCCTACTTGAAACAGAAGCAGGCTGCAGGGGTGATCAGCCTGCCAGTGGGTGGGTCCAAGGGCAGAGACAGCACGGGCATGCTCTATGCCTTCCCTCCCTGCGACTTTTCACAGCAGTACCTCCAGTCAGCACTGAGGACATTGGGAAAGCTAGAGGAAGAACACATGGTG